TCTCAACAGTCAGGCTAGCGTAGATATCAGTACAGTCTCACCAGACAGTCAGGTTTGCCTAGCAACAGTACAATCTCAACAGTCATGTTAGCGTAGATATCAGTACAGTCTCACCAGACAGTCAGGTTTGCCTAGCAACAGTACAATCTCAACAGTCAGGCTAGCGTAGATATCAGTACAGTCTCACCAGACAGTCAGGTTTGCGTAGTGACAGTACAATCTCAACAGTCAGGCTAGCGTAGATATCAGTACAGTCTCACCAGACAGTCAGGTTTGCCTAGCGACAGTACAAATCTCAACAGTCTAACTAGCGTAGATATCAGTACAGTCTCACCAGACAGTCAGGTTTGCCTAGCGACAGTACCAATCTCAACAGTCAGGCTAGCGTAGATATCAGTACAGTCTCACCAGACAGTCAGGTTTGCCTAGTGACAGTACAATCTCAACAGTCAGACTAGGGTAGATATCAGTACAGTCTCACCAGACAGTCAGGTTTGCCTAGCGACAGTACAATCTCAACGGTCATGCTAGGGTAGATATCAGTACAGTCTCACCAGACAGTCAGGTTTGCCTAGCAACAGTACAATCTCAACAGTCATGTTAGCGTAGATATCAGTACAGTCTCACCAGACAGTCAGGTTTGCCTAGCGACAGTAACAATCTAAACAGTCATGCTAGGGTAGATATCAGTACAGTCTCACCAGACAGTCAGGTTTGCCTAGCGACAGTACAATCTCAACAGTCTAACTAGCGTAGATAACAGTACAGTCTCACCAGATAGTCAGGTTTTTGCCTAGTGACAGTACAATCTCAACAGTCAGACTAGCGTAGATATCAGTACAGTCTCACCAGACAGTCAGGTTTGCCTAGCGACAGTACAATCTCAGCATTCAGGCTAGCGTAGATATCAGTACAGTCTCACCAGACAGTCAGGTTTGCTAGCGACAGTACAATCTCAAACAGTCTAACTAGCGTAGATAACAGTACAGTCTCACCAGATAGTCAGGTTTGCCTAGTGACAGTACAATCTCAACAGTCAGACTAGCGTAGATATCAGTACAGTCTCACCAGACAGTCAGGTTTGCCTAGCAACAGTACAATCTCAGCATTCAGGCTAGCGTAGATATCAGTACAGTCTCACCAGACAGTCAGGTTTGCCTAGCGACAGTACAATCTCAACAGTCTAACTAGCGTAGATAACAGTACAGTCTCACCAGATAGTCAGGTTTGCCTAGTGACAGTACAATCTCAACAGTCAGACTAGCGTAGATATCAGTACAGTCTCACCAGACAGTCAGGTTTGCCTAGCAACAGTACAATCTCAGCATTCAGGCTAGCGTAGATATCAGTACAGTCTCACCAGACAGTCAGGTTTGCCTAGCGACAGTACAATCTCAACAGTCAGGCTAGCGTAGATATCAGTACAGTCTCACCAGACAGTCAGATTTGCCTAGCGACAGTACAATCTCAACGGTCATGCTAGGGTAGATATCAGTACAGTCTCACCAGACAGTCAGGTTTGCCTAGTGACAGTACAATCTCAACAGTCAGGCTAGCGTAGATATCAGTACAGTCTCACCAGACAGTCAGGTTTGCCTAGCGACAGTACAATCTCAACAGTCAGGCTAGCGTAGATATCAGTACAGTCTCACCAGACAGTCAGGTTTGCCTAGCGACAGTACAATCTCAACAGTCATGCTAGGGTAGATATCAGTACAGTCTCACCAGACAGTCAGGTTTGCCTAGTGACAGTACAATCTCAACAGTCAGACTAGGGTAGATATCAGTACAGTCTCACCAGACAGTCAGGTTTGCCTAGCGACAGTACAATCTCAACAGTCAGGCTAGCGTAGATATCAGTACAGTCTCACCAGACAGTCAGGTTTGCCTAGCGACAGTACAATCTCAGCATTCAGGCTAGCGTAGATATCAGTACAGTCTCACCAGACAGTCAGGTTTGCCTAGCGACAGTACAATCTCAACAGTCTAACTAGCGTAGATAACAGTACAGTCTCACCAGACAGTCAGGTTTGCCTAGCGACAGTACAATCTCAACAGTCTAACTAGCGTAGATAACAGTACAGTCTCACCAGACAGTCAGGTTTGCCTAGTGACAGTACAATCTCAACAGTCAGGCTAGCATAGATATCAGTACAGTCTCACCAGATAGTCAGGTTTGCCTAGCAACAGTACAATCTCAACAGTCAGGCTAGCGTAGATATCAGTACAGTCTCACCAGATAGTCAGGTTTGCCTAGCGACAGTACAATCTCAACAGTCTAACTAGCGTAGATAACAGTACAGTCTCACCAGACAAAAGAGCATGACAAGCATGCAGGCTAGTCTGCACATCAGTAGTGACAGACCAGATTTTTTACTGCTTGATATTAGAATTTTGACTTGAAATTCCTTTTACTACTTATACATGTACACCAATGGAAAAATTTAAAGCAGGAAAATTGACTTCTATTACAAAACTGTAGCTAGGTAATGGCCATCTGAATCTAGTAAGTTCCAATAATAATTTAACAATAAACAAATGCTATTCTTATATGGTAACATTTAATCTAAGAAAAATAAACTATGAAAAGCCTTGAGTTATTTATTTCAAGATCATGTCAAGCCTTAATATTGATGGTTTTATAAACTGTGACTTTACTTCTAACAATATTTGAAGTTTCTACAAGAAAAAAATCAAAGATATTCTTTCTAGAAACTAGAAATGTGTCATCATGCCATGGATGCCCCCCCGCATGCAGCCAAAATTTCAGATAGTGCATTAATTATTTTTTTCATTTTAAGTTCAAAGCCCTTAAAACTTTTCAATGTTAACAGAAACCATTTTCATACAATGTTCAAGGCACTGAAATAATTCAGTCTTAACCTTTTAAAAATAGCATATTGCATATTTGTAGCCAAAATAATGGCTAAAAGTATGAGTTCTGAAACTGAAAGTTCAAAATTTTTCCAACATTCAGGAAAGATAAGTTTGTCTAAAATCATTGAACTACGACCAAATTCAAACTTAAACTGCTTATTCCTAAGATGTATCTATATTATTTTCAAAAAGAAAGGGACATAACTCTGCCAAAAAATCATCAAACCATGACCAAATTCCAACTTGACCTGCCCATTCTTTTGACATATCCATATGTCAAATTTAAGTTGAATATGTAACACTGTTGGGTAGATAATGAACAGACACTGTAAATTTCATATTATTTTCAAAGTGAAAGGGGCATTACTCTGCCAAAAATCATTGAACCATGACCAAATTCGAACTTAGCCTGGGCATTCCAAAAACATATCCATATGTCAAATTTGAGTTGAATGTGTTGTACCATTGGGGAGATAATAAATGGAAACTGAAAATTTCATATTATTTTCAAAGTAAAAGGGGCATAACTCTGCCAAAAATCATTGAACCATGACCAAATTTGACCTTGACCTGTATTTTCTCATGACATATCCATATGTCAAGTTTGAGTTGAATGTGTTGTACCGTTGGGGAGATAATGAACGGAAACTGAAAATTTTATATTATTTTCAAAGTAAAAGGGGCATAACTCTGCCAAAAATCATCGAACCATGACCAAATTCGAACTTGACCTCTATTTTCTCATGACATATCCATATGTCAAGTTTGAGTTGAATGTGTTGTACCGTTGGGGAGATGATGAACGGAAACTGAAATTTCATATTATTTTCAAAGTAAAAGGGGCATAACTCTGCCAAAAATCATCAAACCATGACCAAATTCGAACTTGACCTGTATTTTCTTATGACATATCCATATGTCAAATTTGAGTTGAATGTGTGCAACCGTTCTTAAGATTATGAACGGAAACTGATGATGACGGAATGACAGAATGACTGAAGGATGGAAGGACGGAAGGATGGAAGGACGGAAGGACGGAATGACGGAACAGGGTAACACTATATGCCCCGGCCATTACATGGCGGGGGCATAAAAATAGAAGAGGAGGTGTTTATGAAGGTAAGGGTGGGTGGGGAAAGGTTTGGATGAAAGTATACTATAGAAATATCTAAATGAATGGGTGGTGATACTAAGTAATGTCACACATAAAGTTAGAGATACGATACTACTGACTTACTTGGTCTGTCTTTTGAAATAAATATGAAAACAAAACATTGTTGTTAGTACAGTAACTTTATTCTGAATATTGATTTAAAAATAAACCAATAATTTGAGATGATAGCTAATCATTTGCATGACAATTGTTCACAGGGGAAATACAAGTCATTTCCTTTTGGGGTACATTAATTCTGTTAATGGAATTTATTAAGCCTTGCTACTTATATTTATTGCTGTAATGGAATTTATTTAGCCTTGCTACTAATTGCTGTAATGGAATTTATTTAGCCTAGCTACTAATTGCTGTAATGGAATTTATTAAGCTTTGCTACTGATTGCTGTAATGTAATTTATTACACCTTGCTACTAATTGCTGTAATGGAATTTATTAAGCCTTGCTACTAATTGTGTAATGGAATTTATTAAGCCTTGCTACTAATTGCTGAAATGGAATTTATTAGGCCTTGCTACTAATTGCTGTAATGGAATTTATTAAGCCTTGCTACTAATTGCTGAAATGGAATTTATTAGGCCTTGCTACTAATTGCTGTAATGGAATTTATTAAGCCTTGCTACTAATTGCTGTAATGGAATTTATTAAGCCTTACTACTAATTGTGTAATGGAATTTATTAAGCCTTGCTACTAATTGCTGAAATGGAATTTATTAGGCCTTGCTACTAATTGCTGTAATGGAATTTATTAAGCCTTGCTACTAATTGCTGTAATGGAATTTATTAAACCTTGCTGCTAATTACTGTAGTGGAATTTATTTGCTACTTATTGCTGTAATTAAATTTATTGATTCTAGCTACTCATTATTGCAATGGAATTTATAAAAGTCTTGCTATTAAATGCAGTTTTTACTGAACACAATGTACTTTCACTACAGTAGCATACCATAATCTAAGTTAATTCTGTACAATATATAACTACCTTATCTGTTTTAATGACATCTATAAACCTTGGAATATCTTTGAGTTGTAGGGATGCATCACTTAGTATTTTGAATCTTCTTTTATATACCAGACAATGTTTGTCAACATCTAGTGCTTTTAGTATACCATCTTGAATCTCACATTCTGTCACTGGAAAAACAACAAAATATACTCCTATTGATACATGTACTGTGTATCAATACCTTAGGATCTACATGATTTGGTGTTAATATCTTAAATTTAAATTCTAAGCTAGGGTAGTGAAGCTATAAGGGTAAAATTTAATTGCCTGTGTCAATTTTCTTGAAGTGTGAAGTATTTTATTTTGAGCGTTTTTATTTAAATCAGGAGGCATTCCTCTATGAGTAATATATTCCCCCCTCTTTTTATCCTCCCCAGCCCCTGCTATGATACTGAAAATTCTTTAACTTATCTTTTTATGTTTGAAATTCTTAAAAAAACTGTTCAGACATGCAATATTATTGTTCTTATATTCTTTATTGCAATAAAATAACATAAGAGTGAAAAAATAAAATTAAAGTCTACATTATTGTAGAAAAATTTTCCTTTCAGCTTATTTGAAAGTTTTTTCCCCTCATATGGCTAAGCCCCCTTTCTCCAAAAAGTGAAACACTGTCTTGTTATGAGCATACCTGATAAGAAATACTGATGTTTTTCCTCAGCCGTCATTTTCCCATCATTGAATGCTGAGTCAGCAGATTTCCTGAGAATGTTCTGTAATGCTTCAAATGTATTCCACCAATCAGCAGTGTCCTTTATCCGGGGCTCCTCACATCCAGGTGAAAAATCAGCAAAAAATGTATACTTTGATCTGATTGGCTAAAATTAATAACACTTTTATTGATTAACATGTATATGCATATATCATTCATATCAACAAGACACCTATCAGTCCTATCCCAAAGATTAAACTTGGAAAACTGTAAGTAAAAACGTCTTTCATATATTTTATAACTCTTGGTCATGTAGTTATATTGAGTCATTTAATGATGAACAAAACAGCAAAATGTAACAAAATTTTCAACACCTTGCATTAGATTTTTTTTACACTTACACTTTAAAGGTGAGAGGTGACAAGATTTACTGGCAGAACATCCAGAGTTCCCATTACTATTTATGGTATGAGAATGTACCAAAGATTGCAAAACCTACATTGTGTAACCCAGCTCAACAGCACTCTCACTTGCATTAGTAATTTTCTTTTGGGAATCAAACTTACAAAATGATGACTGATGTTTAAAGTCAATCATTAAATCTAAAAGTCACGAATTACGTACATTGGGTTTGTCATTTTATACAAAAGCTGCATAATTGTAAATGATGCCTCATACATTAAAATAATACAGAAAAAGGCTTATTGATCCAAAAATTATTCTTCAATCCTAAAATTTTACATGTTCCATTTTTAACCTAGTATGGCCCAGTCAAGAATAGAATCTTTTTGATTGTCTTGCCATAAAATAACAATACCTGAAGCATGTACATATTTGGAACAGCATTCTCGTCTAGTTTATACCATTCCTCTAGAAGTTGTCTATTCTCCAAGTTCAGCTTGGCTGCCTCATACCTCAACCTCTCAAATGTTTTAACATTTAATTCTACTGGTATAGGACGGAAACCATAACGATCCCCAGACAAAACCTGACAATATGAAAAAAAGATGTTTTTAAACAACTAGATGATATTTATACAAGAGGGCCATGATGGCCCTGAGTCGCTCACCAGAAACAACTGGCTGCTTTTCAGTGTTGGAATGTCAATATATTCTAATATTAAATTTGAGCATAGAATATGTTTAAACAATAATTTGAAGAAATGCCATGACCTGGGGCATTTAAGCTTTAGCTTAAACGGGGCTAATCAAATTAATATGAGCAAACTTGATAAAAGACTACCAAAGAATGCTACATAGTTTGGTGATCATCTATCAATTATTTCAGTAGGAAATGATGTTCGAAGGTTTTTTTCTATTTTTAGTTTTAATGGCCCCTAAAAGAGGCTAATCAAATTAATATAAGCAAACTTGATAAAAGAGTACCAAAGAATGCTACAGACAAAGTTTGGTGATCATCCATCAATTGGTTCTGAAATAGAAGATGTTTAAAGGTTTTTCTATTTTTAGCTTTAGCGGCCCCTTAAAGGAACCAATCAAATTAATGTGGGTAAACTTGATAAAAGACTACACAAGAATGCTACAGACAAAGTTTGGTGATCATCCATTTATGAGTTCTGTAGGAGAAGATGTTTAAACATATTTCTATTTTTAATTTCAATGGCCCCTAAAAGGGGCCAACCAAATTAATGTGACAGACTTGATAAAAGACTACCCAAGAATGCTACAAACAAAGTTTGGTGATCATCCATCAATTGGTTCTGAAGTAGAAGATGTTTAAAGGTTTTTCTATTTTTAGCTTTAGCAGCCCCTGAAAGGGGCCAATCAAATTAATGTGAGCAAACTTGATAAAAAATTACCCAAAAATGCTACAGATAAAGTTGGGTGATCATCCATCAATTAGTTCTTTAGCAATAACGTTTAAATGTATATCTATTTTTAATTTTAGCGGCCCCTAAAAGGGGCCAATCAAATTAATATGAGCAAATTTGATAAAATACTACCCAAGAATGCTACAGACAAAGTTTGGTGATCATCCATCAATTAGTTCTGTAGGAGAAGACATTTAAAGGTTTTTCTATTTTTAGCCCTAGAGACCCCTTAAAGGGGCCAATCAAATTCATATGACCAAACTTGATAAAAGACTACCCAAGAATGCTACAGACAAAGTTTGGTGATCATCCATCAATTAGTTCTGCAGAAGAAGATATCTAAAGATTTTTCTATTTTTAGCTATAGAGACCCCTAAAATGGGCTATTCAAATTAATATGAGCAAACTTGATCAAAGACTACCCAAGAATGCTACAGACAAAGTTTGGTGATCATCCATCAATTAGTTCTGTAGAATTGGACATTTAAAGGTATTTCTATTTTAAGCTTTTGTGGCCCCTAAAAGGGGCCAATCAAATTAATATTAGCAAACTTGATAAAAGACTACACAAGAATGCTACAGACAAAGTTTGGTGATCATCCATCGATTAGTTCTCTAGAAATAGACATTTTAAGGTATTTCTATTTTAAGCTTTAGCGGCCCCTAAAAGGGGCTAATCAAATTAATATGAGCAAAAATGATAAAACATTACCCTAGAATGCTACAGACAAAGTTTGGTGATCATCAATCAATTAGTTCTCTAGAAATAGACATTTAATGGTATTTCTATTTTTAGCTTTTGCGGCCCCAAAAAGGGGCCAATCAAAATAATATTAACAAACTTGATAAAAGACTACCTAAGAATGCTACAGACAAAGTTTGGTGATCATCCATCAATTAGTTCTCTAGAAATAGACATTAAACGGTATTTCTATTTTTAGCTTTAGTGGCCCCTAAAAGGGGCCAATCAAATTAATATGAGCAAACTTGATAAAACACTACCCAAGAATGCTACAGACAATGTTTGGTGGTCATCAATCAATTAGTTCTGTAGGAGAAGACGTTTAAAGGTTTTTCTATTTTTAGCCCTAGAGACCCCTAAAAGGGGCCAATCAAAATAATATGAGCAAACTTGATAAAAGACTACCTAAGAATGCTACAGACAAAGTTTGGTGATAATCCATCAATTAGTTCTGTAGGAGAAGATGTTTAAAGGTTTTTCTATTTTTAGCCCTAGAGACCCCTAAAAGGGGCCAATCAAATTAATATGAGCAAACTTGATAAAAGACTACCCGAGAATGCTACAGACAAAGTTAATGCTACAGACAAAGTTTGGTGATCATCCATCTATTAGTTCTGTAGAAGAAGATGTTTAAAGGTTTTTCTATTTTTAGCTCTGCTGACCCCTTAAAGGGGCCAATTGGAATGACATGAGCAAATTCCAGTGTGACTGTCACAAGGATGCTACAGACCAAATCTGAAGTAAATCTGTTAAGTAGTTTCAGAGAAGAAGAAGATTGTTGACGCATGACGACGGACGATGGACGCCAGAGCATTCCCCTTTGATACTAATAGCTCACCCTGAGCCTTCGGCTCTGGTGAGCTAAAAAGAGAAAGTTTATGTAACATTCGCACATCTTAAACTGACGTGATCATTGTTGATGGTTGTACTCAGGTGCCTGTTTGTGCCTAAAATAATGCACTGATGGGCACCCGAGGTCTTCCTCCACAAGTAAATCTAGAACGTAGCCATATGACCTATACTGTGTCGGTGTGACATAAAACCCAATCAAACTAACAAAACATACAGACCTGATCATGATACATGTATATAAATCCGTCAGACTCACAATGGAAATCTCAAAGAAGAATAACTCTACCACAAAAAGAATTAACTCATGCAGACTACATTCAAACAGTTATTTTTCAAATTGAAATTAGCAGAGTACAAGTTCTGTTGCTTCTCTGTCTAAGTTCAGACTTAAATCAGAATCTCAAAGAAACAAGCAGCTGTGCAAAAGCTAGATGGATGTTTTTGTTAAATAATAAAAAGGAGTAACATACATCAAAATTGCAACAAAAACAAACCAGTTAATAGCATTTCTTCATTTGTGAAGCTTCATTCATAAAAAATTAGTTGAATATTTGTGAATAAAATGACAAAAAAAATCAATACAAATCTATCTTATAACAGAAATATATGAACTTCTACTGTTGTTTTCATATACTTTTTCAACAAGCTGTTTATAGTTTATTGCACATATACTGATAAGAAATCTGTGTTTAAAATATCAGTAAAGGTTTGAAATATACCACAAAGTTTGGCCCAACTGATGTTTTTTGACAATTTGCTACTTCAAGTAAACACAACTTCTCTACAGAGTGATCATTGATGCTGTCCTCCGTAACACCCCATCTCATGTCCACAACCTGAAAGTCAAGGCCAACCGAAGCGCAGTAATCACGCAGGTGGGGATATGCCTCTCGTACCAATGTGTTCCTCTCTGCACGCATATCTGTTAGTGAAGAACAATGTAGCCATATAACTGACAAATATCATTGTGATTTGAGGGATAAATTTCTAATGCAGCCTAGAATTGAATTCTTTCATGTGAAGTAGCTATTCAGACAACATTGAGAAACTTTGTCTATAGCTAGCTGGCAAATGTAGAGCTTAGCAAAATTATGACCATGGATTTGAGGCTGATATAGCTCACCTCCGAGTGTAACTTGATAAATTGATAAAAATCATTAACAGTATAAGGAAGCTGGTGCTAGACCTCATAAAATTTGGTTTTAACCTTACCTGAAAATGTTGAGCTGAGAAAAATCTTGACCATAGTTTTAGGCAAGGGAGGTAAATCTTTCAAATCACCATGTAGCATCACGTTAAACTTGCGCGTTGCATCTTGGGAATATTTTGGCTTTTCTAAAAAATCAGAATATTTAGTTAACATAATTATCTAGCTGTAAATAGTAGGAGTCAAACATCAAAATTTTACACCACATAATGAGCTGTGACAAAAAATTTATGCACTTGATGATTTATTCCTGGTAACAATTAAGATGAGGTGTTGAGACATGGCAGGGTCAAGTAACATCTAATTGAGAAATTTTGGAAACAAATATTCATTATAAAGATTTTTTTTTTAAAAATATGCTTTTTTACAGTTTAATTTCATCTTACAATAAATACAAATTTGAATCAGGTAATTTTTGTAATCTGTAATCATTTTCCTTTGCTTTATCCAAAATGAGTTCATTTCCTTGCATGTCAACACTTATTTTTGTAATCTATATTATTTATGAGTGGATAGAAAAAATGTTGAATGTTTTCGAGTTATACAGAAAACTTTTTTTCATCATACCTTTCTTAACATTACTGCGGTAATTTTTATCCTTCTCACTCCTGTTAACATAAAATAATAGGATTCATATTAGTGATATATTACACATGTATATTACCAAAGGGGTCCTACACTCTCAGTCTTAGATATGTTCATATACAAAAAATGTATATTGTAAGTAACCTGCACAAGCAATTTAAGAAAAAATAGTTGTGAGGTTATTTGAAAGGTTACTTACTCTGTACATGAGTGTATCAGACACCTTTGGTATATATCTATGTTGTTGCATATTGCATGTTTAATTACTGCCGGTAAAAAATACCTTTCTTATTTATTAGGACGGCATTAACCAATAAAAATGCACTGAACCATTTAATAATAATCAATTTCATGAAAACATTAAGATAGAGTAGAAATTGGCCAACACAACATAGCCAGGTAAGATTACACTAGAGTATAGACTGGCCAACACAACATAGCCAGGTTAGACTACACTACAATATAGACTGGCCAACACAACATAGCCAGGATAGACTGCACTAGAGCACAGACTGACCAACACAACATAGCCAGGATAGACTGCACTAGAGTACAGACTGACCAACACAACATAGCCAGGACAGACTGCACTAGAGTACAGACTGACTGACACAACATAGTCAGGATAGACTGCACTAGAGTACAGACTGACTAACACAACATAGTCAGGATAGACTGCACTAGAGTACAGACTGACTAACACAACATAGCCAGGATAGACTGCACTAGAGTACAGACTGGCCAACACAACATAGTCAGGATAGACTGCACTAGAGTACAGACTGACCAACACAACATAGCCAGGATAGACTGCACTAGAGTACAGACTGACCAACACAACATAGCCAGGATAGATTGCACAAGAGTACAGACTGACCAACACAACATAGCCAAGTCAGACTACACTAGAGTACAGATTGGCCAACACAACATAGCCAGGTCAGACTTCACTAGAGTATAGATTGGCCGACACAACATAGTCAGGTCAGACTGCACTAAAGTAGAGATTGGCCAACACAACATAACCAGATCAGAATGCACTAGAGTACAGGCTGGTCTAGCTCATGTTGATGGCATTAGTCTGCTATTATAGCCAGCAATATTTGAAGAACTAAACTTACACCACCAATGCTGCTCCTTTTGTCTTGAATTTTTGCTTTGGTTTAGCATCCTGAAATATATTCAATATTGTGAATGTATATATAGCTTTGTTTACACAAGTTAAAGCTGCATGCCTCTCGATGAGCCAAAAACTTAAGACTAGGATTTAAAGAAAAAGTTAAATGATTCAAGCTTTAAAAATATTTTACATGTTATGTGTGATTAATGTCAAATTTTGCAGTACATGTATTTATTTCATATTTCTACTGCAGGACTAATGCACTGTATAGGCTATTTTTGCATATTTTGAACTCTTTTTGCCAACCTATGTGGATTTAAAGTGACTTTTGCAATGCGTAAATGGATGTCCACTTTACAATATTTTACTTGTAAAACATTTTACAAAAATCATGACAATTAGCCGGAGGCATGCTGCTTTAACCACTTATTCAGGACAATAACATAACAGATACAAACAAGCATGATTTACCAACAAAGTAAAATATTATGTACACAATGTATTTATCAAGGCCTGGTGAGCAAATGATAAAAAGTTGTAATTTTCAAGCATTGACCAATTTGAAGATAACTATAACAGTATCAGTATAGGTTAGTTATAACAAACCAAAATAAAAAATGACAAAGAAAACATACCTTAATAAGTTTATCCCCAGACTTCAGCTGAAATGATGAGGCTCTCTGACCACTCATTCTCTTGCCTGCCAATTAATATCAAAATAATGAAACAAATCACAAAAATATCAACAGAAATTCGTCCTTAGACAGCACACTTGACTATTCTCAGTGCATTGTTTTAAAATGTAAAATGAATGTGTTATGTAAAGAAAGTATAAATAAACGGCCTTTAATGTGGTTCCACAATAAAAGAAGACCATTGTGCTTGACAGTAAGGAAAGGGGCATAACTCTGAAAAAAAGGTAAGCCATGGACCTGTGCCCATGATGTTAGTTAATCATAGTAAACAATGTCTAAAGTTTCAACCTTTTCCCTACAGTAGTTTTGGAGATACCAACTTGTACAAAAAAAAATAACCAAAGATGACGCCTTCAAAATTAATAGCCAAGTTTTGTGTAATTTTCTTTGATTTTCAATTTGTACTCGAATTTGCAGATAATGTAAATTTAAATGAATGAATTTACACACTTGACCCTTGATAAGTTGATTCATATTTTGTTTTCATTTACTTATTTTGGTATAAGATCATTTTTTGCAAAAGAGAAAAAAACTTTTACTTATACTATATACAATTTGTTTTATTTCTCCAGTTTCAGTTATTTGCATTTGAAGCTATTTTCTGCTTTTTTACAATATTTATCAATGGCAATGCTTAAAGTTGTTCAAAATAAATAATAAAAAGTAGAATGTTAGCATTATTTATTAATTTTTTTATTTATGTTCTCATTAAACGACCAGATTACTTATTTACAATTAGAGCTAAATGAACTTACCTGAGGTTTTAGAGCTTAATGAAGACATCTTGAATCTAACTTATCACACAGCTCCCATTCATTCAAACTCTAAAGAATAAATTTATGAAAAACATAAGAGACAGACACAAGATATGATGACAGGTCTGTCCTTAAAAAGCAAATATCAGAGTTGATCACACTTTAAAGTAAATTGTTATGTATTGACACTATGTTATTTTCAATGAAGTGATTTATTTGGATTAATATGTTCATGCATGTTATAATAAAAAAAAATTTATTTACAAAGTAATTTTGAAATAATTTTAAAAATATGGCAAAATAATATATTTTTCAAAAATAAATCTTCTCTTTTGTAAGCAGGATTCTTTTGGTGATTGCATGTTTTGTTTGAAAATGGCCATTCAAAATTTGCTCAAGCTAAATAAAAGTCCATAATGATCTTATAATAACCTTATTACCGTAATAAATTTCCATTGTTTTTCAATTTAATAGAAGTTAATGTTCTTATTTTTTAAATTTCATTTCTATCACCATTACTGTAAACTAATCTAAACCAGTCACTCACCTATGCAAAAAGGAAGTGGCTAGTCGTACGGGCCCGTACGGCTAGCCAAAAGTTCTAGCCGTACGTGAGTCACGTACGACTAGCCAGGACTCGCTGTATTGTCTAGCCGTACGGCACTTTTCAAAATTATATAGAAGTCGACCATGCATATGTTATTTTGTGCCTCATGATTATGATTTGTTGTTTTATTTGACTGAAAGATGTTTTTTTGTTAATTAAGCACATGGATCGAATAAATAATGATCGGAGTGAAATAAATAAATAAATACATAGAACATTGAAAAAAAAAAAACGGTGAAAAGCAAAAATAATTGTATAATTTTCAAATACAGTAGATAAATATCGAACATAAAAGCACAAACAATTAATAAGCCATAAATAAAGCCTACCCAGGGACTGACAATAGAATTTTAAAATGCGTTTCACGGAACATGCAAACTTTCCTTAATGATGGACAAACTTCTATACCGTCGGTATTAAATTAACGCAAATATCAGAGCCTAACATTGATTTTTTTTTTCATTTTAAAGGTGTCGAAAATTAAACTTTATGAAACAAAAAAGGATTATTATCAAAATTTTGTAAACTATTTCAATTTATGTGATTTAACTGCGACCTAACGCTATTTTTTTCTCGATGTCTTGAAATGATAAAAATCGATATTCGTACTTCTTTTACTGTAGCCAACAAGGCGATTAATCTCTATTTCAAGTAAATATACGAAGACAATTACTATTTCATGGTTAAAATCCTCGCTTAAAGTCACGAAAAAACATATATGTATAATTTCGACTTCTATATAAATTTGAAAAGTGCCGTACGGCTAGACAATACAGTGTGTCCTGGCTAGTCGTACGTGACTCACGTACGGCTAGAACTTTTGGCTAGCCGTACGGGCCCGTACGGCTAGCCACTTCCATGCAAAAAAAACATTACAAACATAAGATACACAAATGACTATATATTAATCATTTATCTTGAGTTAAATTCTTTTGTTTTGAAATCACTGCTTCCTTGTTCTTACCCATAGGCTACATGATAAAATCTCAATTGAGTGGCTTTTTCTACTGACTATTTACTTATATCCAGTTGCCACCCCTGTTTTTTAGTACATGTACCAATATCCTTAATGTGACCATAAATCAAATGTTTATGTTTCCCATGAAAACATTTTAACTGGAATATGTACAGTATTACTGACTTGCACATTATCGAGGCATCCTTAAAACTGATGAAATCAGCCTTTTGGAATCCAGAAATGTATCTAGTATGCAGCGCTGATTTACCTATGTCAGATTAAATACTATAAAAATACGAGCTTAATCATTTGTAATCATATAAAACTTGCACTGTGTAAATTCAAAACATAATTCCAACAACCACTAAGTAAGTTAGTTTTTGTTATGTCAGAATTAGTTCCATTTAATCAATTGTGCAACTTTGTTGGTAGACAAGTTTAAATCCGTTAATGCCGACTAACAAATACTAAGTTTAACCTATACTGGCATAGTTTATTGCTCTAAACCTAGCTAGGTTAAGGATAATTTTCCAATTCTAATTTCTATACTCAGTACACTCATTTTATCTTCAGCTAAATATTTTCACATGATTGATGACAACAACTGAACAACACTGTCACATCAAGAGTTAAAACTGTGAAATAAGAAATTCCACTTAAAAATATTCAAATGTTCCATTCAGGTAACTGATTTAGATCAATAATACCAATTAAAGAGTGCAAAGTAAGGTGAAGGCCAAATTCACAATTAACCAAACTTCATTTGATGCGCTTACAGACAGTTATTCCGTCAATAATTTTCTAAGTAATACATTGCATTATTAGACTGGATAAGTTAACAAGAAATACAACAGACTGACTATCATATCCGTATGACAGTGAAATGTTACCTCAAAAACTAAAACTAAATATAATCCATCAGCCTATTTTCAGTAAATGCTTGGTTAGCAACCCGGAACAGGGGAGATAACAAGCACCTGTTAAAAGTCTGGATCGTCAAGCGCTTAATTCAAGATCACGTAACTCTGTCGACCTTCACCTTTTGAAAGTTTTGACCCTGTAGTATACTTCATAGTAAACAAATAAGTGAACGGGAAGAAATGACAGAAAAAGTTGATAAAACCAAGAGGATAGGAAGATGGTATTTCGGTGGTGTCGCCAGTGCCATGGCAGCTTGCTGTACCCATCCATTAGATTTGCTGAAGGTATGTCAACTACATGTGTACATGTCATGTATCATATGCACACATATATACATGTAGGCCTACTGTAGAAGTACTCAAACTTTTACATCAGTGAGAGTGTAGATGTTTCCGTCTATCCAAGAAATTAAAGAAATCTAGGGGTGAATTTCCTTTTGTCTTTGTTTTTAAGGGACCAGGCCAGGTCCTCTATCACTCACAAATTTTAGTTGTGTTTTAGGCAATGCTAGATCTAGCTACAGAGACTTCAGCTAGTACTGCTACATGTAGACCTGTTACTGCCGCACAACGTCAAAAAAATGACATATTAAGTTATGGAAGCCAGAACAAGATATTGTGGTAATATATTGTACTGTGCATCCTCTGAGAACGATTGTCACGGTTCAGAACTGTTCACTATTTAGCGGAGAAAATGTGTAAGCGGCCGGATAGCTCAGTCAGTAGAGCCGCGGTATGGTATTCCGAGGGCCCCGGGTTCGAGTCCCGGTCAGGCTGCACTTTTTTCTCACCCTGTGACATTTGGTGCCCAAGGGGGGACCGTGACTGTACATAAAGCTCAGAGTTTAATTTACATTGCTCTGCAACTCTGTGAAATTCATGGACAAATTTCAATATAGCAGGGGAGTATGTCATGGTTCAGAACTGTTCACTATTTAGGGGAGAAGATGTGTAAGCGGCTGGATAGCTCAGTCGGTAGAGCCGCGGTAAGGTATTCTGAGGGCCCCGGGTTTGAGTCCCGGTCAGGCTGCACTTTTTTCTCACCCTGTGACATTTGGTGCCCAAGGGGGGGACTGTGACTGTACATAAAGCTCAGAGTTTAATTTACATTGCTCTGCAACTCTGTGAAATTCGTGGACAAATTTCAATATAGCAGGGGAGTATGTCACGGTTCAGAACTGTTCACTATTTAGGGCGGAAGATGTGTAAGTGGCCAGATAGCTCAGTTGGTAGAGCCGCAGTACGGTATTCCGAGGGTCCCAGGTTCGAGTCCCGGTCAGGCTGCACATTTTTTTTCACCCTGTGACACGATGGTCAGTGCTGGGTTTCAAAAGAAGTGTATAATTTTTTTTATAAGACATGAATCGTCTGTACTACATAAACAATTTGATTCAACCAATGATATTCTTTGAACAAATATATTTATAGACAGTGACATATCCATCATATTTATAATAAGCACAAGCAAGAGATTTAATCATTTATGTGGTTAATGTGTAATACTAGTCAATTGTAGTTCTGGCCCCTCATCCTTGAAATTCACGCTTTCTCTCGGGTTAGGACTCAGGAGGGCAGTGGTTACAGTTCACTTGTGTTAGGACTCAGGAGGGCAGTGGTTACAGTTCACTTGTGCATATTCGATTGGCAAAAATCAAATTGATGGTTGTGGCTTGGCCAAGTGTATGTAAATGAAACTTTACACTCATTGCTTAGTACTGGTTGGTTCCAGGAATGGATTCAACAGTGTTTTACAGTTTATAAATATGCTTACCCTCATACTCTGTAAGGTCACCGTCCTCAGCTTCAGTCAGGACATCAGCAGCTGGTCCTCAGGTACAAGTTCTGTTCTCTGTTATTTTTAGCCATCCCAAGTTCTTTAAACCTTCTACCAATGCCCTATGCCTTCTCTATGACATGCACATATATAGATAGTTGAAAGTTTTGGGTTAACCTACTGTATTTGTATTATGAATTTGTCATATTTTATTGGAACTGTTCATTATTAGATTGAGGGATTGATAATTTAAAATGCTAACACTAAGCAGCAAACAATTAAACCCTGATAAGTTGATAACACAACACAAATATGATAGCTTGCCTGACCTGATCAGATTACACAAATGTGATAGCTTACCTGACCTGATCAAATTACACAAATGTGATAGCTTACCTGGCTTGATCAGTTTACACAAATGTGAAAGCTTGTCTGACCTGATCAAATTACTTAAATTCATAGCTTACCTGACCTGATCAGATTTATCATTACACAAATGTGAAAGCTTGCCTTGATCAAATCACACAAATGTGATAGCTTGCCTGACCTGATCAGATTACACAAATGTGATAGCTTACCTGACCTGATCAGATTACACAAATATGATAGATTGCCTGACCTGATCAGATTACACAAATGTGAAAGCTTGCCTGACCTGATCAAATTACACAAATGTGATAGCTTACCTGACCTGATCAGAGTACACAAATGTGAAAGCTTACCTGACCTGATCAGATTACACAAAATTAATGTGATAGCTTACCTGACCTAATCAGATTACACAAATGTGATAGCTTACCTGACCTGATCAGATTACACAAATATGATAGCTTACCTGACCTGATCAGATTACTCAAATATGATAGCTTACCTGACCTGATCAAATTACACAAATATGATAGCTTACCTGACCTGATCAGATTACACAAATATGATAGCTTACCTGACCTGATCAAATTACACAAATATGATAGCTTGCCTGCCCTGATCAGATAACCAAATGAGATAGCTTACCTGACTTGATCAGATTACACAAATGTGATAGCTTGCCTGACCTTATCAGATTACACAAATGTGTTTGTTTCCCCAACTAATGTGATAGATTGCCTGACCTGATCAGATTACACAAATGTGAAAGCTTGCCTGACCTGATCAGATAACCAAATGTGATAGCTTACCTGACTTGATCAGATTACACAAATGTGATAGCTTGCCTGACCTTATCAGATTACACAAATGTGAAAGCTTACCTGACCTGATCAGATAACCAAATGTGATAAGCTTACCTGACTTGATCAGATTACACAAATGTGATAGCTTGCCTGACCTTATCAGATTACACAAATGTGTTTGTTTCCCCAACTTATGTGATAGCTTGCCTGACCTGATCACATTACACAAATGTGATAGCTTACCTGACCTGATCAGATTACACAAATGTGAAAGCTTGCCTGACCTGATCAGATAACCAAATGTGATAGCTTACCTGACTTGATCAGATTACACAAATGTGATAGCTTGCCTGACCTTATCAGATTACACAAATTTGTTTGTTTCCCCAACTAATGTGATAGCTTGCCTGACCTGATCAGATTACACAAATGTGATAGTTTACCTGACCTGATCAGATTACACAAATGTGATAGCTTACCTGACCTGATCAGATTACTCAAATGTGATAGCTTACCTGACCTGATCAGATTACACAAATGTGATAGCTTACCTGACCTGATCAGATTACTCAAATGTGATAGCTTACCTGACCTGATCAGATTACTCAAATGTGATAGCTTACCTGACCTAATCAGATTACACAAATATGATAGCTTACCTGACCTGATCAGATTACACAATTGTGATAGCTTACCTGACCTAATCAGATCACAAAAATGTGATAGCTTACCTGACCTGATCAAATTACACAAATATGATAGCTTACCTGACCTGATCAGATTACACAAATATGATAGCTTACCTGACCTGATCAGATTACACAAATGTGATAGCTTACCTGACCTAATCAGATTACACAAATGTGATAGATTGCCTGACCTGATCAGAGTACACAAATGTGATAGCTTACCTGATCTGATTAGCTTACCTGACCTGATCAGATTACACAAATATGATAGCTTACCTGACCTGATCAGATTACACAAATGTGATAGCTTACCTGACCTGATCAGATTACACAAATGTGATAGCTTACCTGACCTAATCAGATTACACAAATATGATAGCTTACCTGACCTGATCAAATTACACAAATGTGATAGCTTACCTTACCTGATCAAATTACACAAATGTGATAGCTTACCTGACCTGATCAGATTACACAAATGTGATAGCTTACCTGACCTGATCAGATTACACAAATGTGATATCTTACCTGACCTAATCAGATTACACAAATATGATAGCTTACCTGACCTGATCAAATTACACAAATGTGATAGCTTACCTTACCTGATCAAATTACACAAATGTGATAGCTTACCTGACCTGATCAAATTACACAAATGTGATAGCTTACCTGACCTAATCAGATCACACAAATGTGATAGCTTACCTGACCTGATCAAATTACACAAATATGATAGCTTACCTGACCTGATCAGATTACACAAATATGATAGCTTACCTGACCTGATCAGATTACACAAATATGATAGCTTACCTGACCTGATCAGATTACACAAATGTGATAGCTTACCTGACCTAATCAGATTACACAAATGTGATAGATTGCCTGACCTGATCAGAGTACACAAATGTGATAGCTTACCTGATCTGATTAGCTTACCTGACCTAATCAGATTACACAAATGTGATAGCTTACCTGACCTGATCAGATTACTCAAATGTGATAGCTTACCTGACCTAATCAGATTACACAAATGTGATATCTTACCTGACCTAATCAGATTACACAAATATGATAGCTTACCTGACCTAATCAGATTACACAAATGTGATAGGTTGCCTGACCTGATCAGAGTACACAAATGTGATAGCTTACCTGACCTGATCAGATTACACAAATGTGATAGCTTACCTGACCTGATCAGATTACACAATGTGATAGCTTACCTGACCTGATCTGTTTACACAAATGTGATAGCTTACCTGACCTGATCAGATTACTCAAATGTGATAGCTTACCTGACCTGATCAGATTACTCAAATGTGATAGCTTACCTGACCTAATCAGATTACACAAATATGATAGCTTACCTGACCTGATCAGATTACACAATTGTGATAGCTTACCTGACCTAATCAGATCACAAAAATGTGATAGCTTACCTGACCTGATCAAATTACACAAATATGATAGCTTACCTGACCTGATCAGATTACACAAATATGATAGCTTACCTGACCTGATCAGATTACACAAATGTGATAGCTTACCTGACCTAATCAGATTACACAAATGTGATAGATTGCCTGACCTGATCAGAGTACACAAATGTGATAGCTTACCTGATCTGATTAGCTTACCTGACCTGATCAGATTACACAAATATGATAGCTTACCTGACCTGATCAGATTACACAAATGTGATAGCTTACCTGACCTGATCAGATTACACAAATGTGATAGCTTACCTAAGCTGATCAGATTGCACAAATGTGATAGCTTGCCTGACCTGATCAAATTACACAAATGTTATAGCTTAACTAAGCTGATCAAATTACACAAATGTGATAGATTGCCTGACCTGATTAGATTACACAAATGTGATAGATTGCCTGGCCTGATCAGATTACACAAATGTGATAGCTTACCTGACCAGATCAAATTACACGAATGTTATAGCTTACCTGACCTGATCAAATTACACAAATGTGATAGCTTACCTTACCTGATCAAATTACACAAATGTGATAGCTTACCTGACCTGATCAAATTACACAAATGTGATAGCTTACCTGACCTAATCAGATCACACACAAATGTGATAGCTTACCTGACCTGATCAAATTACACAAATATGATAGCTTACCTGACCTGATCAGATTACACAAATATGATAGCTTACCTGACCTGATCAGATTACACAAATATGATAGCTTACCTGACCTGATCAGATTACACAAATGTGATAGCTTACCTGACCTAATCAGATTACACAAATGTGATAGATTGCCTGACCTGATCAGAGTACACAAAATGTGATAGCTTACCTGATCTGATTAGCTTACCTGACCTAATCAGATTACACAAATGTGATAGCTTACCTGACCTGATCAGATTACTCAAATGTGATAGCTTACCTGACCTAATCAGATTACACAAATGTGATATCTTACCTGACCTAATCAGATTACACAAATATGATAGCTTTACCTGACCTAATCAGATTACACAAATGTGATAGGTTGCCTGACCTGATCAGAGTACACAAATGTGATAGCTTACCTGACCTGATCAGATTACACAAATGTGATAGCTTACCTGACCTGATCAGATTACACAAATGTGAAAGCTTAGCTAACTTGATCAAAAAACACAAATGTGATAGCTTACCTGACCTGATCAGATTACACAAATGTGATAGCTTACCTGACCTGATCAGATTACACAAATGTGATAGCTTGCCTGACCTGATCAAATTACACAACTATAATAGCATTCCTGACCTGATCAAATAACACAATTATAATAGCTTTCCTGACCTGATCAGATTACACAAATATAATAGCTTTCCTGACCTGATCAGATTACACAAATGTGATAGCTTAACTGACCTGATCAGATTACACAAATGTGATAGCTTGCCTGACCTGATCAGATTACACAAATGTGATAGCTTGCCTGACCTGATCAGATTACACAAATGTGATAGTTTACCTGACCTGATCAGATTACACAAATGTGATAGCTTACCTGACCTGATCAGTTTACACAAATGTTATAGCTTACCTGACCTGATCAGATAACACAAATGTGATAGCTTGTCTGACCTGATCAGATTACACAAATGTGATAGCATTCCTGACCTGATCAAATTACACAATTATAATAGCTAGCCTGACCTGATGAGATTACACAAATGTGATAGCTTACCTAAGCTGATCAGATTGCACAAATGTGATAGCTTGCCTGACCTGATCAAATTACACAAATGTTTATAGCTTGCCTAGCTTGCCTGATCAGATTACACAAATGTGATAGATTGCCTGACCTGATCAGATTACACAAATGTGATAGCTTACCTGACCTGATCAGATTACACAAATGTGATAGCTTACCTAACCTTATCAGATTACACAAATGTAATAGATTGCCAGACCTGATCAGATTTACACAAATGTGATAGCTTACCTGACCTGATCAGATTACACAAATATGATAGCTTACCTGACCTAATCAGATTACACAAATGTGATAGCTTACCTGACCTGATCAGAGTACACAAATATGATAGCTCACCTGACCTGATCAGACTACACAAAATGTGATAGCTTACCTGACCTGATCAGTTTACACAAATGTGATAGCTTACCTGACCTGATCAGATTACACAAATGTGATAGCTTACCTGACCTGATCAGAGTACACAAATATGATAGCTCACCTGACCTGATCAGACTACACAAAATGTGATAGCTTACCTGACCTGATCAGTTTACACAAATGTGATAGCTTACCTGACCTGATAAGATTACACAAATGTGATAGCTTACCTGACCTGATCAGATTACACAAATGTGATAGCTTACCTGACCTGATCAGTTTACACAAATGTGATAGCTTACCTGACCTGATAAGATTACACAAATATGATAGCTCACCTGACCTGATTAGTTTACACAAATGTGATAGCTTACCTGACCTGATCAGATTACACAAATATGATAGCTTACCTGGCTTGATCAGATTACACAAATGTGATAGCTTACCTGACCTGATCAGTTTACACAAAATGTGATAGCTTACCTGACCTTATAAGATTACACAAATATGATAGCTCACCTGACCTGATCAGACTACACAAAATGTGATAGCTTACCTGACCTGATAAGATTGTACAAATGTTATAGATTGCCTTGGTTACATTTGTCAGAGTTGAAAAATAGTTGTGAACTTTAAGTATAGAAAAGTTAATATCTGTGCAATAGTAGAATTTATCTCTATCATTTATACCATTTTCTCTTTAACAACAATTTAAGAAGGAAACATATTAATCTGGAGATTAAATGCATCCTTTTGACATTTTATAAAAGTTATTTTGCATTGTCATATTTCTATCCCATTCATTTCTACATCTAAAATTAGTTTATCATTAGAGATAGTAACCTAATTTCTGATGACATAATTTAAACCAGGTTACTCTGTAAGTTGAAGAACTGGGATATGCTAGAGATAACTGAATATATAACCTTGAGGAAAATGTTATCTTAAACTGTAAATATTGATGTTTGCAGTAAAAATTATGTAGATAAATAAAGTGTCTCTTAAACATCTTTGATCTTTGTGCCATGTCATAACAAAACCAACATAATGGGTTTGCGACCAGCATGGATCCAGACCAGCCTGCGCATCCGCGCAGTCTGATCAGGATCCATACTGTTTGCTATCAGTGTCTCTACTTGTTATAGGGTTTGTAAGCGAACAGTATGGATCCTGATCAGACTGAGCAGATGTGCAGGCTGGTCTGGATCCATGCAGGTCACAAACCCATTATGTTGGTTTTGTCATGACGCGGCTCATTTCTTTTTTTTCCCCTAAGTTTGATTGCATGTGATATACTCATCCTTAATCTTGTTAAATGTTATACATGTAAAAGGAATTGTTGAGTTTGGATATGAAGAAAATTTATAATTGGTCATCAGCTTGCCAAGAGTGTTGTCCCTTTAAAGTTACACAGTCAATGTAACCATTCTCAAGTTGTTGATTGGACAAGGATTCTCTACACTTAGTGTCACTGTGACATTGACCTTTGTCCTAATGACCTCAAAATCAATTGGGGTCATCTACTGGCAATGGTTAATGTCACTACCAATTTTCATAAAACACCTTTGCTTCTCAGTTTAGTGACTGGAAAAGGATTTTCCACAAAGTAGCAAATTTGACCTTTGACTAATGACCTCAAAATCAATAGGGGCCTTTCTACTGGCCATGCCCATCCTCCCTACAAAGTTTAATAAAGACAGCACACCTAAAATATTTAACATGTTATTGAGTAGCCTATCAATGTGGTTAATGGCTGGCCGTACTAACAATGGCCAAACCAAAGTACATGTACAACCAAAATTAACTTTAGGTTTGTAATAAAAGTTTTTTATAATCATGTACATTATGATATATACCAGGTACACATGCAGACACAGCAAGGTCAGATCAGTATATTTACGATGGCTAAAAAGTTATATGGCTCAGATGGTGTGCTAGGATTTTATAATGGTCTCTCAGCCTCAGTTATGAGACAGGTAGGCATGGCTTGATAAAAAGTTGTAACACTGTTTCTTACTGTTCTATTATTTTTTTATTGAGGATTCCCATATTGAAATATTATATTGGCTGTTAAATCACTTTAATCTATCACGGTCAATTCTCAAAATTCAAGAAACTTGACTATTGATTTTATTTTTTGATTTCATTTTAACATATTAAAACCTGATAAATAATATTGTCCTAAATGACCTTGACCATCCGGGTCAGAAAAATTGAACAAAATTTAACATAATTTTCTTTTTTTTTTACTCTTCCGGACTTTGTTTTTACATATTGAAATATGACCTTGCTTCATAAATGAACTTGACCTTTAAGGTCAAATTTGAATGTTTAAGAAATTTGATTTAAATTATCTCCATGTATGTAATAGAACACTATTTCAGTTAACTTATTCGATGACAAGATTTGCCGTGTATGATATTGGTCGTAAAGCTCTCACTAAAGATGGCAGAAACATGCCGTTTTACGAGAAAGTGTTGTTAGCAGGAACTGCCGGTGCCATGGGGGGATTTGTAGGTACCCCACCAGATATGGTCAATGTTAGGTATGTTTTATATTTACAATCTTCACCTGACTATCAAGACCTTCCTGATTACAGATGGTTTTAATTTATGTATTTAACCCTTACCTTGCTGGTGGCTTCAGGTTCTACAATTGTGACCAGTGCAGACCAAGATCAGCCGGCACATTCATGCTGTCTACACTGTTCACTGTTTGCTCATTACATATTTTGAGCTTTCCTTAAAGATAATGAATTGTACTATTAAAATCCATAATTATGCTTATTGAAATCCTCCTATAAATCTTTGAGACATTTATCACTAATCACGAGAAGGGTGTCCATAGCCGAGTGGTTAAGGTCATTGACTTCAAACCAATTGCCTATCACGGCTATAGGTGCCAGGGTCTTCAGATTTTTTCCATTTAGAAAAAGCTATCAACTCTAGGAAATGTGGGGGTTTTCTAATCGGGTGCTTTTGCCCTGAAAAAAATTTCAAGGGGCATTCAGGTTTTTCCCCCCAAAGTAAATAAAAACTTTGCTTTTGTGTTAAATAAACCCCAAACCCAAAAAAAACAAAAACAAAAAACAAAAACGGAGTATATTTTGTAGGATGCAGAATGATGTAAAGCTGCCACCAGAGCAACGAAGAAAGTAAGTTTATGTTTGTGTCAGCAGTTTTGATATTTAAGCTAAGAAATTTCATGATAACATGTGTTGTCTGTTGTGTAAGTATCTGAGAATACAATATGTGCTGAATGATGAACGTTAGATTTAGTGTACAGTCATAATTGCTCAATTGGCATATCTTCTTTACCCTACGACATTGTCTCACAGAAGTGCTACGAATACACTGAAAAATACACTGTATCACTATAAAAATAAGTTTGTTAAACTTTGTTTTAATTGATTGTTATGTAGGGTTTTAAACCATACTTAGTTATAATGTAGTAAAATATAGAATTGATATTGTTGGGAAATACTAAACCAATTGAAAGAATTTATTTGTGATTCTCAATATTGTTGATAATGACATAGCTGATGGTTCAGTTCAAGTTGCATGCCTCTGAACCCAGCAATTCTTGGTTTATTCTCTACTAGGATCATGAAAATACTTGCACACATGGCACCGGTACTTGTCAGTCCAGAATGTGAACTTTCAAATGGTTAATACAACTTGTAAAGTTTTGACATGAAAAAGTAAGAAGAGAAAAAGGTTGTTATCATATAAAAGTACCTGAAAAATGTACTGCAATGTATGCATATGTTTATTACCCATGCCATTTTTGTGACTGTAAAAATGGTATTGCATGGCCGTGCATATATTTTGATGTAAAGTCATTTGCGTTATAAAAACGTAGTGTTATGAAACACAACATGTAAGCATTACACTTTAGGCACGTCAACAAAAAAGATTTGTTTGCACTTTAAACAGTCTTCATTTTGGGTATGTGATAAATAGAATATTATTTTTGGGTAAGTTCATTACTAAATTTATCAGACTCGTTGAATAAAATAATATTTTACTCGCCAGAGACTCGTATAATATAATTTTATTCAACTTGTTCAATAAATTCAGTATTGAACTAACACTCATTCAATATCCTCTATTTCTTGTTGTTGTTATTTCAGTTACAAGCATGCTGTAGATGGATTGTATAGAGTATTTAAGGAAGAAGGTCCAGTGAAAATGTTTAACGGGGCTACGATGGCCACTAGTCGTGCTGTTCTTGTTACTGTTGGACAGATTGCTTTCTATGACCAGATAAAAGGAACGTTACTGGGAACTTCATTCTTTAAAAAAGACAACGAAATTTTACATTTTACCTCAAGTTTCTGTGCTGTGAGTCTTATGTTATTTTTTGGGGATTTACCACCCTAAATTTTAAATTCTTTCAAATTTTGAAAAAACCATAAACAAATTTTAAATTTTCAATACAGATAAAAAAGTAATTTTTTTTAAAATTCCTTTTAAAATTAAGAAATTTTTTTTAAAAAAAAAAAATTTTAAATTATGGGTGTCAAGGGAAAAAGTAAACCTTTTAAAAAACCGTAAAATTTTTTTTAATCGTTTCCAATTTTTAAAAAAACTTTTTTTTCCAACTTAAAATTTGTTTCCAAAAAGATTTTTTAAAACTTTTTACTAAAATAATTCAAACTTGAAAGGGGCTTTTTTGTTCGTATATTCATAAAAACAAAAAAATACATTTTAGTACAACTTAAATCAAACATTAATACCTTTTGTAAATGGTTTTTAAAAACAAATTTAATTTTTAACCCCTTGCAATAAACCTTTTTAAACTTAAGAATTTTTTAAGGTTTTTTTTAAAAAAACCCTACCCCGTTAAAAAAAAATGAAACCCCCAATAATTTTTAAAATAAAATTTGAAATGTTTTTTTTAAAAATTATTCAAAATTAAGAAAAATTTAATATTGTTTTAAATTTAAAAGACAAACTGCAAGTTTATTTTTGGTCTTAGTCAAATTTATGTTTTTTTACCCCAATTTGTTAATATATCTTAAGAAATCTCAAACTTTTAGAATTTTTGGGGGAAATTTAAAATATTCATGAAGAATATAATGGCACAAAGTGTTGGACTTGGGTCCAGGTAAAAAAAATTTGTAAAATAGCAGAATATGGGGAATTATCTTAGAAATCCAAACTTTAAAATTAAATGTTTTCAATTTAATTGCATTTAAAACTATAATTAAAGTTATATGTTAAGGGTGGTAAAAAAGTATTTACAAAATGCCACTTGTTAAGAAGACCCATGAATGCCCCAGCCTGGTAAATATAAGGTAAGTTATCATGAGAATTATGTAATTTTAATAGAGCTCCACTTAGGTCCAATAGCCTGAAAACATAAATTATTTAATTCTTACATAGAACTTGTGTATTTAAAATGAACAAAGATGATAAAGAAAAATTCTCAGATTCAAGAAGAAAAAGCTACCTTACACAAGATATTCCAGTTTTTTAAACAGGTAAATGATGAAATCACCAGTCATTTTTTTTTAAGATACAAGTCAAAACATTACTAAGTACATAATTATGTATAATCGGAGTATATGTATTTAAGCATCAATACCAGAAGTGAATCTTGGTTTGCATTCTTATAACCATATTCTGTTATTACTAATTCTGTAGGAAAATTTTAGGATAAAACTTTGGATTCTCATATTTGTAACAGTGTGACTTTTTGACCTTGTGAAAGCTGGATAAGAGTTGATACAATATGAAAAGTCTTAGATAGTTAATTATTTAAAAGGTTATCTTCTGCTCCCTGATTTTGTGTACACTTTTATTTACAAAATATTAATATATATTACAGAATATTCTAGCATGTGCTGTAGATATAGGGAAAAATGGACCTCTAGGATTTTTCAAGGTATGTAGATGGATATATTTATATATATATTTTAAACTACTTGCTCTGCATGAGTTTTGCTTATGCTTTAGTTTTCTTTGTAATTAATATATAGCATATTAAATTTAGCTTACTTGTTTTTTTTCTCTGTTTAAATAAAATATTATTTGGTATTGACTGCACTGTTTTCTATGATTAACATACCACATACATTTGAGTCTATGCTTAGTATTTCACTGAACTGAATGTTTAACTTTCTCTTTTATTTCTTAATGTTGTTGCAATTGATTTTGTACCCTTCCTTAACTTGGGTTGGACCTCATTTATTTTGTTTGTTTGCAGGGTTTCATGCCAGCATTTATTAGGCTTGGGCCTCATACCATTCTCATATTCATGTTCTTAGAACAGATCAGATTTCATTTTGGTGATGACCCCAAACCTTGAATGTGGTTTCACCTCTTAAATCACTATGAAGAATGTGTGTTATATATGGCATAAAGTGATTATTCTTATTATCTCCCCTTTTTTGTACTGCTCCACAAATTGGTCACATAATATCACTATCCATCCCTTCTCTTCACAATATACTCTTTCCCCTGTACCCCCCCCCCACTTTCTTTTCTTACTCATGAGTTACTTATTCCCTTATAGACTTGTTTCATACACACAACTCCTTTTAGTGTAAAATAGTTAAAACTTCATGACCTTATAATCTATTATAGCTATATACCATTATATCACTATTGGTTGTGTGATTAACTTTGTATCACCTATCCCTTACTCCTTAATCATACTGGCAACATTTAGTTTAGAATGATTTTTCTAAATGAAATTTAAAAAAAAGAAGCTTAGAATCAGCCCATTTAAAATCTGTGATGGAATTTATTATAGATTATGAAAAAAAACGCTATCACACTCTTTAAGTTAAATGCACTTTAATACAATGACAGCTTTGAGACCATTTTCGTTAAATAAGTATATGCATTAGGAGCACAATGGGCATGGCATGCTAGTGTTCAGGTTATACATAGGCTACAAAAAAATAAACATTTAAACAAAGTAACTGCTTAAAATAATTAAACCAATTAATCATATTATTATAGTTATATTATAGTGTATTTGTTAAAGTTGACTGATATGATGTTTATTCAGACCTATTAAAGTGAAATCATTTAACCTTAAAGCTTTCTTCACACTTAAGTTTAAATAAATGATGTTAAACTAAATACTTCTGTTACTAATAATGAAAATATTACAGCCTCTGATTTTATTTATTTTTAAAAAAAAAAACAACAACAACAAAAAACAAAAAACTTTTGAAATACATGTATTGTCCAATGTTTCAGCTTGATATTTTGTACCTAAGGTATTTTTCAGTTGTATTTTTACACACTTTCATTCTCTTTTAAAAGTTGAATTAATAAATTTCAATTTCACAGTTTGTAGTTATTTGTTGTTCAGCAAATGTTACAGTGTATTTCCTCGTTGATTTTGCTTTTATGCATTTTATTAAGAGAAATGAGCTTCTAAAACTTAAATAGAAATTATTTAATATTATAAAAAGTAAATTGTTGAATAACAAGGAATAATTAGTCTTTTAAATATCTGTGAACAGGGTCTTTCAAATTTGAAAGACCCTGGAGTGAATGAGTTAAATTTTGATATTTTGATAAGTATTTTTTTATGAAAAATGAAAAATAAATTTCCTAAATTTCTGAAAAACTTGATTTTCAATGATGTTGCTATGGAAACATTTTGATAACAGTTTATTTGTATTATTTCAGGGATTCTTGCCAGCTTTTGTTCGACTTGGACCGCATACAATATTGACATTCATGTTCCTGGAGCAGATTAGAATGAACTTTGGTGATGACCCAAAACAATAATTAGACAGTGTTACCATAGCAACACGATTTTCTTAGCAACAGAATTTAGAATTTTGTAACTTAGCCCATCTCTATTTGAATTCTGTAATGTTTTAGGATATAGGCACATAATGGAAATAAGTTATTTTTGCAGTTAAAGATAGTGTAATTTTCTACTTCATTTCGAAACAGTTAAGGCCCCTTTCTATTAAGTCATTTTGTAGTGCAATAATTTAAAAAATCTTGCATCAACTTTCGGCAATATGCCAGAAATGAAACGGAGAGGGGTCTATATTCTCTTTATATACAATTGTAGAAATTTTATTGTTATAATATAAAAGGGTAATTGTTAGAATTTTAGATAATGTAAATTATGTTCAAAAGATATGTTTTTTGTTCAGGACTGATAATGTTGTCAATTTATAGTACAGGTTTTGGACGTTTTATTTGTATGGTGTTGCTGTAAGAAATTTGTTGTGTGAAAATCAACAGTTATGATCACCTTTGTTTTAAGTTTTGAACATTTCAAACTGCCGTTTAAAAATTTATTGTATTGTAGGATAGGTTACCTATATGTTCTTTTTCTAGTTATCTGTGTAAGAGCGTCTTGGTTTTGTTAAAACTGAAAGTTTTGTAAGGTACATATACCATTAGAATATTGGGCTTTGTAAACTCAGGGACTGAAAAACTAGTTTGCAAGAGAAAATTCAAAATCATTATCATTACATTGTGCTACATTAATAGATAACTGTTTTGTGCTGTACCAAATACAATCTTTTGATAGGCAGGTGTATTGCATAAACTGTTAATAGGAGAAGAAAATGTTAAAATAAGAAGAAAGACGTATTTTAAAGTGTTTCATGTAGTCAGTGGACTGATGGGAATTTCATGAAAATTGATGATAAGGAACATAGTAGAAATTTTTGATAGTTACAGCGAAAAACCTACACATCTAAAATTTCAATAAAAAGGTTTGTTCTTTTAGATTTTAAGTTTCAAAAAAGTCGGTTCTATTTCAAATTATTAAAGTTTTAATGAAAAGGGCTGTTATTGTCAATAAAAAAGCCATTTATTTTGAATATACAAAATGTATACAGTTTAATGAAAAGGTGTTTATTTTGAAGATTTTAAGTTTCAATAAAAAGCATGTTTTATTTTTTTAATATTTCAATCTTCAGTAAAAAAATGTGTTTTTTTTTATGTTATTGTTATATATCAGAATATCAGTCCTGTATTTTGATTGAAATATTTTAAGATTGTATTTGATCAGTTATTGATGTGTATAGGGTATTTATATATACATTGTTGCTTCTTTAACAACATTCCTTGTCACGGAAATTTGGTGCAGAAAAGATGTTTTGCTTTATGGCTTATAACCGTTCATGTAAAATTTTTGTAAAAAAAAATAAAAAAGTGTTTTATGTTTAACATGTAATGCAGTTGTTTATCTGATTTGTACATTAGTTTTGAAAATGTTTTATCAAAGTAAGCAGAGCTTTCAAAGTTTGAATTTCTAATTAATGACTTTATTGTCTGTTTGAAACAAAGAAATATATTCAAACTTTAAAACATATTTCAGTTTTCTCATGTTTTTGTTTTTAAATTTTGAATTTTGTCAGAAATTTTACAGCGCTTTTTTTTAGGATTTTTTAATGAATTCATTTGTGTGATTTGCAAGTTTGTTATAAACACATTTTATATGTGGCATTGATTTTATGTTAACATATTATATAACACATCATTTACACACCATTTTACATGTTTTTCTTACACAATGTTATAGCATATAAATCTGTTATCATTTGTCTAATATTGTAGTGGTAAGATGAGCCGCGTCACGACAAAACCAACATAGTGCGTTTGCGACCAGCATGGATCCAGACCAGTCTGCGCATCCACGCAGTCTGATCAGGATCCATGCTGTTCGCTTACCAACCCTATTACAAGTAGAGAATCTGATAGCGGACAGCATGGATCCTGATCAGACTGCGCGGATGCGCAGGCTGGTCTGGATCCATGCTGGTCGCAAACACACTATGTTGGTTTTGTCATGACACGGCTCATATATTTTTGTCTTGTTGCAAGTTACAAAGTGGTAGTTTTATATAAGTATAGCACTGTTGTTTTAATTTGAATTTTAACATTACATTATGTTTTATACAGAAACAGGCTCATGTCAGCATGAAGGTTTGAAAAAGAGACTTAGATATTTAAATGCTTAATAATTTGTTTGCCCTTTTAAATCAATTACTTACAGATTGTAATGAAACTTGGTAAAAATAATCACTACACAGAAGGTTTCTAAGGTACTCTGCAGAATTTAATGAAGAACATTAACATACTTGGTGTCTGTCACATCAGATTTCTTTATTTATAGTATTCATAATTTGAGGGTTTAGAGCATAACTAGTCCATTTTTATATAGAAATAGAAGCAGATAGATCAGTTTCGCTCTAAACCCTCGAAAATTTATTTATGTACACAGCTGTAACAAATATTATGAAATAATTTTAGTTTTGAATAATGGAGGCATGGGTGCAGTTAAACGAATTTGTTCTAAAAGTATTATGTTATATGGCTTAAAATGACTGTAGCTACTTAGCTGCTTATACTGAACCATATAACTTTTCACACACACAATTGTAACTACACAACAAAACAAGGCAAGAAAATAAGATCATATTTAAAAACTTAATTTTTTTTTTTTAGACATTTTAAATGCTGATGAACATGTGCCATGTTTATTGTATTTTATTGCTCAGCTGGACTGTTTTAAAGTTGTTGTTAGTGTTTTAGATAATAGTTTGAATGATGTGAGGAAAACATGGAGAGTGTGAGGAGTGTCTGGAATCATGACAGGATGTTACATGAGTGTCAGTGTTGTCTATTTTTATGATGATGATGATGAAAGTGTCATATTGATCTCAGTACTCTAGCCAGCCCAAAGTATATCAATTAATTATAAGCCAAAGTCTCTACAAAATGAGTAACCAGAGCTTTTCTGACTGAAGTTAATTTTCTCCTTAGATTATTTGGACTTGACCTTTCACAATAATTTAGTCATTGTAATATGGCTCAATCAACCTGATTTTATTGTCTCAAAAATATATGGTTTGCTGATTTTCATCACTTATATCTCACCACACCCCTGCGGGTTTGAGTCCTGCTGTTGATGTTGAATTCTTATGTTAGTCATTCACATTGAATTCATATGATGTAGCTATTCATATTGAGTTTTTGTCATGTGGCTATTTAGTTGAATTCTTGATATGTACGGTAGCTATCCACATTGAATTTATGTGATTATTTGTCTAGCTATAGAAGGTCAGCATTGTTTTTTTTATAATAACATCAAACATTTTCTATTCTTTGAAATGCCATTATGAAAAGAAAGATAATTTTAGCATGTAAATTATTTGTAAGATAAGACTTAAATATTTTGTAATTACTTTCTCTGGCTTTTGGACATGTAATTTTATCTTGCCATAATTGATGAGATGTAATTATATGTAGACTGTCCTTGGTAATAGCCCATTACCTTGTTAAGTTGTTAAGTTTAGCCAATCACCACATTATGTTGAGCCAATTATCTCTTCAAAGATTTAAAACATTTTTTTATTAAGCTACATAATCAAGGTTTATACACAAGGTCTGCATATATGTTAGTACAAATGTAATGGGGAAATGAAATACTTCATTTTAGACAAGGTGAACCTGTGCTTTATGTTTTAAAAGTATGAAATTATTTTATGTATACCTTTTTTCAATTTGTCTTATTATGTGTATGGTTTTAATTCAATTAAAGCTGTGTTATGTGTAAATGGACTAATTGTATGTAATAAAGATTAATTTATAAACATTGTAATCTGTTAAAATTATATTTTAGCTATAGAATATAATGTATTAATGCCATGTACATTATGAGCAATAAAGAAGTTTATGTACATGTTGTTTGAGCAAGACCTTTTTCAACTGAATATTATTACCAATCTAAAAATTATTTTGTCCATTATTGAATATATCCCCTGCTCTTGTTGAAAATCCAAAATGGCTTGATGATGACGCTGTCATTTTGTATTACAGTAATTTTGATATTCTTTCATAAAAGTAATCCAGTTAGAATTGAGACATAATAAGCCTAAATTAAATTGTCATACCTAAATATATTTCGATTATTTTCTTACGTCTGTGACAAAAAAGGTAAGTCAGACATTGACCTGCTTATATACTGGGACATATAACAGAGTAAGCAACTAGCAACTAGGTTAAAGTACTTACGTTAACATTCAAATTTGGACCCATTTGATCCACAAGTGTAGTGTTAATATCATATATTGATATGATTATAACAAAAAACCACCTTCGTTGATCATTTTTCAGAACATCGTGTAAGAACCATTCAGATACAAAAGGACTATAATATCTTGAACCAGTTGGGTAGGGTTATATTTCTCTTATTTTACAACATTTACTACAGACAAAGAAATATCAATTTACAATGGTCAACATGACAAAATGGTTGCATATGTGGCTTATTGGAAGAAAAGATAACATGGTGCTAATCCCCAGTTGCTTGTCAGATTATAATATGTCCCAGAATATTGTAAAACTAGATAGGGTCATCATAGATGTGCCATAAAGTATTTTGAAATGGGCAAGATAAAAACCTAAAAGGTCATTTAAGAATGTCAGACGTTTCACTCCCAAGACATTTCACTATTGAGACGTTTCACTCCCAAGACGGTTCACACCTAGACGTTTCACTCCCATTTTGTCAATTGTATGGACGTTTCACTCCCAATTTTTTAGATGTTTTTATTAAGAAAATTTATTTTCATTATGAAGGGGAAATTCAATTTAATGATTCATTTTGTTGAATTTGAGAGTATTGTTTAGAAGAATTTATGAATTTGAAGAATGATTATAAAAGTATAATTTTTCTGAAATATAACAGAATGTGTAATTAATCATAATCTATACAGTATAGTATCAGCTCAGAAAAGTGAATTTTGTTCCGTTTAAACAGTGTTTTGAAGAATTCCTGTTAATTATTATGAGTAAAAATGTTGGTTTCAATACGGAAATTATCAATTTATTGAACAGTAGCCATTAAACAAACTTAGATAATTGTGGTGTTAACAGTAATCTCATCACCTAGTTAGTTGTATAAACACTGAGACCATCAATTAACAGTTTGACATGACCATTAAATTAGTTGTATAAACATTGCACTTTAGCATCAACAGTTATTAATTAGTTGTTTATTGGACCATTGAACTATTTTTAGGCAATGTTCAGCCAATTAAAACCAAAGTCATGGAAACAGAAACTCCTCCATAAGTTAATTAGTTTATGTTGTAAATTATAACAAAAATAAAATAATATTTGATCAGATAATCATATTTAATATATTATGTAAGATTATCTGCAGAATTTTTTTTTTATATTGAATTGATATAAAAATATACTTAATGCAAAGAAAATCACTTATAAATTATTATCATTAACATCTTTAGAGAACTGCAACTTTCATACAATTATATCCGGTCATATATGCATATCCTTCCCTAAATAAGAATAAATATCTGAAAAGATATCATATAATCAAGTAAAATATAAAATAATAAAACTTTAAAAATTATAACATACAAACTTTCATTTTTTCGTAAAATTAAGGTCTATTGTAGTATATCATAAGTTTCAAAATAATTTTGGTATAAAATGGGAGTGAAATGTCTTCAAGACGTTTCACTCCCATTTGGGAGTGAAACGTCTTGGTGTGAACCGTCTCAATAGTGAAACGTCTGTCTACCGTCATTTAACATGTCACAATGTTGCAGGCTAAATTTCATTGTTTCTGGCTGCAGCATGTAAAATCTCAATAAACGAATAAAGGAAATACTATTCTAATTTGTGGACCATAAGTTCCCATAAGACTCAGTATGTATATTATATTTTTGTTGACATGATGAATGGGGGGGAAATAAATCAACTAAGTCAGTTTTGAAGGCAAGCAGCTGATTTATGTTTCTTGCAGTGGCGTTAAATTGTGTCAATTCTTTGTTTTAATTGAAATACCAGGAGGAATAATTTCAACAGATAAGTAAAAGGGGAGCGCTGACCTAGTGGTTAAGGTGTCTGCCTCTCAACCCAGAGACCATGGGTTCGAGCCTTACTCTGGTCACAACAATATTTCTTCATATGACACCGGTACTGGTTGGATCCAGGAACTGGACTCGAAAAAGATTAATATAAGTTGCAGGAACTTATTTCACAATCGAGCTTAAATAAATATGTTTAAACCAACAGATAAGTAACACATTTGTGGTACTTTGAGATGTTTTTATTCAGTCAAAATGCAAACATAATGCATGACCATCGTCTAATGGACTGTATCCAAGGTGTTCAACAAGATACCATAGTAACAAACAAGATTTGTCATGTACATCTACAATGTTGTTTCAAAAAAATGTATAGCGGTAAAAAATATTCACTTGATTATTAACCTTTAATAAAAAAAGAAACAAAATAAGTAGTTATAATTATGATGAATATTTTGAATTGAAATTGTCTGAAAGTTAATGGATGTCCTGACAGCAAAAGTTTTGTCACTATGGTAACATGAATAAATAAAATATCTTGAAAATATATCTCCAATATTTACAATATTTCTTCTAAAATATTTTTAACAAGTTTCAATGGTTACTGATTAAAATACATAATAATAATTATAACAATAACAATAGTCTATGGACGGATTTTTATAAAAATTAGTAAAAATTGTGAAATTTTCAAGTACAACATAGTATTTGATGGGCGGATTTTTTTTTATATATATATATAAAATTACCATGGACATATCCATAAACCTTTGTGTACTGTACTCAGGTACTCTATAGACACAATGAGTACATGGTACATAAATTTAGCAACAAAATTTTATTAATTGTTGATCTTTTGTGTTGAAAAATATTATACAAAACTTTAAAAAAAATTTCGAAAAAAAAAATTGAGTTCACTAGATGTTACAACACTTATAATATACAAAATAATACTGTATGGTATAACCAGTGGATATAAGTGTAATATGCTATATAATACTCCCATCATTAGACCAATAGATGATTTATATACGAGCCGCGTCATGACAAAACCAACATAGTGGGTTTGCGACCAGCATGGATCCAGACCAGCCTGCACATCCATGCAGTCTGATCAGGATCCATGCTGTTCGCTTACCAACTCTATTACATGTAGAGAAACTGATAGCGAACAGCATGGATCCTGGTCAGACTGCACGGAGGCGCAGGCTGGTCTGGATCCATGATGGTGGCAAATGCATTATGTTTGTTTTGTCGTGACGCGGCTCAATTATTATATGAGATGCGTCAGGCAAAAAGGTTCAAGTTGGATGTAAATTGATGCCAGTGTTAATTGTTAATTGCCAGCTTGATGCAAATAGATACCAGTTGGATTGTAAATTTATTCAATTTGGATTTTGTTGTATTAATATATATATAATAATTATTCATATGTATCAAGCTTTGACATCAAATTTTTTTTTTTCCTTTTTAATAAAAATGAAATAAAATACCAACAGATCATTAATGGTTAAAATGTATAAAAATGATATACAAGAGGTCATTACATGCAATTGATACTTTTCCTGCTACATCAAAAATAATTAATTGCATAGTAAAAAGATAGTTTAACTAAACTTATAAGTAAAAAAAAAGTTTAATCTTTTTTTTTGTATTTTGGCGTTAAACATGTTTGAGCGTTCCTATAAAAGTCCTGGCATTTTAGAAAGTAGTCCTAACCTTTACACAAAAGAAAATTTTTTCAAGCTTCCTACTCAATCCGTAAATTTTATTTTATGTAATTTATTATGTAAATGTGTGGTTTATCAATAAAATATTGTTTAAACTAAAAGAAAATTTTCTTTTTTTTTTTTTTATCAAATTTACATCTGAGATAAAAGTATAAGGGTTTACCCCTGAAATAACAAGTAACCAAGAAATAATTTTCAAATCAATTACAAAATAATGTTAGTTTAGGTGATAGAAATAAACCCCAGAAAATAATAATAAATCAAAAATATTTTGGTGCAAAATTAAAAATATATAAGTTATACTAGGAAAGTTATTTGTTAGGGAAAAAAAAATGTATTACTTACATGTACGTTGAAAATATATGTACGTTTATGTAAATTATTAATACCTACATCCAAGAGAAAGAAACAAATTCTATTCTACATTGTCAACTTTGGCTTGTTACCCAGGCAACCTTTTGTGTTGAGCTATTTACAGCACAAAAAAATAAAAATGTTAAAAAAAAACAAAAATGAAGGAAATTTTGTGATTGTAAACGTATTGAACTGTTTATGTTACAATGATATGTTTTTGTAAACAGATATGTGAGATTATATAAAAACAACTACTTAGTAGTAAAGGATTTATAAAGTTAATTATATCCATTGTGGAATATAAGAAAATATACAAATATTTGTGGGAAAAAATACAAGAGATAGTACAGTTACATTTCACTTTAAAAAAAAAAAAACAGAAGGATTTCACTTGAAATGATTTATAAACACAAGGTATTCGGTTTATAACACAAAATTTTAATGCTTCTTGAAGAAAATATCAAACTCTTTGTAAAGTGCCTTTCTGATTTTAAATAAAAGAATATCTAATTAATAATGGGTAACATAAAAAGTTGATAGTAAACTGTTTTGATGTTATTATTATATATATATTTTGTATGGAAAATAATGTAGATATACATCGAAAAATGTTTCCTTGAAGTTTCAGATATGTTATAATATTTTGTACAAGGCACTAAAATATATCAGTAATAATAAATAATATAAAATATACAAAATGAGCTAAAACAATAGTATACAGCACAGCACCAGGGGGCAGCACATATGGAGACAATATTTTAAATTTATAATTCAGTTTAGCATACACTGTAATGGTGATTTGGTTAATATTGGTTATATTTAGCACTTCTGGAATTCATATTACATGGTTATCATGAGACTAGCAAATTACATACCCCCACAACATTTTAGCCAATGATATTGCATGTTACAAAGTTGTTATGGTAACAAGATGTAACAGACAATTCCATTGGGTATTTCTGCTACTCCTCATCCTTATGAAATGCACACATAGAATTGCCTATATTGGGACATGAACAATAGTAAAACAATAAAAGTGAGCACTAATTGAAAATTGACAACAATAAAAAAGAAACATGAGAAAATCCATGAGAGAAAAATAAAATAACAACATATCATCTTGGCACATAAAAGTATCACAATAAACTGCCATACAAAAAGAATTTTATGAATCCTTCTACACATGTAAATGGTTTAACAAGACAGTAACAAAATAAACTTCTATCACATATAAAATAGTATCAGCAGTAAGTTAAGACACAGTGTAATATTACATGCACTTTGGAATGTTTTTCTAAATAACTATGAACTAAACCATCTATCAGGAAGCTGTCCACTATGTTAGCTTGTTTCACAAAAGTGCGAGTCTTTTTTCTCACATATACCTCCTCATACAGTCGATGAAAGACATTGAATTACTTTATTTGGCATTCTAGTAAATCACATTTCTATGGACAACAACTCTGTTTCTAGTTACTATAAGAGTGATGTCCCTTAAATCTTTTTACACTAATATTTTATTACAGTTAAGACTGACCATGAATGTGATTTGCAGCTCATTTGTTCCAAGCTGATTTTGATGGCTTAATGCTTCTGAAAAATGTTTGTAATTTGGACTTGTCATTGGAAGACGCACGCCTCTTTGACGTCGAGGCTGGCTCTACACGAACACCTTGATCACTTAACGGCCGTCGACCCTGCGCACCATTACCGTCATCTGCAGGGGTCGAGGCTGCAGTCCGAATCTGAGCACCTGACACTGTCGCAGGTGCCTTTCTATCCTGATTGTCTTTTGAGGCTCCAGGCCTCTTTAAAATTGATTGTCTTAGCTTTGAATCTCCTAGAGGAGGTTTATCAGAAGTTGATGGCTGGTTCTGCCAGCTTAATAGTTCTTTATGTTGCCGCTCAATCTCATTTATACGGCACTTCCAATTCAAATTCTTCATTTCATCATCTGCTTTTTTGACTAGACTTTCTTCCTCATCATCTAATGCAACAATCTGGCAACAAAATCACAGAAACACCGATTAATCCTGGCTATATTCTTGCAACAAAATCACAGAAAAATCACTTATAACTGGCAAAATTCTTGCAACAGAAAAATAAAAATAAGTTATAACGAAACATCTGATACAAAAAAATGACATTCGGTCAAATGTATAAAATAAATGAAATTAAAACGAAACTTTACCTTGTCCATTCTTCTGAGTACAGCTTGCCATGTTGGTCCCAGTCTGGCCATCATGCTACGCAGTTTAACTTCTGAATACTGCGGCCCTGTAACACTCTCCTCGCTCGGCAATGGTTCTGCACTACGATTAGAATAACTGGATGAACTTCGACTAGACACTGATGGTAACCCTGGGAAACGTACCCGACGAAATGCCTGAAACATTCAGATACAAAGTTGTAGAACTTTCTAGCATAATTTACACAATATGCTGGCATAATACAATTGACGTTACTGCATAATCTGACAAAATACTTACCATATTTGCCCATTGTTAAAAAAAATTGTAGATCTGTTTATCTTTTAAATTTTTTATTGAAAATTTAATAAAATTGTGCATCAGCTTTTAACAGATTTGTGATATTTCTTTATTAAAAAAAAAACAGACTGGTTTTACTTACTGGTTTAGGTTTCTGTAAACCAGTCAAAAGTTTGAATCTCTTCAGCATGAAGTCCACCATCTCGTAGTCCTGCATCTCGAGCGTGGCCTTGTAGTACATCTGCGACTTTATCACCTTGTATGTGCTCGTTAATATCGAAATGACTAGAGCTATCATGATACCATAAGCAAAAGTATAGTACGAGTACACGTAAAAATGACTAAACACTGGTTGATAGTCAAGCATTGGCCAGAAATCAAAACTTCCACGTATCATTACAATTAGTGTAGTAATTGAATGACCAACTGATTCAAAACCTGAGACGAATCGGCCATACATCTGAAATAAAATATTGAATTTTAATAATTTTGTTATATATATAGATCTATTAAAATTTTCAAGAAAAACAATCCAACATACATAATGAAAATAGTTCATACTTCAACATTTTATTCTTGATAAACCTTAATAGTAACAGTATAGCTAATAAATTTCACATTGTAATTAATCTAGAAATAGCATGGGAAAATTGTTTCATGTATTTTAAATTAATTGTCAAATAATGTTTTCCTTAACAATTCTAACAAATCAGCTACATGTATTATAAAAAAAAAATTATTATCAGTCTATCAACAATCATTTGTAACTAACATTATATTATCTTATGCCTTACAAGACAATCTAGAATCATAATCTAAAGAAAAAACTGCAGTTATATATAACATTAAAGACATACCAGGTATCCAACCTGGGCGTACACTAGAAGTAGTATGATATAGATGAGACCGGTGCCCAGTAGGTGACTGACGGCACTGCTTAATGTACGCTCGTACACGTACATAAACTTGATAAATCTCATCTGCTTTACAACCTAACAATAAAATATAACACAAATCATATAACAATTATAACATGTGGCGGCTTGGCAAAGTGGTTAACAAGTCACAGTAGTTATCTCATAATCTCTAGCTGTGTGGGTTCAAGCCCCGTCAGAGGCTGTTGTTTCCTTGAGCAAGAAACTACACCAACTGTTTAGTACTGGATGGTTCAAGGAACTGATTTGTGTGTGGTTATAAGCTACAAACTAAAATTAATTTCTATAACAAATCATAACAGAAAATTAAATCATACATTACCATAATAGTATGGAAAAAAAAATCATTCATTGTTATTTAAGCCTTACTTAACTTAATAATTTCTCATCAAGTTGATTGAAACTTTCATCATATGCTTTACCATTAATTTCCATCTCTGCACTTTACTTTTCCACCTGTTACTTATAACTAACTAAAATATACATTAAGGTATGTAATCAAAAATCTCTCAAAGTAACCGTACAAGTAACCATTGTTCAATAAAAGTACATGTATAACTGAAGTCACTGACCTTGAACATTAGAAGGAAGAGTAGCCAAGCATTCAGGTATCTCATTCCAACATGTACATACATAGCACGCTCGTAATTCGTAAATCCTGTCTGATTGTCGAGGAATCTGTTGAACGTATTTGTCGCCTCTACTACACAGCCGATATACATTCCCACACTAACCAGTGCCATTAATGTGGTCAACATCTCATACCAGTTCCATATGTCCTTGAAGAATTGTTTACCCCACTCTCGGATTTGTAAGGCCAAGTGAATGACAGAGTAGATGATCACCAAAAATAAAATGCACTGAAACAATACAAAAAATACATATTTTTATAATGCTATTAATTTCATTAATCAATTGCATTTCATGTAACATTAAATATCGATAATTGAAAATGCAATTAATTAATATTCAATTAACATGTTTACACATCAAGAGCCATAAAAGGCAACTTTAAATTTCTATAATTTCAAATGCAATTCATATTTAATTAACATGTCAATACCTCAAGAACCATTAAAGGTTCGACTGTATCTTTCTGGAACCAGAGTAGTTTCTGACTCTGTATCTCGTAACTTGTAATCACGCCACCGGTGAGCGGGAACTCGGCCAGTAAAGCAACCATTGAGGTAATGTCTGAGCCAGCACTGTATAAGGCAAATTCAAAGATGACAGCTCGTGTTTGAAGATCTATCCATCCTTTGTCCTTCAGATGGGCTATGATACTGTCAGTCTCAGCAGACGTTGTACCGAGACCTTGTGGGTAACCACCACCTCCGTATGTAGCTACATGTCCAATCTTGTGAGTGCTGTGAACAAACAACATTTCTAATTTCAAGGTCAATAAAATGTACATGTACGAAGGTCACTGTTTTAAACATTTAAAACATTCTTATTGAATTGTCAAGAAACTTTTGCATACATTGCAGAAAATTAGGTCAAAACATTTTCTTTTATCCTAGATCTACTTCTATTTAAGTTTGTTAAACATCTCTCTTATTACATTGTGATTTTGAAATATTATGATTGAAAAATCAAACATGGATATAAATTATAAATAGAATTTAAGGTAGGTAAAGGGAGACAACTCACCTTCCGAGCTCGCCAGCAGAGTAATGTCTCCAGGAGTAGTTAGAGTTACTGTCGTTCCAACCTTCGGCATAGTCGTCAGTATCCTCATCATAATTACCCTGTCCGTAACAAGTGCGGTCCGTGAGAGACGAGGCTCCGAGGTTAGATGCTGCGTTTGCTGCTTCACATTTGGCTAGACAAGTTAAATCACAAAATTTAGAATTGTATTTATCTATGCAAAAGACATCCACATTAGACAGTTATTATAGATATGAAAATGTTACCAAGAGTGAAAACAGTTTAAAAAAAAAACATACTTATGATTATCACATAAATGAAGAGACCACCTTTTAAAAAAAAAAGTCTGTTGTAATAATTTCCACGGCTGCTTTAAAAAAACGCAGTTATGACCGTAGGAAACTTATTGTATTGCACACTTTTTGTAACATAGAACAAAATAAATCATAACAGTTACCTGTAACTCCCCTTATAAGCCTCATTCTGGCTTCTCCAAGAAGGAACGCATGTTCCTCATCCTGGGTATTATTTTCTTTGTACAGTGAATCAATAAATACAGTCTCTGTCCACTCCCAAAATTCGTCTATACTGTAACAGAAATTGGACAAAAACACCATTATAGATTGTTTTAATTATACCTTTATCAAAAGTCAGCATCAGTAATCCCTTCTTTTAATTGCTAATACAGATTATTACATTCAACTTACTTAGTACTCTAAATCACAATCAAGTTCAAAGTAACATTAAAAACTGTTTTTAAATGGAATTGTAAATTTCTAATGAAATAAAATAGTAAAATGTCCACATTTGAAAACAATTTTATGATATTTCCACCAAAATCCTCAAAGGGAGATAATAAAATTAGACAGGAAAAAAAAGGATTTTTTTTTAAAACATTCATAAAAATCTTTTTTTGAGAGGCAGCCGCTTCCCACAGTTGCTTGTTAAAATTATAATATTGTAACTTACGTGGTTATATTGGTAAAGTTGAGATGGTCATTGGTTGTAGGTGCAATAAAGTCATTTTCTACGTGTTTTGTCATCAGATACGTATCATATTGGAAGTTCACATACACCAACACCATGATCAGCCATAGGTAGAATACGTAGGCTATAAACTGTCGAATCATAACATTCATTCTGTGGATTTTGCGGCCTTCCTCCTTAGCTTGTAGCAAAGCAAATCCAGATATTGGTTTGAATTTCACATCCTTTCAATGAAAAAGAAAATGGTTAAACATTCCAACAGAAGTCTCAGTTTGCTTTTAAAAATCCTAAGTAACTATTCAATGTAACTCTAAATCTATTTATGGATACAGTAGACCATCAGAACATTATCTGCTAATATACAAGCTTTTATCATTATATAGGAATACGAAAATAGTAAACTCTTACCTTTATTTTTTCGTTAGAGTTGTCGAAGGTCGGTTCAATGTCAATAAAATCTTCATCCTCATCCTCCTCTACTTTCTTAAATGTGGCGACCACGTACACGGCAATCAACAATGCCTGAAATGAAATAACAGTAAAGATGTTTACTACATGTTTACTGATAGAAATTTTCATTACATTATCAAAGCAAACCAAAAAATGCTTTTTGTCTCATTTCAAAGTCTCTAGTAATGATCTGAACCAAACATAATTTAGGACAGGTATCAAAGTAAAGGAAATTTTAAGTGAAAAAGTCTCACCCACTCATAGCCTAATACTTCTGGTTCTAATTTTAGCAAATAGTATTTGAAATTCAGAAGCATGCTCTACTCAAAGTATCATTAATCTTTTTTATTCATTTTACCCGATGAACATTATAATTTTATAGAAAATCTCTATATCTGTGTTTTGATTATAATAATAACACTTTATACTATATAACTACCCCCCGTCTTATAAACGGTCCGTTATATATGCGAGTAAATAAAATAAATAATGTTTGATGGCTGGGTGAAAGCCTAGGAGCTCACAACCTATTGTTGTTATAACTACATGTATATACCACTAGTATAACACTCACCTTGAGTGGCTCAATGATAAGGAAGGACAGAACAAGGGAGAGAATCAATGCCAGGACCCACTTCACAGACTCCTGGTACCCGAACCGGAAACAGTACAAGATAACAATGATGGAAGAGAAGATGACAAGCAGGGTACAAAGTGTGTATGCTATATAGATACACCATGGTGGTAGGGAGCATTTCTCCTTGTGTACGGGTATATCCCTAGATTCCATCGTCATCTCACTGTAATAACCCGCTACAAAATAAAACAAAAACAAAACTTAAGTATGAAATATTCTGTTCTATATATATGTTTTATATACACAACTAATAAAAGAGAAAAAGAAAAGGTATGATATGATTTAGAATCAGAATGTAAGCATATTATAATGGAAAGCAGCGTAGTATAAAGCGTTATAATCAAGTTAATTGAAATTGTAGTCTTGAAAACTTCCTTACATTTATCATTATTAAACAAAAGAAAAAAAGACACAAAAAAATACTGCAAAATCTAATAACTGAAACTTACGTCGAAGTCCTGAAGTTATACCTCTGCCAGACCTACCGCCTGACTCGCGACTCATCACAGACTCTCGGGATTCAGGCCACATGCCACCATTTCTGATAAATACAATTTACAGTCATCAAAAACATATAGAAACATGAACTAAATGTATTCTTATTTTATTCTTGAAACAACTGGTATACCAAAAAACAAAACAAAAAGAATATATTATGAAACAGTCACTTAATACTCTAATTATCAATATTATAAAGTAATAATACATATTATGATATTTTAAATAAATATCAATAATTATGAAAAAGTAAAAATATATATTGTGATATTTCAAATATCAATATGATAAAGTAATAATGCATATATGATATTTAATTATCAATATCATAATGTAATAATACATATTATGATATTTACCCGCTAATCCTAGGATCAGCACGGGGATTGAACTTTCCGATCGTACTCTGACTGGTTGTAGATCCTCGCTTCCTCATCTTGGCACTGCTTTCTGCTACACTCTCATCATCGGAGTGTAGAATATCTTCTAAACTGCCCCACTGTGACTTGTGCATCGTTGGCCGTCTGTTATAACAGAATCAAATATATATTTAGTACACTACTTTTTCTTTATTTATAACGTAACAATACAATATTTATCTTTCATACCCCATATCCTTTGAAACAAAATGAATTTAGAAATGCTATTCCTCACAACAGTTTGAATTAGGAAATATGTGCTTGTTATCATAAAATATAATTTCATTTGGTATAATTTGAATCTGAAGACATAAATCGCAAAGTTTGAATCTAACAGTGGACTGCTCCAAAGACAATTTATCAAATTCAGTGGTGTAAATTGTCTAAGATGTGTGATAGTAAATAAGCAAGTGATATCAGTCAGGTATTATTTTAGTTGTAGCACATACCTAAGAGTGAAGTGATATCAGGCAGGTATTATTTTAGTTGTAACACATACCTAAGAGTGAAGTGATATCAGTCAGGTATTATTTTAGTTGTAACACATACCTAAGAGTGGTTGATGATTTCTTACTGCCACTCGATTTAACTGATCTAGATTCACTCTCCTTCAAATCATGTTCTAGTTTATCCAGTTCATCCAGTAACTGTCCAGCATCACCCTTCTTCAACGTCTTCGACTTAAAGTTCAATACAAAAGTTCTCAAATTCATGATAATCAAAATAAAGAAAGAAAAAAACATCATGTCATATTAGTACATGAATGCTTTGTTGAATGATTAAAGTATGACATTATAAAACATAGCAATTATAATCATGACTCTAATTTTTTTAATAGTAAAATTTTTTAAGTTACTATTTGAATATCCTTTTTTAAATTAAGGAGGAGGCAAGCTTATCTAAACATTAGGAGAAAGTTATTTTTAAACACACCTTCCGTGATGCTCCAGGTGTGGACCCCCCAGCTTTTCCTGGTGGTTGACGTACAGACGGTCCAGCAGCCATTGTTGAGGCAGTAGATGGACGTGAATCTGCACCATCATCGTAATTTACTGACTCAGGCCATTTCATGATGTTATCTTCATTCCACAATGGTGACTTAGAACTTGCCTTTGTTACAGCAACAGACGGACGTTTTTGAATGATGCTATCGTCTGTGTTTTCTCGCTGAGACTTCGCCACGTGTCGAGAACGATGCAGTCCTGCAGCTGTATGCTGTATGATAAAAAATCATAGAATTTTGTTTTATGAATTTTAAACAATTAAAGACAAATCACAATAACTTTGATCCTTACATATGGAATTTTCTAGATAATTGTAACACAATTATGATTTAAGTCATTGATGATATCATAGGATTACACCAGTCTCACAACCTTGTATCAACCTTGTTTCTTCTTTGGTATCCAATAGCAACTTAATTCTTTCATGACCATCACTCTGATTTTTTTTATCATATTCTGATTTTAAAGTTATTCAAAATATGAGGGAGCTTAAAATACAAAATGCTAATCTGAACTGAAATATCTTATCTATCAATAACTATGTTCCAATAGGATATCACACTTGAAGAATGATTAATAAAGATTGAAAATACATGTAATGAAAAGCGTAATTTTGTATTATTCAGTTTATAATATCTAAACATATTTTGATTCTGTTACTCATGATGTAAGTGTTTCACTCACAGTTATTGAGGCAAGGAGGTTAACTTACTGGGACAGAATCGATGGTACTCTCCCTTTCAAGGTCATATGGTATGGCTCCTGTGTTTGTACTCTCAAATGATCCACTCTGCGAGTTCCCACACAGATTTTCTATCTCAAGTGTCTGAGCTGTCTGTGGTTTGTGTACATGGTCAAAGAAGTTAGGCTGAAGAATACAAGAAAATGGGATATAGAAATAGTTATGATATAAATCATTATACTACAGCATCATTTATCGTAATACTTACTATGCTAATGCTAGTTATAGACCTATAATTATAGGATAGACCTCAATTATAGTCAGTCCAGCCATGTTATGTATACTGTGTGATCATTTGATTATTTTCTTAACAAATTCCCTCGATCAGTTAGTTTGTAAATATTTCTTAATCTGTGTTCCAAATCAAAAAAGTTATACTGACTCATAAACTGTTTTAATTGTAATATACTTATGCTAGGTTACTAACAATTGAACACTTTATATTTACCTTTGATCGACTTTTCTTGAAGAGATACACCAGTCCAATACTGATAGGAAGAACCATTATGTTACTGACCATTGCCAGAACAACTTCCTCCCATCCGAAACCTTCTAACCCGAGCTCTGTGTTGTCCTTCTTTAGTAAACCATACCACATGGCGTTAACGACAACAAATGTGAACAGTATTGTGACACAACATGTGACTCGTTGTACACGTGTGAACCGACTCTGAGCGGGACGGTTGAATAGAGACAACCATAGATGTTTATCAGCAAGGGAGTTAAACATGGCTGTCTTTAGTCGGTAGCTAAATTTACTCATGTCATTGGAGCCTGTGAAAATAAAGAAAATAATATTGTAAGTATTGATCTAAAATTTCATGCTAACATTCTGTTTAACAAATACTTTATGTGATTTCTTACTAACATGGATTTTATGATGAAAGTTTCTCATCTGTTGGTGTAAATTGCAGTAAATGCTTATTGGTAAGCCACAATTAATGAAATTAGTAACAATTTTCATTTTTTCCATGTTTAATCACCCCAACAGCAACATTTCATTGCAGTAAGCTTCACTATTTCACAGTTATAATACTGAGTAAACCTACCTGCAACTTTCAGCTCCTTTTGAATTGTTCCATTTTCCTGTTCAAGTGAAAACCATGTGTTCCCAAAAAAGTAAAACTTATGATCTGTCTGAAGGTCGTTTACGATCACATGACTCAAGTACCAGGAAGGGGAGGAGCCTCTATTGTCGTGCCATATTTGAATCTTCTTAAGCTCGCCAAGGTTCACATCATAAGCTATGATGAAAGTGTCAGAACAGTTCCGCTTGAATGCACCAGATTTGATAACATGTTGACGGGCTGATTTTCCGTACTCTCCGACCAGTCGAATACCAACATGAGCTGTTGTACCTGTTATATATAACAACAATCTTTCTGTACAGAAAATATATGTAATATTACATTCAGAAAAACTTTGAACAACTACTAACGTGTCAAATTGAATTTTTATGTAAAAAGGAACAAAACCAAAATGAAATTTTAATAAAAGCTGCAAAAAGAAATAAGCATAATTAGTGCAAGCCAAACTTTAATATATAGACACAATAGTAGGTATATCATATACTAACCTGCTCCTGGTAACCGCCCCGTTACTATGGTAACCTCATATTTGAAGGAGCCATCTTTACCACAGAGAGGAATGAGGGAGATCCTTTTTAAGTCCATCAGATCCAGTTTCCTGAAGGCTACTACCAGGATTATATACAGTCCCAGGATCACACTACATGTAATGATAGCCACTGGGTTTGAGGCAAAGTCCACTTCCTGCCGTTGTCATAGATACAAATTTAAAAATTTTTCACTAAACGAAAACCTTTGTATAGAAATATTTGGAATTTTATACAGATATGTTAATGTTGTTTGACATTTAGCAATGCAAAGAAACCATTGCTTTATGGTGATATTGCTTTATTTTTTTGCTTCTTTTTTAGGTAGACTGTATATTTTGTTGATTTGTCTTCTATGAAATAATGTTACATTGTATTTACACATTATGTTACCATAATACTTGAAATTCTACAGGTTACTTTAAGTGCTATATGCATTTGTGTTTATATCTGAGTCAAATACCAGTTTATCAATAAATAGCAATTTTACAAAATCTAATGGATTTGAATTTGCACTTTAAAAATACATTTTCAAAAACAAGTTTACTTACAGAAAGGTCTGTGAAATCTAGCTCGTCAGGTGACACAAACAAACTCCCGCCAAATGAGGTCATGTGATTACACGCACATTTGATGCATGTTGCGATGGAATCTTGATGTGGCAAGCAACCTTCATTATCCCACTCTTCATTACCTTCATTAAAGAATTCACATCTTGTAAGATAAACACCAACTAGTACTTGAGTTGATTCCGAGACTCGAAGATGTACTTTAAATGCATCGTCAGTTGAGTAATCACTGAAATATATGAAATGTACCATAATTAGTCTTTAAATAATTAAAACTAATTTTTTTAATAAAATAAACAATATATGACAATAGAAATAAACAAGAGCTGTCCGTAAGACAGCGCGCTCGACTTTTTTATTGCTTGCCAATAAAAAAAGTTTTTGCAGTAAAAGGCAATACAAGAATCTCTGTATTTTTAAAGTGAACAATGGCCATGAGCATTAAGATATTTAGTGAAGAATTATTTTACTGAATTGTGTGATACCCTTGAACACTGCTTGCCTATAATACAAAACATTGACAGTTAAGGGCCATAATTCAAATAAAATCTTTGACAGAATTACCTTCTCCTGGACATGTTTGGGAATCATGATTGTAAACAAGTATTCCAACTTTCAAATTAATATCTCAAACAGTTCAGTCAAAAAGTGGACTGGTACTAAAAACTTAACCAAGATTCTAAGTCGATAAAAGGCCTTAATTTTTAAAACAAATCCTTGACAGAGTTACCTTCTCTTGCGTACAGATGGGGGTAATGATGTGAAATAGCATTAAAAGTTTCAAAGCAATATCTCAAAGGGTTAAGGCAATAAGTGGATTTTACCCATATTCAATGTATTTTCTAAGTCAAAAAAGGGGCATAATTCTGTCAAAAACCTTGACAGAGTTATGTCCTCTTGTCTGTTGATGAAGGTCGTGATGGTAAACAAGTATGGTCAGTTTCAAAGCAATACCTCCAATGGTTTTGAAATAAAGTGAGGTGGTACAAAAAACTTAACCAAGCTCAATACACTTTCTAAGTCAAAAAAGGGCCATAATTCTGTCAAAAACCTTGACAGAGTTATGTACTCTTGTCTGTAGATGGAGGTTATGATGGTGAACAAGTATGGTAAGTTTCAAAGCCATACTTGTAATACTTCTGAAATAAAGTGGGGTGGTACGAAAAACTTAACCAAGGTGTGACGCCGACGCCGACGCCGACGCCGGGGCGAGTAGGATAGCTCCCCTTTTCATAGAAAAGTCGAGCTAAAAAGATTCAAAATCTATAGAATGTTTGAACCGTTCAATTTGTTTCAGAAAATTTTGGGAAATATGTTATAATGATGATGATGATAACGGTCATTGTTCCAGTCAAGCAAGCGTGAACTGGATCAAACACGTTTAATATGTCTACAAGACAGCCAAATTGACATTTTTCTTAAAATATCTTACATTTGAGTATTACATCAGTTACCTTGGTGATATGAAGAATGTGTAAGCTGTGTGATCGTGTTTAAGATCATCCATCATGGCTTTATCTATAGTTTTCGGTCTTTTATTCGTATTGCTGTCAGTTTCACTAAATTTGATATCATTCTTGTACAATGTTGCAAACAGTTTAGCACTAGCTCTGGTGAAATTTCCACGCAGTTGAATATGAATTCCCACACCTGCTTCTGTTGGCATGTTAACATTAACTGCGAAACTGGCATCAGGACTCAGAGTTCGGCTCGAATAATTCATATGTAATAACGGGTCGTATCCTGATGAGTAGTGAAAAGCTGTGTCATTGATTGGATATGATGTAACATTATTCTTAAACATGTACATTATCACTTCATTCCCACTGGAAAGGTTATCCACTGTGACCGAGTCTCCCGATGGCTTGTAAAAACTGGTAGTAAGCGAGAGCGTATTTTTTGGTAGGAGGTTACTGAAGCCAAAGTTATACTGAATAATCTTGCTGATGTAAACAATCTGAAATACTGAAGGTTCGGTGTAACGAGAAGTTAATATATCTGACGGAAATTGAATAGATGTCCCTAAATTGCTGTTGTGATTTTGCGTAATCTTGTCCGTGGAAACGTGTCGAGCCATGACTTCGTAATCAGTTGTTACTTTCTGTATTGGGTTCTCATCAGCGACCTGTGCAAGGAGAGGCAATATCAACAGTTGTGTGCTTGACTTCATGCTCTTAATGATTAATGCTTGTGTCTGGGCTTCATCACTGGAGTACGAGGTGGTTTGTACACTAGAACTGACCTGCAGAACGTAGTCAGAAAGACTGCCAAATTTGGCAAGAGTAGCACTGTCACTTGTGACTGTTGAAAGAGATTTTAATGCCTGTTGCATGTTGGCATTTGCTTTAATCAAAGTGTTAGAGTCATAGTCTCGCTGATCGTCTCCCCTGCTTACTGTAGATTCTAGAAGTTCTGTCATCGCCTCAATTTCACTTAGAGCAGATGAAAGTGTGGCCAAAGAGACCTCCTCTGTATGTTCCTGGTGAGAAAAATGAAAGATAAAATGTACTATAAAAACAGCATTCAATAAGCATAGATAAATAATATATGAATTTGACATGTTGAAATATAGACTTACTTTTGAATTAAGAACATTTAAACTGAAAACATACATGTACACATGTAAATCAATGAAGAAAAGACTTAAAGTGTCACTTGTGTTTCAAACTTGTCAATTTCTTTATGCACATTTAAGTATAAAAATATATTCATTTTATGTATGAAGTTGATATTTTAAACATTAAGAAAAAAAAATCATTACAAAAATTAACATTTATAATTATTTAGTAATTTATTGACTTTTGATAAGATAATTATCAATAGTATAAAATTAGTTAAAAGTTAAACTAATTTTAAAATAATAGCCACAGCAAAGCTGAACAAAACTTTTCCACCGTAACATTTGTTTTGTTTTTTTAACTTATAGCAGAACATATTGACTTACAACAAGATATTCTATAGCTGTTGCCATCTGCTGAATGTTGTATATGGAAGTTAAGGGGAGACCACTTAGGGAGTTCATAATAACATCACGGATAGCCATTCGTTGAGCTAGAGTTCCGACGTTATTCTCTGACTGATCGTTGAGGTAACTGAGCACGGACATACAGTACTGGAGTAGAAGTGGAGGGTTATTCTGCCTCACAATGGTCTTCATATTGGATAACATCTGATCCACTATATAGTCTGTCTTGTGAGCCTGACTACTTGATAAGGTTGGTGCAACAAACGATACAGTTCTGAGAGACAAAAAATATTTAATTAATGTCAACATTCAAGTGCTAACTTATCTAGGACTAGGAGAATGCTTGAAAGTTCGCAGTACCTTTTAGGTCAATTAAAACATCAATGTCTCACATGACATTATCTTTAGTACTTCAATGCAGGTGTTATATTACAAAATTATAATGAAACTTAAGTTTTAAGAATCAATACTTTACAATTAAGTTCCAATAAAAAGAATAAGGGAAGTGAAACACATGAAAAGAGGGTCAGGTTTCAGTAATTTTATTAAAGACCTATATTTCGGCTATTCAATAGCCTTCTTCAGGGATGAATTAATTTCCAATTGATGCTTATTTAATACACAAGTTAAGTTACATAACCTACCTGGTATATAAGACAGTTTCAGCTCTATAGAAGTTTACGGCAGAGATCTCTATTTGTACACTGCTGTAATTGGTTCCTGGGAAAGGTACCACAAAAATACTGTTGACAGATTTTGAACCATAATAAGCAATGTATGGGGTCTTGTACGATGTAGTTGATCTAACTGTAACTTTGTAGTATATAGCCGATAATGAATCCGAGTCTACCACATTACTGCAGGAGTAAGTCGCCGTGTCTGTCAATGCAACAACACCTGCCGACGGACTAAGTGTGCATATTCCTCCAGAAGGCTTTGAGCTTGGTGCAAGAACAATCTCAGCCTGCCCAGTTTCACTTCCAACAGTGGCCTCTAATTTAAAAACATAAGCCTTATTATCTTGTATGACACCGCTAAGAAGGACAAAGTTCATCTGATTAGTGTCTGTTGTTGTTTTAGTGCTGTCAATTGTATCAGCTGTACCAGTTGAATTCTCTTTCACTGTCCACTGAAGACTTGCTGTATTACAGCCAATGCAAGCACCTTCAAATGAGACACTGCGGCTTCTTGTCAGGAAGTAATGTCCATTGGCTTGGCATGACACACAGTTAATACTTATTACAGGTGCTGTGTTGCTCAATATAGTAATCTGAAATAAACAACAGTAACACCAAACATGTCAGGTTTCAATTTAAATTGAGGAAGATCTAGTATTAAAATGTATTTTGCATTTCAACATTGTATTCTAATGGACATAATTATTTGATTAGACTGATAGCAGAAGGCCTCTGATAATGTACAAACAGTTTAAATTTAAGTAATTTTTGCTGATGGACAAGACTATGATTGATTGGTTGGGCTTTAAGTTGACATTTTTAAGGTTAAATTGCAACTTTCAAGCTTTGTTGCCCCATCCATGCATCATTCAGGCTCATGTAGGCACTGAAGTAGAATCACCAACCTACTGTAAGCTAGCTGGTGACCAACAAGACATCAATAAACATTTTTATCCTGCCTCAATAAAAATCACAAACATTTTTATCTGATCTCAATATAAATCACTAAGAGAGTATATAAAGACGTGACTTACAGTTTGTGTGAAGGAACTGGCTATTCTGCCTGTAGCTGACACTGTTACTGTGACAACATACACATCATTAACTGTCAAGGTCAAACCAGTCAAGATTGTAGATGCATTTGTTATTGCACTTATACCATTACAGACAGCTGCAGCTGCTGACGATCCCTGTTTATAAAGTAAGCAAATAAATAAATTATTTTACAATCTGTTTATCTTACTTATAATAAGATCAATACAAAGTCAACCATTTCTAAAGAATTTGCGTTGGTATGAGAAAAAAAATAACCAAGTTCAAATTTACATGGCTCATTCATATTATGATTCTTTATGACGTGAACAAAAATGAAGCTCTCTTTTAAAGTTCTCTTTAAAAGAAGTTAAAGCTACAGTTCTTCATGCCTAAGGAAATAGTTCTTCATGCTTAAGGAAATATGAATAAAACTATTTTTACCCTTAGAATATTTTATTTTTCATGTGTACATTTAGGAATGACTTTTTTTTTGTTACATATTGTATATTATTAGATATTCTATCAAGACAGAATAACAAATACATAATTATAAATTTCATGTTAGATAACCTGGCACCTTTATAACAGAGTTGATACTTTTTTTTCTTTATATATCATAAAAAAAAAATATATATTTACCATTGTTTGTGTACAGGACCATGCAAAATTTAGAGTTGTCGCAGGAACGTTATCTGGATCATAAGACTGGCTTGCATCGAGAGATAAAGTTGAAGCAACCCTCACACCAACTTTATGTCCTCCGCTCAGAACAGACACTAAATCAGACGGGACTATTGTCAAATTAAAGTATTTGAATGCCTCAACAGGAGTGTTTTCATATGTATGCTGGAATACCACACAATATGTTCCGTAGTTAAGTGTGTTGCTAAGCAACACAATGCTTGGTAAGTCTGTTTTAATTGTACTTGGAAGAGTGTACTCATTCTGAAGCGAGGCTACACAGGAGGATGCGGAATAAACTTTCCAGCTATTGGATGATGAGTAACTAGAACAACCCCCTGTTGATACGTCAACTGATATTTCCACTTCACGAGCCCTTGGTGATCGTTTATCTGTACTGCCAACCACTGTCACTGTTGGTGCACTACAACCGAGATCTTTTACCTGAAAGCTTATACTCTTTCTGGAGCTACTCACATCATTTGCAACAATCACTGTTAATGTATAATTTCCACTAGTTGTAAATGAGAGGTCGAGCGTTGGACTATTACTTGTTGTCATGTTAACTCCATGGGAAAACACCCAGGTGAAAATTGCAGGATTGATGTAGTCGCCGCTAACGTTAAATGTAATAGGATACCCCACATACTTGTAAACTGATGCCTGTAAATTCAAGTTACCAATAGGACCTTGGATAGATATCCAGCAGTTCTTTGTCTCCTGACTCACATAGTTTCTTCCTGTTACATTCACGCTGTAAATCCCAACAGTTGAATACTGGACAGTCGTAGCAGCACTTGTTACGCTCGCCAATCCTTGACGAGTCCAATCTACAGAAATATCAGTCCCTTTATATGACGATGTAAGAGTTATAACAGTATTCATCATGTATGTTCCTATACAATTCTGCACGTCAAAATCAGAAATACTGTCCTGTACGAGAATACTTATCTGGCTGTTCTCATTACTGATTAGATTACTTGCAGTTAACTGAACAGTGTATTCTGCAGCACTAGTAAAGTTTTTCTGCAAAGTTTCAGTTGCTGCCACAGATGTTCCCCCAATATTCCAGTTAAACTGCATGTATTCTGTGTTTGTTATACTGCTGGAGAAAGTTATAATAGTATTAGATGGCGCAGCATGTTTACTAATGCTTGTAATATATGAAGCGCCACTCATTGACAGGGTAAATGTTGGAACATCATATAGAGAATATATTTCTTTGTAAGCAGTTCCGCTACTTGCATAATTTTCTGCAAATAGTGTAATGTTATAAAGTGCCTGAGACATAAATTGGTAAACAAACGTTTGAGCAGTTCCTGTACTATTTGTTGTCCCTGAGACAAGAGCGTTCCAACTGTAGGAGGGACTGGTTCCAGCTGCAATCTGTGCAGTAAATGTTAGACTGGTATATACTCTCACAGCATTAGTGTAAGGCATTGTAACAGATATCTGTACTCCCGATACACCTATCATTACATTTATTGTGTAGTTTACACTGATAGGACCTGAAACAGCGTTAGAAACTTCCAATGTCACAATATACAAGCCTACCACTGAAGGTGTTATCACTATGTCTGATGTTGTTGTTGTAGGTAATACCTGTCCACTTGGTGCTGATGCATACAACCAGTTAAACTCCTTGTATTCACCATTAGTTGCACCCCCTGTTAATGTAATGCTGCTACCTAGTGTAATATTTCCATCTTTGCCTGGTGCAGGGTTAATGTAGGGTCCTGATACTGCTTCCACAACTTCCACATACACTGTGATAGACACCGGCCCCAAACTGTTTGTAACAATTGCCTCGAGCTGGTATAAAGCATTCTCATCAAGTCTGTAAGAAAGTGTCGGATCATCTTTATCAATAGTTGAGTTCTGTAAAGCATAGATAGATGAACCTGTACTTTTCTTTTTAAGACGTAAGAAATATTCCACTGTGTTTGGAACAATTTGTGACGATGTTACTGTAAATGTGATCACTTCATTTAATTTTGCCTTGTATGTATGAGTCTCATTTGTGCCAGTCAACGCGTTCCCATTTTCTGTTACTTGTAGGCTAGACCCTAGCAATTTTTCAACTACAAAAAATGTAAATGCTGATGAGGTCATGTTACCAAGGGAGTTTTTTACAGTAACAGTACAAGATTTTGAGCCTTTTGTTGGGAATTTGTGATCCCATTCATTTACTTGAGTAGTTTCCTCGATAGTGCCTGATTCACATTTCCAAATGTAATCCAAATCCATTCCAGCTGGTGTTACTGTTGCATCAAATCTCCCAGTATTCAAAATATTTAAATCTTTAACAGATGAATCACGTTTATTAGTCAGCCAGTCGTAAAGTCTATTTTGCATAGTAACTGATGTAATAGCAGCTTCTACATGAACTGTGATGTATTGTGTTACAGCCGTTGTGACCATGCTGCTCGCTGTGACAGTTACGTTATATGTGTCGATAGAAGTGTATGTGTGAAAATTTGAAATTCCTGTACCAGTTGTAGAATCACCAAAATCCCAGGCAAATGATCCACTTCCTGTTGTTGTTGTTACTTTGAATTCTGTCGCTACATTATTTTGTATGTAGTATTCGCCTGATATTTCGAGACATGATGAGCAGACAATAGTTACTCCACTTAATTCTTCTATAACAGTGACAGACTTTGTCACTGTTTCTGAGTTGACATTATTTGACACTGTAACTGTAAAGTAATATGTCCCTTCTGAAGTAAATTCAACGGGAAGGATTGCGTCTGTGGATGTAGTACCTGTTGCATTTGTCAACCAAGCATACGTCAAAGGTGATCCTGTTGCCACGGCTACAGTGACATTTCTCTTGACTGATCCTGATGAAGGGAGAGTAACGGTAGATTCTATTGACATTGTTGGAGTAGTAATTCTTTCTTGTATGCAAACTTGTTGACTAAGAGTTTCTGTAGCACTGTGTAGGTGGTACTTTGCAGTAACAGTTATAGTAAAGTTTGATGCAGTTGTAAAAGCATGAGTTTTATGACAAGTTGTGCCGGTATAAGTTTGACCGTCCCCAAAGTTCCAGTCACAGACTATGGTTGCAACACTGTAGTGAATAAGGTCCACTTTGTAACTCCGTCCTATAGTTGATTCATAGCAGCCTGAAACATCATTTCCATCAATCTTAAATCCTGATATAATAAGATCTCCAGCATTCATAACATATGCTTGTGTTGATACACTCTGGGTACTGAGCATGTTGGAAACAGTTACTGTAACACTATAGTTACCAGCTGAGGCAAAGGTATGTGTATACGTTCCAGTGGATCTGGTCACATCGAAGGCTGAGTTAGAAGAAACATACCTGTATGACAAGAAATTTCCAGAAGAAACAGAAGCTGTAAATGTGATGGGATTTCCCGTTTGTTTTGGTCCATCATTTGTTAATGCAGTGACTGTAACAGCTTCATAAACCACAATATTCATAGAAGCAGTCTGGCTGCTTGGTCCATTACTTGCTGTAACACTCACCGTGTAATTATTACCTGTGGTGAAAGAATGGGTAACTACACTAGATGCGCTTGTCTTAGTACTGCCATCTCCAAAATCATAACTGTAGTTGATGTTGTAGTAATTTCCTGGGCTTGTTGGAACATTAACAGTTATTTCTACTACTGTGTTAAGAAAAACATTTGAACTGTTTGCTGTTACTGTTATTGTAGGTATTGCATTGTAAACATTCACTGAGCCATTCACAAGTACAGCTTGGAAAGCATCCATTGCATATACAGCTAAATCTACTGTAGAGACTGAACTGAAAGTAACAGCCTGTGTCCATGACTTTGGTGATGAACTAACAGTAACATCAGCAGTAGTAATGTTGGCAGTGCTGTCACTAAACATCCAATGTGTATTCACTTCTGATCCAATTGAGCATTCGCACTGAAGCTTTAAATCAAAACTGATTCCTACCGCTGCAATATATGGAGTGTCAAGTAATTTACAGTTTGTGAAGCTTGCTTCTTGTTTAACAGATACATTGATTGACTTTGTTTGAGAGTCAAGATTGTTAGATATTGTCCCAGCAACCGTAAATGTACCAATTGTTGGAAATGAATAAAATAAAGACGCATTTCTTGAGGCCGCTGAAACACCTGCTACTTTAAATGAATAACTAGGATTTGTACCCTCAGTATTTTCCAGGTCAAATTGAGCCGTTGTACCTTTACGTATACAATTTGGCAAACGGCTTGGTGTTTTGAGACTGAATACGACTCCTGTGATTCGTTTCTCTGTTATGATGTACAAGGTATAAGATTGAGCACTGAGACTGTTGCTTACTTCAATGGTTGTGCTGATTGTTCCCACTGCTGATGTGTTGTAAGTGAATGTTGCAAAAGGTGTGTCTGACCACCACATTGAGGAGTTACAGTTGTCACCAACCTCGGATGAAACACTGGAGTGGCATGAACTGGTAAATGTAAAGGTCTGACCAGTAAGAAGAGCACATTTGAGAGACAGGTTGGTTCCCCTTCCTGCAGCAATTGTAAAATGGTAGGCAACATTCCATTCAGTGTACACAGCTCCAAGTGAGGTCAAACTTGTGTTTGTTAAACCAAGAACTGGGTAAACCAGTTCAACATCTGCTACTGATTCTTCTAAAGAAATTGACACAGTTTTCGTCTCTGTTTCGATAATTGAAATTGCCAGTTGATAGTTGCCCACTGTATCCATGTACCCTAGATTGTTTGGTAAATTCTTCGCTAAATCCTGGGTATAAACAAACTGCATGTCACATGTCAAATCTTCAGTTGTGGCGGTGGCTGGAAAAGAGTCCTTTTTCACAAGCCAGTTACTTGTAGTCCCTTTCATAACCTTCTGCTGATCTAAGCTTGATGGACGATTCTCACAATTGACAATATTTTTCCCAGTAGGATACTGTAAACCAATAATGTCACCTTCCTGAACAGCTAGTTCTCCGGTCACACCGTACCATCTTTCACCGGTGTTGGAAAATGTCACCGACAACTGAGTTATAAGTTCATAGTTTGATACACTACCTGGGCTACCACAGCCAGAAGTTGTTGTTGGTACTGATACAGAATTACATGTGCATGATTCATTCTTGAATACACAAGAGTTGCTGAGTAGACAGAAATATTCCGAGTCTGAACAGCCTGTGTTCGGCGTACATGAGTAAGTTCCAGCAACACAACTTGAGAACATGGTAGGCACACAGCCTGAAAATGATCCAATAAATTTTAATGAATAAGAATATCTGCATGCAATTTGAAAAATACCATGTAGCTCAAAATACAACAAGAGCACCGCTAGGCGGAGCATTATATGCCCGAAAGTGATTTTTTTTTTTTTTTTTTAGTAAAGATGAAGCATTTGTAAGACATGGGAATTAAATAAAGTATTACCTCCTTCAAATAACAATCCTCCTTTGAAGTTTCAATATTGTGGTCCAAATGGAACTTAAGTTATGCCCCAGAAACTGTTTTCAATTCTAAGGTAATAGTGACCTTGACCTTGTGACCCCAAAATCAATACGGGTCTTCTACCCAATATGCACAATCATCCTATGAAGTTTGAATAATGTGGAATAAATGGAACTTAAGTTATGCTGAAGAAACTGTTTTCAATTTCTAAGTAATAGTGACCTTGACCTTTGACCTTGTGACCCCAAAATCAATAGGAGTCTTCTACCCAATATGGACGATCATCCTATGAAGTTTGAACACTGTGGGCCAAATAGAACATAAGTTATGCTCCGGAAACTGTTTTTAGTTTTATGTTAATAGTGGCCTTGACCTTTGACCTTGCGACCCCAAAATCAATTGGGGTCTTCTACCTAATATGAACAATCATCCTATGAAGTTTGAACACTGTGGGCCAAATGGAACTTAAGTTATGCTCCCGAAACTGTTTTAAGTTTTAAGGTCATAATGACCTTGACCTTTGATCTTGTGACCCCAAAATCAATAGGGGTCTTCTACCCAATATGGACAATCATCCTATGAAGTTTGAACACTGTAGGCCAAATGGAACTTAAGTTATGCTCCGGAAACTGTTTTCAGTTTTAAGGTCATAGTGACCTTGACCTTTGACCTTATGACCCCAAAATCAATAGGGGTCTTCTACCCAATATGGACAATCATCCTATGAAGTTTGAATATTGTGGGCCAAATGGAACTTCAGTTATGCTCCGGAAACCAAATTGCTAACGGACGGACGGACAGACGGACATACTTAGCAGACGTGTTTGTGGGGTTATTCCTTTGATCTCTTAACCCCACAAGAGCAAATTTTTTTAACCCCATAAGAGCATTTTTAACCACATAATACATGTCTCTACGGAATGAACCCCATACAGAGTGCCTGTACATAAACCTAAACCCCATAATGTAGCTCTCGTCTGCTCGGATGGATGGACGGACGGACAGACGGACGGACGCCAGGGGGTATAACATAATATGTCCGAAATTCTTTCGGGCATATAAAAAGAAGGAGAAAATTTGTATCATCATCAAACTTTCAAACTTTTTTAAGACCTTAAGGTATTGCCATTCACCAACTACTTGTATAATTCTACAATCCTCATGTATATACGTGTGAGGGAGAAAATGAAAAAATATAACACTACCTGTCTTAAAACATATCATGGCATGAAAACAAACAAAAATTTGCTACATCTCATGCTAAAACCCGATATATCACAGTCACAGGTGCATTTAAATAGATTAAATATTGACTAGTCATACCTGTACAAATAAAACTCTTGTTTAAATTTCTTAAATAATCATCAATATATCTAAATATACTTTGAAAAAGATTAAGAAGATCTAAGTTTTAATAAATAAAATTTACCAAACAAAAGAGTTTGATACATTACCTGCTTGGTAAAGATATCCGGTGGTGCACGATGGTCGGTATATTTGGAAAGAAACATCATAGTTTCCTGACACCACATTAACTGACCGGAAATTCACCTGCCTGATAGTTCCAGATCTTGCAAAAGGTAGGCCTAAACAATAGACAAGAGCTTATCATTATGTTGCACAAATTTCAAACTGTTCCATACTAATCAACATGAATTTCAAAAATCTGGTATAGGGGAGATGTATCTAGATTCTATACAGACCATTGAAAACAAAATTTAAAAGGTGAAAAAGGCGAAATTGGTTTGAACTGAAAAATTTAAATGAAGCAGTTACCAGTATTTAGTGTAGCTAAGCTATACATAAGTATCTGCAGACTATCCATATTTTAGATTGATTTATCACTTCTACTTGACTTTTGAGTTATGCACAGAAGCCAGTGTGAGCAGAAAACAACACCTCAAAACAAAAAATTTATTCCTAGTTGACTAACCCATATAAAATTACTATCATAGTGTGGAACAAAAATAATCTTTAACCAGTTTCAAAACTTTTAATCCCTAAGATAATAAAGTATAAAATAGTGTACCTGGAAAGATGAGAATTTCCAGAGAGGAAGTAGCAGCAGATGGGAAGGTGCTGGCAGCTACAGCTTGTTGTATATCCTGGCCGGGAGTTATATCAAGGTCTGCAGTCCCGGATACGAAGCTTGGCACTGTTAATCTCTCTGATATAGAAAATATGATAAAGGTGATATCATTGATATATATAAATAAACCTTAAATTCTTAAAAATATTGAAGTCTGAAAATTGCTTATCACTATCTCTTAACATGAAAAATTCTATCTTTGCTAGGAACAGAAGAAAAAAAAAATTCAAAAACAAATTTTTAGATCCCTTGTAGAAAACCGCAGTCTACATTTCATCTGTCTGTTTATGAGAGGTGATGGAAAATGCAGCATTTGTCACATCCCTTAGCATTTTCTCAGGGCAAATTGAATCTTCAACACTATTAAAAATTTAGAATTAATGACCTCTAGGGGACTGTAGAAAAGAATTCAGGTAAATCTGGTAAAAAATATATGAAATCTTAACTTATTGTAATTCCCTGACGATAAGATGGGGATTTTATCTTCCATTTTGAAGACACAATTAAATAAATTATTAAGTGTTTCTTTGTGTTATAAGTGGAACACAGATGTGATTTCTGAAATTTTGGTATATTCTCTACTGGCAGAAACAAAGTTTAACTTACCAATTCGTTCTGAATACTGACACACAAAGTCCCGGATGTTAGTACAGTCCTGGGAGTTCCAGGTGTTAGCACTTGTTGCAACAAAACAGTCACCACTATTTGAGGTCACCGTTGGCAGGTACGAGGCAGAATTGAAATCAAATGATGAAAAATCTCCCCAGAGATACGAACCCTCTACCTGTTGATCTGACAATCCAATCCAAGCCTCACTATTCATCAAACAAACAAAATAGCTTTAATATTCAATTTCTAAAATATATTTTATCCAAAAGGAATGTTTGATTTATACAGAATTCTTTTAGTTTGATTGTGTAGGAAGCTATAAGCTTATAGACACACTTTCAAATCAGTTCCCAGAACAAACCAGTACTGAGTAATGAGTGTAAAGTTTCTTGCCTAAGGAAACAACGACTTGCCCCTGATGGAGTTGAACCCATGCAGATAGCGATCATTAGATAACTAGTCCATGCCGCCATTAAAAGAAATGTTTGTAAATTAATATCACTGATTTGCATCTGGTAAAACATTAAAGAACAATAACAACTTAGAATCAAAGTGAAAAGTAATAGTAATAACAATTGAATGTTTTAAATGTTAAAAAGATGGGGAAAAAATCCTCAATATTCTTCAATATATTGTATTTTGAAAAAAGTCTTCACATGCCACCAGTGCAGACCAAGATCAACCTGCACCTCCATACCTTCTGATCATAGTCTGCAATGTGCGCTTATTCAGTCAGTACATATTTTGAATTTTTCCCTAAAAATGATGAATATGTATCCAGACTGAATAATGGAAATATACATTTATGATATTAAGCATGGTAAGGTTTAACAGGTGACAGTATTAGATATGAGCCTGCTAGAACTATATATATATATATACCTCACACTGTGGCTTGTGAGCAGAGATGTCACTTTGGATTGCACGGCTGCGTCTGTGACATTAGTCAACCAGCCGCCAAAATAACTTGCGCAATATTGATTAGCAGCGTTCCAATTTTTAGCGGAGACTGATTCTGTACTAGCAAGTACATAACAATAGTCATTACTCAATAGATCTCCACCTTTAGGACAATCTACAGGATCTGAAAACAATAAAAATGTTATTGAAAATAATTGTTTTTAATTGTTTTGTTTTTTTTATTGATAGAGTATGATAATAATTTGGAACATTAATATTCTTCTTATACATGTACTATACCTCAAAGACAACTTTAAAAGTAAAGCATTAAATTAATACATCTCTTATGGTTAGATAATATTATAATTTAATACTTGCAGTTGTAGAATTTGGTATGTTTTACACATACTGATGTTGAGATTAGTAGTTATTCTGGTTGAAAAAAAATCACATTTAAGATAATTATATTTAACACTAACTAAATTTTACAATTTGCAATAAGAAATGAGTACATGTGATGATAACTTACCTGACATACAGACATATTTGGTTGACGTAGTGCAGGAAATGCTGGTCAGTGTACTAGAACTTCCGACTAACGCGACACAATCTCCGTTTGTTGAGCTGACCAGATCATCATCAAAGAAAACAGTTTTAGAGCCATCTGACCATTGCCATACTCCACCTGCTCTCTCAGCACCAATTAACAGAGTTTCTGAACTTGCTGCAACAAATATAGGAAATTTCATCATAAGCTCTATTTTGACAATTACTAGCTGACACAGTGAGCTTATTTACAACATTTCTAGACTTTATTTCTGTACTGGTGTTTTATATATAAGAATTTATAATGGTTTGTCTGTCTGTATTCAAGACTAAATAGGGTTTATTTACACTTTCAGGCACAGAAAGTAACTTTTGCAATTGAGCAAAGACCCTGACATGTAAACAGTCATGCCCTTACAGGGGTTTTTCTAGTTTGTTTAAACATATTTAAGCCGCGCCATGACAAAACAGACATAATGCGTTTGCGACCAGCATGGATCTAGACCAGCCTGCTCATCTGCAAAGTCTGATCAGGATCTATGCTGTTCGCTTACAAACCCTATTACAAGTAGAGAAACTTATAGCGAACAGCATGGATCCTGATTAGACTGCGCGGATGCGCAGGCTGGTCTGGATCCATGCTGGTCGCAAACCCATAATGTTGGTTTTGTCATGGTGGGGCTCATTTATCTAAGCTCGATTGTGAAACAAGTTCTAGCAACTTAGATCTATCACTTCTGAGTGTGCTTTCTGGAACTAAACAAAACATATGAGAAAACATAATCTTGATCACTTGAGAAAGGTTCAGACCCATGATCCCTGGAATGGATGTCAAGACAACTTAACCACTAAGCCAATGATCCCCTTAAAGGGTTAATTTTGAAGCCTGTAGTGGTCATAATTTACCTCTGAGAATTAAACAAATAATTGGGTCTAAACCTAAATTTAGTTTTAAACTTACCACTGAGTGCAGTAACAATCTCTGTTAATTCCTGCATAAAGCTGATCTTCAAAAGTGAGCCGTCTGCAGCACATGTTGTCTTTGCAGTACTGTATGATGTTGGAGAGGTCATGAGTTTGATACACTTGTTTCTGTGTTGTGTCCAGCCTGGCTTACAACTCTTCCCTGTTACAAAGAAAATCACAATGATAAAAGCAATAATTTAGTATTATCTGTCTAAAATAAAAGAAAAGTGTTGTAGAATAATGTGTGATCTGTTATCAAACTATCAAATCTAGCCCTGAAGTCATTTCATTCACTTGAATAAAATAAGTTCTTGTATATCAGACAGGATTTTCTACTATTTAACTCCCCCCCCCCCACCCCTGTGTTTGACAATCTGTGTCCTTGAAATGACCTCATTCCTGTGACCTTTTTATGAATGAAGTGTGTGCTTAGGATGATGTCATTTTGTTGTCATAAATCAAGTTGTAAATTCATATACTTCACTGAGAAAGATGTGCCAGATGAAGATATATATATAATAATTTTCGTATTTTCTCTCAGAAATATGATTTATATGTAATTTATGCAAGAATATGAATAAAAAACCTGCAGTTTTCACAGATGAGAATATCTAGCGCTCTAGAAACTGTTATGCAGAAACTCTGCGGAGTTCTCTTACCGCTGTAAACAGTTACCCTTGTGTAAAATTATTATATTCTCATACAACAAAATGGTCTTCAGATTCTTTACTATATACTTACGTTTTGTAACTGTGCCACCATATGTCTTTGACCACCTGTAATCTATATCATAACCCATGGAGAAAGTTGCGCTAAAACTGCTACTCAAGTTGCTGGAGACATCTGCCAGTGTAATGGCTGTCATATAGGTTGTGAGATTTACTGCTGGTACTTGTACACGAATAGGTAACGAAGCATCCTCACAAACGTTTCTAGTCGCGGCACACGCACTGACCGTTAACCAGAACAAGCCGGAATGTGTGTATGTATGCTGGGTGGTAACACTTGATGCATTCACTGTTTTTATTGTCTGGGAGTCACCAAACCTTAAATTGATCTGATCGATTGCTGTTAAGGAAGTTGTTACCGATACTTCGTGAGATTTTCCTTCAACAAGGCGCGGAATATGGGACATTCTGATGCCTGCTTCAGCAAGTGTTGTTATCGGCCCAAGATATGACCTTGATGAACATTGATCGCTTATTTTTGGACAGCATGACTTGGATGTAGTTGTATTCCCGCAAATACAAATGTTTGATCCTTCTACAAGGTAATATCTCACATTCTCCACAAAACAGTAATTCTTGCATTCTTCCTCCGTGCTAACAATGTTTACTTTGTCAAACACAACTTCCACACTGGAGGTGTTATCCGGATAACATGAGTAAAATCCACTTGGTCCTGAAAATTAGATAAAGAAATAAAATTAATTATTTTGATACAAATCTTGTTAATATGAGTTTTGAAACTTTTTTCTCTTTTGACTTTTTATGTTTTTTTAGTGTTTTTTTTGTTATAAAAATATGAAGTTTAACTTTTGAATTACAATATCAGATTGAACAGCATTTTCTGGTTTTTTTTCAAGTAAATCATTAATCACACTCTAAAATAATGTTTACACTAAATTTAAGTCTTTATCTTTTAGCTATAATCAGGTATACATTTTGTTAAAGAAATGAAAACTAGTTATCTCAAGTTGTATAGAGTAACAAATGATCTAACTGAACTTTTCTGCAGTTCTTAAGACAAAATAACCTCTGTTTCAAAAATAAACAGAAAACCAGGCTGCTTCCTAGTAAAAAAAAAAAATCAACAACAAAATTGTCTATAGATATATATAGAAGTGTCAATGCTGTGCAATAACTACTGCCTAAACGTCTTGCCTTGCCAGCGTGCTCTCCCTTCACCATGCTTCCGTATTCCTAACTTTTCAAATCTATAACTCCTACCATGCTTAATATCTTAAATGGACTTGTCCATCTTTCACTTTGGACAAACCCATTTATTACTTTTAGGGAAAAACGTCAAAATATGCACCATCTGAAAAGTGTACATTGCAGACCATGATCAGACAACATGGATTAGACAATTGATCTTGGTCTGCAAGGATAGCTTAAGGTAGTGGTTAAAAGAAATCCTAATATTTTCAAAAGCTAATAAAATCATGAGCAATTTTAGACAACAATATAATAAATGTATGTTGTTTGATTATTATATAACTGAATGTATCTATACACATTTCTAGCCCTGATATATACTATAACGTCACTGAACATTAAGTATCACCCTAGCTTTGGGGTATATATATAATTATGTATAACATGCTACAAAGTTCATAAAATATCTACATGCTGTACATCAAATATGCTAACCTAACAGATGACATGGTGCCCTCATAATAGAAATCAAATTTATGTATTCTGACATTCTTTACAAGACATTGATTATGCTTTACATAATTATATAGGAAATATATTATTGACTACTACATGCATTTTTTTTTCTGAAATAAGAAATTGAATATGTCATCTTAAATAGGACATGTTATAATTATTCTGTCTGAACATGGAACATGGTATGAGCTGTCGTAATTAAGAAAGGTGGTGTACATGCTGTCCCAATTAACATAGGACATCTGACATATGATCCTAACATAGTATAAGACAGAGGATAGAGGCTGTCCTAACATAGATGATACATGCTGTCCTAACATAGGGATACAGGCTGTCCTAACATAGGGATACAGGCTGTCCTAACATAGGGATACAGGCTGTCCTAACATAGGGATACAGGCTGTCCTAACATAGGGGATACAGGCTGTCCTAAGATAGGGATAAAGGCTGTCCTAACATAGGGATACAGGCTGTCCTAACATAGGGGATACAGGCTGTCCTAACATAGGGATACAGGCTGTCCTAACATAGGGATACAGGCTGTCCTAACATATGGATACAGGCTGTCCTAACATATGGATACAGGCTGTCCTAACATAGGTGATACAGGCTGTCCTAACATAGGGGATACAGGTTGTCCTAACATAGGGGATACAGGCTGTCCTAACATAGGTGATACAGGCTGTCCTAACATAGGGGATACAGGCTGTCCTAACATAGGGGATACAGGCTGTCCTAACATAGGGGATACAGGCTGTCCTAACATAGAGATACAGGCTGTCCTAACATAGATGATACAGGATGTCCTAAAATAGGGAATACAGGCTGTCCTAACATAGGGGATACAGGCTTTCCTATCAAAGGGGATACAGATTGTCCTAACATAGGGGATACAGGCTGTCCTTACTAAGGGGATACAGGCTGTCCTAACATAGGTTATACAGGCTGTCCTGACATGAATGATACTGGCTGTCCTGACATAGATGATACAGGCTGTCCTAACATAGGGATACAGGCTGTCCTAACATAGGGGATACAGGTTGTCACGACAAAACCAAATTGTATGTAAGATTATTATTCTACCAAATTATAACTATTGGACAAACAAAGAAATCACTATATAATTACGTCTGTCTGAATATGTCAGTCCGAAATGAATAAATCAACCCTTTTGAAAAGACCATAAATGATTTGCATGCAAGTGAAATAAAAATCTTTGAGATCATAACTACATTGATATAATTTTACAACAATAATATTACAACCATGCAATAAATACCCTTAAACCATTCAATGACTCTGATATCTAACATGAAGCAAAATCAATAATCAATTATTTATTTCTTTTTTTTCCCTTTTATTATAATGTGAAACATTCTCCTTTAAGCATTTGGCACATTTAATTTTACAATAATATAACATCAATAGTTTTTCTTTTGCCTATTAATCATTTTCTTTAGGTAATAATTTGTAACCAAAGGCATTTTTGTTTACTTACAGTATTAATTTTTGCTTTCTTATGGTATTTTTGTTTACTTATGGCAATTTGTTTACTTTTAAAAGAATTGAAAATGTTAAATGAGCATTTATATCATGTTTTCTGTGAGTTATGTTTACAACATTTCAGGCACATGTTTATATTAGTTAACAAAAGCATTTCCTGAATAAATAAAACTATATTTGAGCCGCGTCATGACAAAACCAACATAGTGCATTTGCGACCAGCATGGATCCAGACTATGCATCCATGCAGTCTGATCAGGATCCATGCTGTTCGCTTAAAAACCGTATAACAAGTAGAGAAACTGATAGCGAACAGCATGGGTCCTGATCAGACTGCGCGGATGCGCATACTGGTCGCAAACACATTACGTTGGTTTTATCATGGCGCGGCTCATATTTTCTGATTTATTTACAAAACTAATTCACATCAATGTGGTGCAACACAAAACTTTCAATACTCCATGAACTTTGGAGAACAGTTTTGTGACGGACCCTAGATTTGTGTCAGAAAATAAACCTTCGACAGAAAGAGGAAAATAACAACCAGAATAGAGCAGTACACTAGCAGGGATCAATCGTGTTTAATTCCACAAAAAGGTTGTAATTCTAATTAGCTAAGAGATCTGAATTACTACCCTTTTGGTTTTCAACTAGCATAATTATACTTTCCAAAGTAGGATGCTTGGATTATTTAACTTAATACACTTTATCCTCATGAAAACACAAAATAACAGCTCTTGCAAACAATTAAATTTATAAATACCGTATTGTTTCCATTTAATGCCCCCCCCCCCCTCCCCCCACCTCCACATTTTGTAGAAGAAAAAAATCTTAATTTATAAATTAATAATCAATAATGAAAGAGCAATCCTATATTATATAATAGATCATAATAATAAATAATGATTTTTTTATTATTGAATTGTATCTTTAATAAACATATTTTAAAACACATTATTATAGTTCTGATTAGCTTTTGAAAAAATGCAATGCCCAGGGTGCGGGGGGGGGGGGGAGGGGGCATTAAATAGAAACAATACGATCATAGTCTATTTAGTCTATTTATTGCATCTATGTATTTTTTATATTCATAAAAATAAACTGTACAATCTAAAACTTTTCTTTCTTTTTTTGCAAGACTTTATGTTTTCATGGCGGAGTTTAAGAATACTTACGACAATTATGCAGTGCGATACCGTGATTTTTACAGTAAGTTTTCAACACATGAGAATCCCTTTTGTGGCGGCCATTATCAGCTAATAGGTTAAAAATGTATGGTTTGTTAGTTACGACATGTGATATAGAAATGAGAGGTTAGTCAGGACGGATCAAGGGCTCAAAACGCAATAAATCTTAAAAACAAAATACATCAGTGTTGCCATGACAACTTATACTGATATTACTTTTAAATTACATTTTTAATTAGAATTTTAAACAAAGACTCTTTAATATTTCAAAATGCCAAAAAAAAAAAATAAAAAAAATGAGCATAATAATTATTATGCTTGAACAAAATTACAAAATCAATAAAAACCAAAAACAAGATTGCATTTGAGAAAAATGCTATGCCACCACATGGTTCAAATTTCATAGCTGTACATCAAAGGACAAGAAAGTAAGTCACATCATCAAAATCTAGGTCAAAGTTCAATTTTACAACTAAAACTGTGCACATGGTCAAAATGTCATTGCTGTACATCAAAGGACAAGAAAGTAGGTCACTGTCCCCTTGGGCAAGGCATAATTTTGACCCAAGGGTTTAATTACAATCTTGATACAGGTCCACCAAACAACATTTCAAGTCAAAAATCTAAGCTATAGCTTTCTCCCATTCAGAAAACATTTGTTTTATTTTCTGTTTTTACTACGTGTACATAATGAGAATCACTGCCCCTGGGCAGGGCCAATTTTTGACATTTGAACAACTTTGGTAGAGGACCTATAGATGATATTATATATCAAACATCAAAGCTCTATGCCTTGAACCTTCAGACAAAATTTTTTTTTTCACTATATGTACATAATGACAATCAATGACCCCCGGGGCGGAACCAATTTTGACCCCAGGGCTATAATTTGAACAATCTTGCTAGAGGTTCACTACATAATGTTTCATGCAAAATATCTTAACTCTATCCTTTGTCAATTTAGAGAAGATGATTTTTTAAGTTTTAACTATATACATATAAGATAAACCTATGGCTCCCAGGGGCGGGGCTAATTTTGACACAAGAGGCAAAATTTGATCATCTTTGGTAGAGTACCTTTAGATGATATTATTTAACAAATATTTAAGCTCTAAGCCATGTACCTTCAGACAATAAGATTTTTTTATTTTTTACTATATGTATATATTGAAATCAATGACCCCCAGGGCTGGGGTAATTTTGACCCCAGGGCTATAATTTGAACAATCTTGCTAGAGGTTTACAACACAATGTTTCATGCAGAATATCTAACCTCTAGCATTTGTCAATTGCTAGAAGAATTTTTTTTAAGTTTTTACTATATACATATAAGGAAGACCAATGACCCCTGGGATGGGGTTGATTTTGACCCCAGGGCTATAATTTGAACAATCTGGGTAGAGGTCTACCAGACAATGCCTTATGCAAAATATCTAAGCTCTAGGCCTTTTGGGTCTTTACAATAAGGTGTTTTTAGTTTTTACTATATGTGCATATAGCGAAAATCAATGACCCTGGGGCGGGGCCGATTTTGACCCAAGGGCTATAATTTGAACAATCTTGGTAAGGGTCTACCAGATGATGCCTTATGCAAAATATCTAAGCTCTAGGCCTTTTGGGTTTTTACAAGAAGGTATTTTAAGTTTTAACTGTATGTCCATAGTGAAAATCAATGACCCCCGGGGCGGGGCCAATTTTGACCCCAGGGCTATAATTTGAACAATCTTGTTAGAGGTCTACCAGACAATGCCTTATGCAAAATATCTAAGCTCTTGGCCTTTTGGGTCTTTACAAGAAGATTTTTTAAATTTATTCTTATAATTCCTTTTGGTTGCCATGGCAACCAGATTTCTGCATGGAATGAAATTCTTTGAACAACTTTGGAAGCCCTTCACCCAAGGAACAATCCTGCCAAGTATGGTTGAAATTGGACAAGTGGTTTTTCACAAGAAGATTTTTTAAGTTCACTATATAATCTATATAACACACACACACACAAACAAACAAACAAACACACACACACACTAACACACAGGTGAATCGCTATATGCCACCGCATCGTAGATGCTGCGGTGGCATAAAAAAAAATATTCCAATACTGCGAAGGTAAAACTGAAATGTAATGAAATGCAGCTATATTGAAAATATGGATTGCTGCTATAAGTTATACTAATGACTGTTTAAATTTAATATTTTGATATTGAAATTAATAATGGACAGTATTCATAGAATGTCCAGTCCATTTCAAAAGTTAAGTAGGCTACAGGTTAATGAACAAAGACATCAAGTTATTATAGTGTTGCAGTGAACTCTCAACACAAGTGTGCAAAGTAGAAGGTCAGGCATAATAAAAGTGGGGTCCTTAAAATAAAAATACTTGTATCATTACTATAGAAAATTCATCATTTGGAATAAAAAAAACTATGAATTGTGATTCTACATATAGATACAAACATTAACAAAAAGCATCAAACAGACACTTAACAAACAACATTACATTTTTGTGCTGTAACCAACAAAAACAAAATAAACATTCAGTGTACATGCAGTATTAATCTCCTTACAAAAATAGTCAGAATTAAAATGCTTTCTTGAAAAACAAACTTATCAATAATGGATAGGCAGTAATGTTGAGAGAACAGCTGAGTTATGACTTTATCAAATGATAAAAAAACTGCTGAGTCATGACTTTATCAAATGGGAAAACTGCTGAGTTATGAATTTATCAAATGGGAAAACTGCTGATTCATGAATTTATCAAATGGGAAAATGCTGAGTTATGATTTTATCAAATGGAAAACTTCTGAGTCATGACTTTATCAAATGGGAAAACTGCTGAGTCATGACTTTATTAAATGGGAAAACTGCTGATTCAAGACTTTATCAAATGAGAAAACTGCTGAGTCATGACTTTATCAAATGGGAAAACTGCTGAGTCATGACTTTATCAAATGGGAAAACTGCTGATTCATGACTTTATCAAATGGGAAAACTGCTGAGTCATGAGTTTATCAAATGGGAAAACTGCTGAGTCATGACTTTATCAAATGGGAAAACTACTGAGTCATGACTTTATCAAATAGGAAAACTGTTGAGTCATGACTTTATCAAATAGGAAAACTGTTGAGTTATGACTTTATCAAATGGGAAAACTGCTAAGTATGAAATAAAAGTCGAATCTAAAGATTTTTTACATTATCATTAAAGGGTTGGGAAAACATCTCTTTTATAATTCAATCAAATAGATAGGAAAATAGCTTATTCATGACTTTATCAAATGAACAGGAAAACAGCTGAGTCATGGTCCTATTTTATCAAATGGTTGGGAAAACAACTGATTTATAAATTTATCAAATATTAATTTGTAAACTTTAAAGAAAGCAATTTAAAATAAATATATCAATGTGCGGTTGGCCTTTTCTATTAAGCTATCTAACATCAACTGCTTAAATAAAATCTGTTAACACATATATACTAAAATTCCTAATATAGTTTTATTTAAAACTACAAAAAACTAAATAAGTAGAAAAGACAGGCACAATATTTGTGTTTACTGCTCTTAATCACCTGTTTCTACTATGTAATAATTTTCAATTTCTGCAAAACAATAAAAAACATGGAAATGTTTTAACATTACCCAAATGCTTTTGAATTGTACATAAATTTGCAAATACCATTATCAATTTTTTTCTCTTATTTTGAAATTGTCTGTATCATAAGAATGTTGCTTTAGCTTTTAGAAAAAATAATAAAGGGGTCACTATTTGGTTTGTACAGCTTGTTAATTTTTTTCATCAAAAATTATTTTGCCTGTGAAATGTGGGGATTTCATGAACTAAGGTTCATGACTAGTTCTTTGATGTTGATTTATTTCTAACCTGACCATTGTCTTTTAAGTATAAGTACATACACAAGCTCCCATTAACATGTAAAAACTTATTGCTAAACAAAATTGTTAAGGATCCTTACACCAACGAAAATTGTGTGCTGTCAAATGACTTCTTTCACCATTAATTTTATGGGAGACAAAATAATTGTTCTCATTGTGCACATTACCCAAAAATTAAGTGAACCATTCCTTAACCAACAAAAAACAATAACGAAAAAAAATTCCAAAAACCCCAGGTACGTATTTTCACCTGCGAGTATTGCGGCCGTTTGATTGGTGGAACGTTTGCCTCGTGACTGAATCACCTCAATAAATGTGTCTATTGTATCTGTATAGATTATTATATTATAATACAATAAAAATATTGTCAGCAAATTTTCAAATCATTTGCACCTGTAGTCAGTTCAGAATATAGATCTTAAAATTGTACATTTTTCTAAGACAGAAGTTTAATATGTATAAGATGGTGGGATACAGAAAATAAGAATTGAAAAAAGAATTGGTTTTAAAGTTAAACATTCTTCTGAATGTAAAAGATATAAATATTGAACTTCCTGTGGTGGATTTTAAACAAGCAATCTTGTAAGAATATAAGAATATATATATATACACATACTTAACATTATTTTGAATAATCTCTTTATTTAGTTGTGAAATCAAGATTATTTTGTGATCAGATTTTTTTTGCATGGATTTTTTTTTAATTAATTGGAAAATGAATCCAAAATGTTTATAACAAAAATAAAGATTCTTGAAGATCTTCTTTTTGTATTAGCTCAGTTTTGTGGTCACAAAATTAAATAATTTCACAAAAATTTGTGACAAAAAGAAAAAAACATTTTCCCGTTTATATCAATAAATTAAAAATGAGAAATAAATAAAACAGTGTTAGATATTAAGCATTTAAAGTGCATACTATCAACAAATAAAATACACAAATAAAAAATATATAAATCATTCTCTGGTTCAGAATAAAAATGGTTATAACTAAAAAAAATTTAAGCATCAAGTTACGACAACATTGCTAAAAACAATAAATATATAAAAAAAGAAAGAAAAAAAAACAACAAACAAACTTATATATGTTATAGAATATTGTTAAAAAGCCGTACTGATACTGACCTTTGCATTGACCTATATTGGTGAAATCATAGTAACCAGGCATGCATGAACAAGCACTGTTTGTACACTCGGAGTTGGCAGGGCCGCACTGGTAACTCTGGTTACAACTAGAGTACAGGGCAAGTACTGAAAAAAAACACACAAAAAAACATGATTTAAGCCGCGTCATGACAAAACCAACATAATGGGTTTGAGACCAGCATGAATCCAGACCAGTCTGATCAGGATCCATGCTGTTCGCTATCAGTTTCTCTACTAGTAATAGGGTTGGGAAGCGAACAGTATGGATCCTGATCAGACTGTGCGGATGCGCAGGCTGGTCTAGATCCATGCTGGTCGCAAACCCATTATGTTGGTTTTGTCATGGCACAGCTCATTTCTTTTTGGCATCATTTACAAGCATTCATTTACCCTACCCACCATATTATTAATGTAAATACAAAATGTATGCACAAAATCACATTGCATCCACAATGAAAATTTCATTAAGAGTTCCAGTTATCAAGAAAATTTGAAAAATTGAATAAGACATTAGATATTTCTAATTCTTGTCTTTATTAAAACATGTGACAAACCTTGAAGACAATCTCCACCAATGTTTAATGTACCATCGTTGTCATAGTAACCAGTCTGACACTCACAAGTGTCACTTGTTCCGCACAATGAGTAATCTGGCCGACACATGTTGTTTATACTTGTACATGGCTGTCCTAGTTCAACCTCTGAAAAATGGAAAACAAACAACAGTAAGTTTTTGAAATCAAAATATTTTTGTTCTTAACTTTAAAGCGTGAAAACAAATATTAGGAAGAAAAAGATATCAAATGCTAATTTTAACTTAAACATTACTCTTTCTATAAATAAATTGATACTTGAAAAAATAAAAATATTTCAGCTTTCTTTAAATTAAATACCAGTTTATTAAAATCTAAAAGAAAATGAATTTTTTGATAATTGTAAGATTAAAAAAAAAACCAACATATTAAGTTACAAAAACAACAAAAACAATTTCTGAATGATATATAATTTCATGTTTCATTTGTTTCATGTTTCTTTTGAATAATTGGATGTTAAAGAGTTATCAGTTAAAAATAATTTCATGAACATTAACCTAAACAAATTTCATATCTTATATTAAACTTATAAAATTCTAAAGAACAAAAATTATTTAGCTTATTTTGTATCAGATGTAAAAGAATATATCAATAAAGAATAATTTAATGAACAAACCTAAACTTATTTCATATCTTATTTGCAAACTAATAGAATTTTATAGAACAACATTAGCTTATTTCAATCTGAAAATCAAAGAACAAGGTTATCTACAGGCACACCACACAGATTTCTATCTAACAAAGGCCTCTCCATTAACTTTCCCAGTTTTAAGAAAGTCCTTAATACTTAATTTATCATTATATACATTTTTTCTAAAATATTTTTGTCAACAATTACACTAAATGGCTAATTCTACTGTCTATACCAGATAATGTTTTGCCCAACATTATAAACACTAAGACAAGAGAGATAGGATGGGACTACTGAGATATAGAAATGGCGAACAATTTTCCCATGAGTCAAAAAAAACTTTAATTTTAAGGAAATTCTGTTAATTTAAGTAAATCTTAATATGCAAATACCATGAAAAAGTTTAATTTCGTATTCTTTTTTATCAAAATATTTAACCTAAATCAAAATACATTCAACAACGCGATTCTTTTAGTGATATATAAATAGATGCAAAATGTATTCTTTTTTTTTATCAATATATGATTGTATTAGCAATCATTAATAACTACATTTGATTAATATTTTGTTCAGAAAATGCTTCAATAAAAATTTTCCATAAGGAAAAATATATGCTCAAGGACAAAATGTCACAAATACTGAGAGTTTAACTTTAAAGAAAATTTAAATACCTAGTATGTTGAATAGACATCAAAATTGTTATACATTATTAAACAGCACACCATCAAACATATTATCAACTACACTGAGGGGATTCTAATATTCTCCAACCAATACCAGCACTCAACTGTCAATAACCACAGTATTTGTAGTCAGATTAAAGGCAAGTCAAGAACAGCATACTATAAAGTGAGTTGGTTGGGGTAAGCTATAACACACGGACACACGCGGACTTACTGAGCCTACATGTACCGCCCACATACTGCGGATTATCATCATAATATGCAGATTCACACAGACAATATGTGTTGGCAGAAGACGGACTTTTGACGGCACATTCTACATGAGAGCCCATACATGCGGTATCCATCCCGGGACACTCATGATCTAAATCTACCTCTGTAAATAATTTCCATATATTATAGATTGTTATATAACACTGCACGCTTGTAACATCACTTTTCATTGGATAATCATAACATTTATATAAGCTATAAAATATAAATGCAAAGTATAGATTATGCGATATAAAGTTTACATAAATATGTGAATATATATATGTATGTGCAAAGAAAAAGAAGTAAAAATAATACCTGTTTTTAAATAATTTATATCATTACAATACTGCACATTTGTAATGTTAATTTTCATTGGCTTGTCATAATGATTATATTATCTATAATCAAAGCACTGAATGTACTGATGGGGAGGCTATGAGAGAATGTTTCAGACTTATAGTTTCTTTTCTTTTTGCTTAAAATATGCTACCAAAATAAAAAGATATGCACATTGCGCTATTTATCCTTACTGTTGTGTTCAACCATTCATATATATGGTTAATGAGGTTGACTATTCATTTTGTTAATATTCCAGAACATTTAATTAAGGTCTACATTCGGACTGTTAATCATGCAAATTTTGAAAAACCTAAACTGTCAATAATAAATGACATACCAGCAAGTATGACGACTGTTCATTATCAGATAACAATAACATTTTACAACTGACGGTTCCTTATCAAAATATTCTAGGACTGTTCATCATAAATATTTTATGTCATTTTAATATTATTGAATGATAATAACAACTGCAGTGATGCAACATTTTTATTGAACATAAAAATTATACACGTTTAGATGTACCATAATTGAGATCAATAAGATACTGTCTTGTGATGAGTATTAACATTCATGCTCTACGGACAGAAGGTTGTCTTCTTCAGAAGCAAATCTCGAATAAAATCACGTTTCAGAAAATTAATCCCATTTCATTACTGACGGCGTCGGATAATATTAAAGCTAAATATTTCTTGAAAAAATACATCTCTGCAAAGCTTATTCAAAACTGAATCAACCTAAGTGAAAATTGATCAGGAAGTTATATCTTCTTTTTTTACCGCCAACACTCAACACTCAACCAACTTATGGTAGTTAATCGATAGATTCTACGTGTATTTTTAAACCTCACTAGCTTGAAATATATACTGCGGAAAATCTGTTGTTAACAGGGTGTGCGGTTATTACGTAGGGTTTTCCCTGTCGACCATTTCCCGCAAATAGATGAGAACATCGAAGCCGTCAGTGCTATGAATGGTGTTATAAATGGCGTGTTTTGGAAGTTTTTGTTGAAACTTCTCCAAATACCTCCAGAGGCGTGCACGTCGCGGAGAAGGCACACGGAAGGTCATAGTCAAGTCATCATAAGTACCAGAGGTGATTGGTTGACCTGTCGTGGACTTACTCTGGAGGTTTGGCGCTAATAGATGCCGTTTTTGTTGTCGTCAGTCAGAAAGTTGATGCCTTGACGGTATTGTCGTCTCCTTTACCACCAAAGAACGAAGAATGGGCTTCCAGGAAGAATCTGCTTGAAAAAGACGTCCCAGATGCTATAATCTCGGACATATGGTTATTCCGGCGCCGAGTATAAATAAACTTAAAACACACACACTTTTGTTGAAAACAAAACAACATCACATTTTCTGTAGTAATTTTTCAAGTGTTGTAAAATGAATAAGAAATTCCTCTTATGCCGCCCATTATTTTTAGAACACAACCATAAAAGTTCTTTTTTTTTATTTTTCAAATAAACATTTATCACTTCAGCGCGAGCAAATATCGGTTTCAAATTAAAGTTTCGTAAGATATGTTAATGACTTCCCGATGCTCGACTGTAAGTAATTTGTATATGTATGCGGTTTTTTTTGTTTTTGTTTTTTTTGTTTTTGTTTTTTAATTAAAGCTTCTTATTCTTTAATATTTTTTATGTATCTCATAATCTGTATTGAAAATTTGAATTTTATTACAAATGGACTATCAAATTATGATGTATGCCCTAGAATTGAATAAACTTTCTAATTACACAATACGGGGTCATACTGATCTTGCGTCTTTCTCTGAAATACTTATTTCCTTGTTAAAACATATTTGACCACATATTTCTGTCAATTAACTGTTCACTTTACTTCCGATTTTGTTGTACGGAAACACATGTTTCTATTTGTGTTTTCTAATCAATTCGAATCTATAATCAGTTTAATGGGATCACCACCGGGTAAACGACTACTAGGTACTTTGGTCATGTTTTTTACCACAAATATTTGAATGTTTCTATTGGGATTAAAATGAGCATAGTTAACTAAACAACTGTTTGTATAAATTCCTGACCTGTCTAATTCTAATTATGAGATTAGTGAATATATAAGACTTTCACTACAAAATATTCCTAAACAAAAGAGCACATGTTTAAATTTATTACTATACAAATAAAAGATCAGAGTAGGGATCTGTCAATTACCAAAGATACTTTTATGTTAAAAGTTTGATTAATGAATTATGTAAGATGAAAATATAAGTATTGCTTTTTTTATTTTGCTAATGTAAAATGTAATATTGTGCTGGGATTTTGTCGGAGGTCCTTAGGGGTTTTGTAGTTAAATAGTTTTTTTTCGGCGATAATGGTTAAAGAATAAAATGTTTTTAAACTATATGTTCATCACCATCAGTGAATTTTTAGTTAAATGTATGCAAAATATTTACTAAACAGCTATATGATTTAGCGGTTTATGAGCGTTTTCCGCGTACAGCCTCCTGGGGTGTACAAATAAGTTAGTTTTCCTTAGTTATCACGCAAGCATGATCCATGTCTCTGATGTAAGCGACAGTTTACAATTATTTGTCTTTAAAAAATATTAAGGACTATTAATAGTTTATAACAACAAAAGCACATGCATGATATTGAGAATACGTAGTTGCAACGTTCTAGTTAATGACCCGTCATAAACAGTTGGTCGCTGCGTAGTAATTGGAAAATTGTTATCAAAAATAATAAAGAATATTTGCCACTGAATTAAAGCATTTACTTATAAATTTTCATTTATGCTTTTTGTTAAAAAAATATGGATAAAGTTATTATTTTGAAGGGTTTTCATACCAGAACTATTTAATACAGACGTACGTAATATGCCTAAACCTGATTACCGCGGCAGTATGACGTCACGGAGTAGTGATTTAAACAAAAATCAAGAATTTTTCAGAGAATTATTATCTTTACAAATTGCAGATATGAAATTAAAGAATGAAAATATTTTCATATTGTAAATGTCTGTGATGAGTGATGAGTCAGCTTAGAAAAAATCAAAGTACTATTTTTGACCTGATTACCGTGGCAGTATGACGTCACGGAGTAGTGATTTAAACAAAAATCAAGAATTTTTCAGAGAATTATTATCTTTACAAATTGCAGATATGAAATTAAAGAATGAAAATATTTTCATATTGTAAATGTCTGTGATGAGTGATGAGTCAGCTTAGAAAAAATCAATGTACTATTTTTTGACCTGATTACCGCGGCAGTAAGATTTGACAGACAGTTATTAACATTGGGTCGGCATAGCCTCCCCAAAAACCATTGCTATAGATCAATAAATAAAACTTTTTTCCTGAAAGAAAGGAATTGTGCAGTACTACAAATTTGATATAAAGACATTTAACAGGTTATTTGGTCATGTAAAAACAGTTGCTTGCTATTTAAAGGTGGCTCGGGTTTTAAAAGTCATACAACAGTTCATACATGCGCATATAACCTGTTACAAAATTTTATATCTCATAATCTTTTCTGATGTAAAAATAAGGAAGATTTTGTGACAAACAGTGAAACCTTCACAGAGTGACCCTTTGCAGTGCACTGAGTGACCCTCTACAGAGAAATTACCTCTTTACAGCAACCATATCATTTCTTCCCAAATTTAACCTCTATAGAGTAACAACCTCTCCAGAACAATCAAAATCTTTGAACTCCTAAAGGGGTGTTTCTTTACAGAGGTTAAACTATAATATACTATAATGATTCATCTATCTTATTTACTACTATTATTCTAGCTATCATGTCATTTGTGCAGTACTATATAATATAGTATGATTATACATGTAGTGAAAATGATAGAAAAAAAGTAATCTGTTCCAAATCACTGCAACAACTTGAAAGCTCTTTACACATATATCATCAAAAAATAGTCTTATTATTTTTTGGTTTTTACTTTTCAATAATATGTATAAGGCTTTATCTATTGCCAATGCTTTTAAATAGTTTTAACTAGTATCAACATTTTTTTAAGTGTAGCAATAGGAGAAAAGAACAAAGAGCAAGAAAACAAGCACACAGAAAAAAAAGAAAGAAGAAAAAAATGAATATTTTTTAAATTTTCTTTTTCTGATTTGTTATGACTTTCAAGTTGAGATTTTATCTAAGAATTGGAACAGATTGTATCATAGTGAGGTGACATACTTACTTGCATAACATAGTCCACCGTTTGTTGTATTTAAATTTGTGTCGTAGAAATTGGCCGGACAGATACATTTTGAGTTACTACACTGTGCGTTACGCACTTTACAATCGTAAGTAACTGTGCAGGCTGCACCAAGATTTCCAGCTAAAAATAGAATATTGTTACACATTTTGATTTATGTATTTGATCTGTAGATTCATCCTAAATAAAAAAAAATTCGGGGGGAGGGGGGAGGGGGGGGTGTTGGCACTTAGGCCCCTTGAAAAAGTTGTTTGTGTTAGTCAATTAATCTAATTTTTGAGCAAGGATCCCACTTAGAGATCAAGTTTTTCCAAATCATTCAAGTCATCTACAATGTAGTACATGTACGTTAAAAGATAGGATGAATTTAAAACATTTCTCTAAAATTGGACAGTTATCAAAAAAAATTTTTTTATAATATATACAAAAGTAGCACTTACAGCAGTTGGCGTTATCATAGTCTAAGTTGATATGCTGTTGTAAGGAAGCATCGGTACATAGAATAGCACCTTCATCTATCAGTGAGATACTTGTGGAATATTTTAGAGAAAACAGGAAGTCCCGAATATCACAGCTACATATGAAAGGATTCCCTGACAAATCCCTGTAAACAAAGTGATATCAATGCATTTTTCATAATTGAGCCGCGTCACGACAAAACCAACATAATGGGTTTGCGACCAGCATGGATCCAGACCAGCCTGCGCATCTGCACAGTCTGATCAGGATCCATGCTGTTCGCTTACAAACCCTATAACAAGTAGAAAAACTGATAGCGAACAGCATGGATCCTGATCAGACTGCGCGGATGCGCAGGCTGGTCTGGATCCGTGCTGGTCGCAAACCCATTATGTTGGTTTTGTCGTGGCCCGGCTCATATGTTATAAAAATGAGAAAATCTTCCAACTTAAACAGAATTTAAACATAGGATCTTCAGATTACTGTATCTTAGTTCTACCAACTGAGATATTAAATATAGTACAGGTATATTAGCATATTTCCTATCATAATGATTTAAAACCATGAATTATTTATTGTATATAAGAAGAATAACTTACACTTGAAATGTTGTCTGATGATCAAAAATATCTGTTGGAATTGTTGATAATTGGTTGGCACTAAGAGACCTGTAGAATCAAAATAATATACATGTAGTTGCATATATCAAATGTTTTTGAAGCAATTACTGTTGTGAAACATTATTTTCCAAAAGGATAAGAATTAAATCTTATGTTTTCAGTAACCATATTTTTTTTCTGAAAATTTAAAGATGTATCAATATTATTATTTAATCATGTATTTTGCTAAAGTTGCCTATGATCAAAATTCTGCTGGAATTAGAAGCAATAAGCATCTGCCACCAATTTACAGCCAAGCTTAGACAATAAAGCATGTATATCTGTGCTGTATGACCAGGCTCTATAATACTGGCTGACAAACTTGAAAGCTTGATCAATTCACTTGGGAATGCTTATACTTTAGACTGTACAAAATTGTACCATGGCACAATATAATGAGATGTTTCCTTTACAATCTTATACCACAAATATTTAAACCATCACCAAAAACACTTGATAGACTAGGTAAATACGATTTCCCAAAAGACAGTAAGCTCATCTCAGTAAGCAAGCAAACAAAGTAGTTGAATAATTTTAACTCATTATGTTAAGTTTTCTTTAAAAAAAAGAGAGATTTCTATTGACTTACAGGTCTTGCAAATTTGAATTGTGTTGAAACAAATCTTTGTGAACTGTTGTTTGTGCATTGTTGCCTAGATATCTAAAATAAATAAATAAATAAACAATATAACAATTGCAAAACATCTCCATTTTACACTTACTCCATTACCCCCAACAAGTTATTCCATTACTCAAGACCAGTTACTCAATTACTCCAAGTGACTCTATTACTCTAAATAAATTACTCCATTGCTCCAGACAGACAAGTTACTGCATTATGCCAAATAGATTACTCCATTACTAAAAACAAGTTACCCCATTATTCCAAAGCTACTCCATTACTCCAAACAAATTATTTAAAAACTCCAAACCAGTTATTCCATTACCCCCAAAAAGTGTCTTCATTTCTTCCAACAAGTTACACCAGACAAGTTACTCCATTACACTCTATAAGTTACTCCATTTAACTCACAACAAAATACACCATTTCTCCCAATATCTTAGACATTGCACACAACAAATTACTACATTCACCGTTAATCCATTTAACCATTATAAGTTATTTCATTTATCATGAAATGTTTCTCCACTACTCCCAACAAGTTACAACATTACTTCACAATAAGTTACTCTCATTACTCTGTTACCACTATTACTTATGACTATTACAAATTACAGCAAAAGCAATATATATGCTACTTGATTATGTCCCTTTATATACTGATCACACAGTACAGCCTGCCTGTATTTCAGTTTGCACTGGCCAGGTTCTATATATAGGTAGCTAGATTCTATAATTTAATACTGAAATTTCTTAAATGTTGAGTTCAAAGCAAGGCAAATCCATTACACAAATTCAGCTAGTAAAATCACATTTATATACATGTATAATGAAATATTTAACAAAACAATACAGTATATTAAAATGGTACTTACAAAGAAGTGAGTGAATCCAATTCCTTAAACACATCCCTGTTTAGTGTAGTCAGCAGATTTGTAGTTAAATGTCTAATAATAAGTAAATCAAAATATATCAAGATGCATACATTTTATTTATTCAAACTATTTTCAGAGCAAATAAACATATTTTAATTTACCTCACTACACATGTGGAGAAGATTACATGTACTTTATATTTAGAACTGTTCATTTAGCAGTTCATTTTAATTTCAAGTTAAATACAAAAGCAAAATGTGAATAAAAGATTTTAACAGGGGTGGCAAAATCAATTTTCTATATTGCCCATAGTTACGGTCAAGTAATTTCTTTTCCAGAATTTACTTTGGACATTGGACAAGTAAAGAAATACACACTTCAGATAAAAGGGACTTTTGCCAGCCCTGAATTAAGATTTTATGAAAATAGCATAATTTCTTCATCACTAAGAGTACTAATAAGAGTGCAAACAAGTAATCGTAATCCAAAAATTACTTACAATGTTGTTAGTGATGTAAGTTCCTTGAATATATCTGTATCCAATGATGTCAACAAATTGTCATTCAAATACCTGAAATATAATTTGATACATATACAATTTTATGTTATTTAATTATTTTTACATTATTTTACCATTTATGTACAAAGCACTTTCTTGCTTAACCAAACACTGCTGAATTATTTATGTAACCTACTTAATGAGATTCAAGTCTGACTGACATTGCTTTTGTCATGTGAAGAAACTTATTAGCCTCAATGGCTGATAACCAAAGGTGTCATTATGTGCATTATTTAATGGATTAGGCTAATTGTGTATCATTTGAGATTTACCAAAAATTTTCAGGCTTATAAAAAGAAACAGAATGAATTCTATTATTCTGAATTTTCAAACTTGCTACATATTTTTGAACAGAAATTACTTACAATATTTCTAGATATTTAAGGTCATTGAAAGTTGATTTGTCTAAGGAAGCTATTCTGTTGTTACTCAGATCCCTGAAATAAACAAGATTTATTTAAGCCTAAATTTCCATTTCTTATTCCTAAAAAAAATATTCCATAGGGAGGTTCATACCATTAGACAGTATATTTCATTGGAGGGTTTATTCCATGAGATGATTTTTGCCATGGGAAGATTTATTCTATGATACCTTTCAATCAAGAGGCTGTGATAAGTAGTTGATGAAAAAACTGTTACATTTGTATAACAATTTTGTCCCTGCTTGTCCTGTTGCACCTCAGTGCAACCTGGCCAAAATTATCACAAGAAGACATTGAGAACCTCAACTATTTTGATACTGGATGCTATTGAAGGTACATTGTGTTGGAGATCTTTTGGAATTTAATTGAATTACAATACAGCAATGGAAAAGATCAAATTTCACACAAAATTCTCACTTTAAAGTTAGATAATTTCTAGTGTTAAATAATGGATGAGGGTTGTACTGAAACAAGTGCTAAAATTTTGAAGAAAAATCCTTATCTAGTAGAAAGGTGGCATAAAAATTCTAAGTTCTTTAATGAAATTCAAAAGGGAGAAAGTTAAAAGCAGGAAAGCTCTTAAATTTAAGAAGCCTAAGCTATGACTCCTGTAATATGTCATGTGGGTGTGGTTTGTAATAAATTGTTTAAGCATTAAAAATCTTCAATAAAGAGCTTTGCAAAAACTTAAATCAGATGGATATAGGAGTCAATGTTGGGTTGAGTTGGACAGCTGTTTGTTGATATATTCAAGTTAAAAACAAGAGCAGTGACACAAAAGTGATGAATTTCTCCGAAACGGTTTCTTTAAGATATAAAGATATTATGAAAAGAATAAAAGTAACTAATTGCTTAATATTATTCTTGTAAAATGAAGTGCTATTCATAGCAAACTTACCACCTTGACCTTAGAGGTAAGGACATGGGTTTTGGACTTGACATCTTGATGTGGTAAACATTTATACCAAGTTTTTTTAAAATCCTTCAATGCATGACAAAGTAACATGTACAGTCCAGACACAAATGTAACTTGTAACTTTAAACTCTATTTGTGAGAATGTGAAAATCCAAACTGTAAGTGTGACCTTGACTTTTGACGCGACACATCATCATGTGGTAAATATTTGTGTCCAGTTTTTTTAAACAAGAGCTGTCAGTAGGACAGCAACGCTCGAATATTCTTAGTGCTTGATAGTAAAAAATATGCTTGATACAGTTACCTCCTCCTGTTTACAGGTTGGGGTCATGATGGTGAACAAGTATGCAAAGTTTTAAAGCCATATGTCAATGGACTTTGAAAATATTTGAACTATTACAAAAACTTTAACGTAAATTCTAAGTCGAAAAAGGGGCATAATTCTGTCAAAATGCTTGATAGAGTTACCTCCTCCTGTCTACAGGTTGGGGTCATGATGGTGAACAAGTGTGCAAAGTTTCAAAGCCATATGTCAATAGACTTTGAAAATATTTGAACTATTACAAAAACTTTAACATAAGTGGTTACGCCGACGCCGACGCTCAGGTGACTGCAATAGCTCTTCTTATTCTTATCAAATAGTTGAGCTAAAAATCCTTCTGCAATGCGTGTTACAGTCTGGGGACACATAGACAGAGGGACAAATGGACATACAAACGGTGCGATTTTAATATCCCATCTTCGGGGGCATAAAAAATTGCAAGGGTCAAGTGTCCAACACATAGCTGATTAATTAAAAGGTCCATGAATGTTGGACACTTGTCTTCTAAGTACTTAAACTTCATGCATGTATTTTTTAACACATATCTATAAAGACAAACAAATTGACAAAATACATTTCACTGCCACCATAGATGGACAAACACGTTTCACTGCCACCAATTAAATCATACAGAAAACAAAATATTTTCTAACACATGAAAATATCTACACATGCACCTCAACCAAGTGAAATCAGGGATATTTTTTCAGAACACTTCAAGTTGGAAAAAAAATTGAAGCAAAATAAGTTTAAAAAAAGCAATTTTTCAAGTAAATTTAAGCTCTTCATAATCAAGCAATTAGAAGTAAAAGAATTTGTTTCAATTTAAGTATAAAGCAGTTTCCTAGCTAATTTGTATTTTTTTTTAATTTTTTTTAGCAAAAGACTCCATGCAAATGAAATTTCTCAAGACTGTGTAGGATACACATATTTATATGTTATTTTCTTATATATTTAAACTAAATATATATTAAATTAAGATGTCATATAACATTCCTTTTACCCAATCTTTTTATTAAGTTTTTTTATGTCATGGTTCAGAACTATTCACTTTTTAGGGGAGATAGTGTGTAAGCGGCCTGATAGCTTGGTTGGTAGAGCCGCGGTATGGTATTCCAAGGGTCCCAGGTTCGGATCCCAGTCAGGCTGCATGATTTTCTCACCCTGTGACATTTGGGGCCCAACGTGGGGCCATATTCGAGAGTGTTGGGTTTGAGTCCCAGCCAGGCTGTACATATTTCTCACCCTGTGATGTTTATTTGCAGTTCTTTTACCAATTATGTTATTACACAAATACTTCTGTAAAACACTTTTTGTCAATATCATGATATAACTGTCACATATATATACAAATTTTTAACATATATTATTACATAAATGCTCAAGTCATTGGAAAAACATGTTACACAAACATCATTACACAGTTAATTCAGACAAACAGGTTCTATGCCAAAGTAAGTTACACAAACATCACGGTGAAAAATGTTATGCAAGTATGTTTATGGGCGTTTTATGCAAATGCTATAAATTAACATATACTTTTTGGGAATTATAATGTCCTTGCCAACATTATTACACAAATATCATATACCTTGACAATTTACACTTAGAACAATGTGAGCACCACAATCTACACTAAGCATAATTGTTACCAAGGTTGCCACACAACACAATATACAAAATTATTTTTTTACGCAATGACAGTGCCTTTACCATTTGATGCTTTTTGTTCTGCATGGGGCATTATAGTAACTACAATGTTTCTTTGGGAAAAATCAGTAATTCTTTCGCATAATGACACTGAAAGTTTAAACAGTCAGTAATTCCAAAGCAGGTTCACTTTACAGAAAAAAATGCTGATGTTTTTTTTTTCTCACGAAACATTTTACAAATTGGTTACTAACAAGAATGAATACTGGTTCTACACATATCCAATAAAATAATTTTATAATAAGAAAAACAATTATTTGGACCATTCTTTTGTACAGGTTTTCCGCCCCACACAGATCACAAAAAGTTATGTGGTGTAGGCACCGTGAGAATCTTTAATTTCTATCAATAACTTGTTTACAAACAAGTTTCAGAAAAAAAACGTTTGCCTGCTCTTTTTTTTTGGAATGCTTTGATGTCCAAAAAATAAAAAATAAATTTGAGCCGTGTCACGACAAAACCAACATAGTGCTTTTGCGACCAGCATGGATCCAGACCAGCCTGCGCATCCACTCAGTCTGATCAGGATCCATGCTGTTCGCTATCAAGTTCTCTACTTGTTATAGGGTCTGTAAGCGAACAGCATGGATCCTGATCAGACTGCGCGGATGCTCAGACTGATCTGGATCCATGCTGGTCGCAAACGCATATCGTTGGTTTTGTCATGGCACGGCTCATTTAACAAAGAGTAACAATGTTGCCTGGCTCAATGGTAACAAGATATAACAAGATAATTTTGGTAACTAAGGATCAAACATGGTTGTTAGGTAAAATTTCACTCTTACTTACAAAGAAGTTACAGACCTATAATTAAATATTTCATATGAATGAGGAAAAACACCAAATTAAATATCTTAATAATGTTACCCTGGAAACTAATAAAAAAAATTATCTTATTTAATTCCCAGAGTTCTTTTGTTTTGTTTTTCTCAAAGGATACTACAAGTAGTAAAAGAAATGAAATGTGCTATGTTTACATTATAAGCTAACGCATGGCAAGAAAGAAAGAAAATGGCCATACAACATAATACAATTAAAATAGAGTATAACAATTATGAAGCAAAAAAAATGCCTCTCATCTATTACAGCTCTTTTCAAATTATGTCTAACAGCACCCATCCCCTCTGCCCTCCTCTCAAAAAAAACTACAATACATATCAGTTTATAATTGCTGACCTTACTGAAAATCAGAGATTGCCATATAAAATAATATTACTGTAACTAAAAATATATGGTTTTCAAATAAAATAAGGACAAATGGATAATTTAAGAAGGAAATAGTTACTAATTTCAACATCATACTTACAGATTGGTCAAGGAATTCGCATCATTCAGAAAGTCCTTGTCCACATATGTAATAACATTGTGACTTAGATCTCTGAAAAATTCAAATATAAAAAAAAGTATGAAACATTTTAAATGACAAAAAAAGAGACTGGTTCCCAAGGAAACAGAATTATTTCCAAAACAATCCAATACAAAGGAAACCAGATAAAAATATGATACCCATGGTTTTTACCATGCATGGTAAAAATGGTAGTTTGATGAAATATAGATTTTTAATAATTAATATGCAATCAAACAAAACATGATCATAGCAATGTAATGGTAAAATAGAATATAATGATACAAGCAATAATTGTAATGGTGGAATTGTATCAGCTGTTTCTCACTCTAACATCCCTGATGCTTGAAAGCAGAGCCTCATTCATGAAAATTTAATAAAATATTTGAATGGTCAAAATATAGTCAAACAAAAAAAATAATATATAAATAAATGACAAATTAAACACCATTTATACATTATTCTTAAGTTCTTTTATTTTGAAAATTTCTTCACTCATCTGGAGACATGGTGGACTGCAGCTTTAAAGGGACTCCACTGAGGTACAAAAGCCTAAAACCATAAAGTTTAAAAATTCTTCTTTAGATCAACTTAGGCAAAATATTATTAACAAGATGGAAAGAATTACACTCAGAGAATTAAAATAAAATCAATTTCTATGCCATTTTAGTCTGATACAAGTTAAAAGTGTTTAAATGATTTTTTGGGTCATTTTTACAAATATTTTTCTAGAAAAAAAGAGAGTGCATGAATGATGTATATAAATTATAGGTCAAGACCTACATCAAATGGTACACAAATCTGGAAAATATTTCCAGTCCTGCTATGTCAAAAAAACTTAGTGGAGTCCCTACAAAGGAGAACTTTGTAATCTCAATATCTAAAAGACAATGCAATCTCATAAGTAACTGAATATAGAAAAGCATTTAGTTTAAAAGTCCATATATAAATATACATGTATAAAGATAAAAGTAAATGATATATGTAAAGAATATATTAACAAAACAAATGTATAAGGAAATCAGTAATACATGTTTTAATCAGTTCCTCAAGCCATGTTCATTCAACATCATTCTATCAAATAAGGTCAGATTCCTGCAACATCATTTTGTAACAATCTGACCTTATCAAAATGTGGTATTATGTGAAAGTCATTTTCAAAAGAACTCAAATCAAAGGCTCCATAAGATACCAAAAAACGGATGCTTCTCTTTGACACAGAAAAGACTTGCTGACAAACTACATATAAGGAAAATATAAAAAAAGATTTTCAGCATTAGTGACTTTGCTTGCAACAACATAAAACCTTACAACAGGAATGATGTCCATGCAAGGTATACATAGAGAAAATGGAAATAATGTTAAAGGATAAATGTGCTTTGTGTGACAAGATGAGTAAAGATAACAGAGGATGAGATAATAGAAGAGATGAGATAATAGATGAGAGAAGATTGAGATAACAGAATATATGTGATTAGAGAAGAGATGGGATAAGAGATGAGATAAGAATAGAGATGAGATAACAAAAGAAGAGATGAGATAACAGAAGATATGATAAAACAGAAGAGATGAGATAACAGAAGAGATGAGATAACAGAAGATATGAGATAACAGAAGAGATGAGATAACAGAGGAGATAACAGAGGAGATAACAGAAGAGATGAGATAACAGAAGAAATGAGATAACAGAAGAGATGAGATAACAGAGGAGATAACAGAAGAGATGAGATAACAGAAGAGATGAGATAACAGAAGAGATGAGATAACAGAGGAGATAACAGAAGAGATGAGATAACAGAAGAAATTATAAAAGAGATGAGATAATAAAAGATAAAATAAGGATGGAAAGACAGAAGGATAAATCCATTATTATGTCGGCAACCAAAAAAATTCTGGGAAGCATAAAAAATTTCAACCCACTATTTCCTTTATTTTTGGACTCTGTATGAATTACATGCCTTTACATAGATATATCTGTATGCATGTTTGATTGTTTATCCTTGCAACAAGAATGGACCAAGTGAACAATGTAACTAACATCCAATGAAATAATCTCTTACACAAATATGTTTATTGCATAAAATTATGCTAACTTATCATGAACAAACAATTGTAACCCAAAGAACAAATGGATGCATCTGACATAATTTTTTATATATGAACTATCACTATAATTTTCATGACTTGCAAAAGAAAGAAGTGGATAGGTTAAATAAATAGATAAACAAATAAACAAATAAATGAAAAAACAAATGAGACAAATAAATGAATAAACAAATGAGTAAATAAGACAGATAATGGAGAGAAAACAGTCAACAAAAAGGAAAGTCCTGTATAACTTTTCTTCCTAACAAAACAAACAAATAAAAAAAGTTATTAAAATCATAGTTACATTGATAGGAGGAAGAAATGTGATACACAAATAAAACAACAAAATAAAACAACAATTAGTTTGTTGTTGCCTCTCATGAATTCAAGTATGACAACTTTGAGATTGTAGCCTGTGTAATGTTGACCAGTCAGCCATAACCACAAAAGTCTGGATTTAAGCAAGCCTACTAAATGTTTGTAGCATTAGAATATATAGTGTTTAAAGTAACAGAGATAATGATGAATGATTACTGACTGTTACTATGTTAGGGTCATGACTAAGTTTTCTTTCTATACTGATACTAGTTCAGAAACAAGTCTCAAAAGTCTTTTTTTAATTTGTGAGAACTTGTTGTACAATCAAGTTAAGGAAAAGTTTCAAAATGAATATATGTATTTTTTAGATATGCAAGTCTAAAATGATATGGGTCAAACTTGCATTCCATATCAAGAAGGCTTAAGCTTGTTGCTGAGGAATCTATCCCTTAATTATTTTTATATTATTGTTGCAAATGGTATTTTGGTATTCTAAATGGGTCTTTTTGATATTTTAAATGGTATTTTTTGGTATTCTAAATGGTATTTTTTGGTATTTTAAATTTCTTGGTCTTCTAAATGGTACTTTTTGTTTTTGGTATTCTAAATGGTATTTTTTGGTATTCTAAATGGTATTTTGGCATTCTAAATGGTATTTTTTGGTATTCTAAATGTTATCTTTTTGTATTCTAAATGGTATTTTTTTGGTATTCTAAATGATATATTTTGGTATTGTAAATGGCATTTTGTTTGGGTATCCAAAATGGTATATTTTGTAAAGTAAATGGTATTTTCTGGTATTCTAAATGGTGCTTTTTGTATTGCAAATGTAATTTTTTGGTATTCTAAATGATATTGTTTTGGTATTCTACCTAACTTCTTGTAAAACAATCATTTTAGAAGCTTTCTTTTATTCACCTCATTTTATTTAAAGGTTATACATGTATTAGTTAAGTTCTTATGTGTATAAAAATGATTGGTGTTTGTTTTTTGGTATTTTCACTTAAATTATCATAAAAAGCAAACAATAAGTTAGTCTCTGGCGAGCATAATATTACTTTATTTGATAAGTTCAATAAATTTAGTAACAAACTTATTTATCACATGCCAAAAATAAAGTGAAACAGAACCAATTTTCATTGATGTGCCTATAATATGAGGCTTACATTAAGCGCATCTTAATGCTTATAATGTTCGTACAACGCAATTGAGGTGATGTAAAAATATATGCACTGCAGTGCAATACCATTTTTACGAAGTCGCAAAAATGGCACTGGTATAATATGATGACATCATGACAATCATCACATAACTAAGATCTTTATTTCTTTATTATCATGGTATCTTCTTCCATATCTTTTATCTCAAACCAAAAGCGGAATAAATAATGCAAAAACAACTTATCAGCAGCAAAATAAATTTAAAAAAAAAAGATTGAAAATAATGCTTAAAAACAAAGAATAATAGAAGAATTTATCACATACAATACAACTGCTTCTTACAGCTTAATTCAAAATTCATGTCACATGTCATATTATATGCAAATGAGCCACTTAACCATGAATGTATTCTTACACTGTGTGACGAACAAGTAGTTCCCTTTTTTTTTTTATTTATGAAGTATGTGTGTGATAAATTGAATACTGTTTTATTTTAGTTTTAAATTTATGGGACTTATCAAATAAAGTAGTATATGTAAGTGACAAAGGCTTCTTTCATACCATTTTATTTAACTTTTCCATTTAATTCAATACTAAAATATTCATATCCATTAAATAAAAGAAATGTTACTGAAAGCTACCCTGGTTAAGCAGAAAAAAAATACACATATTTTGTGTCTGATCACAAGAAGGTTTGGGTTATTTTGTAAGGCATAGTGGAGGTATATATATGTACATAAAGTATATTTCAGAGTCAAGATTTGAGTTGTGTACACTTACATAGCTTCTAAACCACTACAACCTTTGTATACTTTGTCATTGTCTAAGTCAGTAATGTCATTCCATGATAAATCACTGAAAAATAAAAATCCATCTTAAGTTGTTGCTATTGGCAACACATCTACTGGCAAACTTTAGCCAGGCCTTGTAATGTCATGAATGTTTATATCGTCACCTTAGTGCAATAACTGGTTAACTCCTATTAAATTCAGAAGGACTTAACCCTCCTACTGCACTAAGGTCACAAATTATGTAATCTATCCCTTCATAGAAAAAAACAATCTGACTTAATTAACTGCAATGTAAAACTTTAGATAGAAAGAAGTAGAGAAAGAAAGGATTGAAAAACAAACAAAGTCTTTAACTCAAGGCTGACAGTCAAGGTTTTTGGGATTTTCCATTATCGGCCAAATATAAGTTAATCCAAGATTGATTTCTTATATTACATGTTATATGAATCTGTAATTTTAGTGTCAAAGTTTCTCAATTAAGCTTATATGAATAATTTCAAATTCAAAACTGCAGAAATAATTCAAGTAATCAAGTTACACAGGCACACTGCTGACTTGATCGTGTTTCAGTTTATTTGAAATTTAATCTTATATACCAATAATTTAATTATCTTGTACACCTGATTTACCTTTTATATCAGGTAGGTATATCATTATACTTTGTACTCAATAATTACTTATTCCTAATATTATAATAAGTTATCTCTATTTTACTGAAATTTTATCAAGGTATTAACTGAAAAGAAAAGATTGAAAAGAATGTTACGGAAACGAAAAGATAACCAAATTGACACAATGACTCAGCACTTTTGTCAAGTTTATATCGTGTAATCTTTTATCATTTTATATAATCAAATTATTATGGTGAAATGTTATATCTAAGTTACAAAAACGGTTTTGTGGTTTATGGTCCGTCACATAAGAATCACTAGTAAATTGACAAATTATAGTATCACTGACATAGGAAATAATTTCAAAATATAGATAGATACTTTTTATTCTTCCAATATTGAAGAGCACAGTTTTTTTAGTTTTTCTTTCAACTAGCTATCTTTCTATCTGTCAAGCCGACACGACTTTTCAAGCTGTGTACTTGTCCAAATATATTCTTGTATTGTTCAGTAAAATGTATCACAACCTATATCTGCTTGATTTATTGGGTTGTATTGAATCTTTTTTAATTTTCAAATTGGAAAGTATAATTATATATTAATCATATGCCTGCTTGAACAGAAAGTGAGTTCAGCCTTTATTACCGGTTTAGACTTAGGCCAGGCTCTAAACTGTTGGCTGCCTAACTTTTGATATTGATATCTCTATAATTAATAATGTACTGTTCCAAAACTGGGAGTTGGAAAAGTTCGTTTCAGGAATTCAGCAGCCTCAGCCAGCTCAGCAAATAAAACCCCCGATGATAGATGTTGATAAATTAAATATTGGTATAAGTAAATGCATTTTTTAGGGTCATTTTCTCTGTATTCATCATGTTTTTTAAATCAATACTTTAACAAAATAATTATCTGTTAATTACCAATTAAAATGATCTTCCTGCAAGGGCATTAACTTGAAATTTGAGCCATGTTATGTACACGTACACCTAATGATTTCCTATAAAATAACTGATTTTGACTTATAAAAATACTACAGCCCACTTTTGATCAGGTTTTAAAATAGTGTCATTGCATTGCTGATTTTTTGTGTTGATTTTTTTTTTTTACAAAGGAATTGTAAAGAAAAAAAATTAATATTTGTACAGGATAGGAGAAATGAGGAATCTTAACATTGAAATTTAAAGAACATTTTATATTACATTTCTTTCCCTACCAATAATTTAAACCATTTATATAGCATTAACATTTAGTATGCACTGGAAAACATAGTCCAAATAATATTGAGCAGAATTTTTTTAAAAAGATTACTTATCAAGTATTTAACAAATATTATTGGACTGTGTCCAAAGCTGAGTGTGGTAACAAAGGTACGTTGACAAAAGTAAGGCGATTAACCAGGGCGTATTTGGTACCAGTCTTTAAACATATCAGGCTTAAAGAGACCCTGTGACACTTAATCAATTATTACAGAACAAAACAACAAATGACAGCCAAGAAAATTGGCAAATTTGATAGATTATAACCATACTGCATAAACATGCCTTGAACATTTAATAGTCATTTATATACTTTCTGAAGGTTGCGGCTATAGTTCAGTAAATATTACTTCTGAAATATTTGGTTCTTCTAATTTAGTGTGAAATTAAAAAAATCACTGACACATACTTTTTAGCATGATATAAAATCTTAGCCCCTTGACTAAAACATGCCAATTAAAGGTGACATAATAATACAGTCATGATTTTAAACACTTAAAAGATAATGGTGACATGTGTATGATTGATGAGAAAAAATATAAACTACCAAAAGAAAAAAAGGGAAATACAAAACTAGAACAATTCTATTTAAGATAATTCAATGTTTTTAACATCCTCTAAAAGAATCTGAAAGAAAAAAGTATACATGTATAATGGTAAAAGAATTAAAACCTCTACCCATTACCTGCTGGGTTTGAGTCATGGGTCAGTTAAGCCGTCCACTCAGAGATTATCGGGATTCAAATATCAAAATAGAAAAACTGGGTAACCAACAGTATAGAGCCTGGTCAGACTGTATGGATGTGCAGGCTGGCCTAGCTTTACACTGGTGGCAAAGGCTGATCACTTTTAGTTGTAGCAGGTTACAGGTATAACATTATTAATTAATGATATTGTAAGATCAAAGACACAATAACAACTAAGGGACATAACCAGAATGCACACTCTTCTAAATGTTGTAACAAACAGATCTAACTCAATACAGGATTGGAGCAGTACCTCTAGACGCTTGCAGAAATCATGATCATAAAATAGACAAATATAGTTTTTTTTCGCCGATTTTTACATTTTTCATTGATTATCATACTTAAATCGGTGTGAAAAGATGAATTAGACATAATAAAGTTCATTCTGTTGGATAGAAAGGCAATATTTTAGCATTATATGATACAAGCGCCTTGCCCGGTATATACCGAAATACGGTATTTAGTGTGGTGCTCCAATCCTTTTTTTAGTCTCACTCTTGTTACTTGCCTAGCTTAGAATTTGAAATAGTTCTTTGTGACTTCAGGGATATGCAGACTTGTGGGTTAACTAATGGCAAGTTGGTACAACCGACTACAAGTATACAGAAAGGTAAAGACTTTACTTACATCAGTCTTAGAGACTGGAGATCTTTAAACAAATGCTGCTCCAATATACTCAAATTGTTGTGTGACAGGTAACTGAAAAATAAAGGTAAACACTTTATTACATTTTATTTTAGTGTATATTTCAAGTAACAATTGAGTTGTTAGGGTAAAGAAAAGAAATTATTCACTTCCTACTGTTGAAAAGAGGACATACGCCTTAAATTAGGGAGACTTTTTGAGGTTTTAGAGGACGTCCTAACAAGTAGTATACATACATTGTATATTTCTAAGGATATTGACTGCAGGGAGATAGGAATGGTAACAAATGTTTTATCATCTTATATGAATAATTATGTAGTCAACTGACTTCACCCTGTAAAAATCATGCAGATTCAGTTCAGTACTTGCATATAACCAGCTTAAAGCTGCACATCTCCAGATGAGCCAAAATATTTCAAGATAATCAATATTGAAAAAAATGCACTAAACTTTTAAGAAAGGTAAAAACATTCAATCCAAGTTATATTTTACACGTTATAATGTGTGGTTTAACACTGATTTTGCACAATTTTATCTAATCTACTGCATTACTAACGCAGTAAGGGCTGTTTTTGCATATGTTGACCACTTTTTGCTATTTTTTGTGGATTGTTACAAGTGCCGATTGCAATATGTAAATTACTTTACTTGTTCACCTCACATTATTTGAAAATTAACATGAATCTGGAGGCGTGCTGCTTTAAGCTGCCTGATGACATAGTTATAATTGCACTTATCTAGCTTACTGAACATCAGTGATTCTACTTAGGTGCCGGGCAGTTCAGTTTGACAGTTATTATATGACCTTTAGTGTTGGTCAAATAAAAAATCATTGACCAATTTCAAGAATTATTAATGTAATGTATGTTTGTAATGTTATTTTTTATGGAGAATTGTGACACGTAACTAATATCTATACTTACAGTTCTTCAAGGTTTACAAGATTTTTGAAATGATCTCTGTCAACACTTTGTAGATTTATGGAGCTAAGATCTCTGAAATTGTAAAATATATTTATATATATATTAACCCTGAACTTTTAAATGGACTTGTTGCCCCACTTCCATTTTTGGGACTGTCCATTATCAATTTTAGGGATATTTTATTTGAATACTTAAAGTTTGTCAGCCAACAGTATAGAGCCTGGTCAGATTGCATGGATGTACAGGGTGGCCTGACTCTATACTGGTAGGCAAAAGCTTAACACTTTCAGTTCCAGCACTTCAAGGGTTAAGTCATTTACATGATTTTTGAAAGGAAAAAATAATAGTGTTACAACTAATAAATGTTTTTTAAAAAGAAAATGAATGTAAATATAGCAACTTAATTGACTTTAAGCAAACAAAAGTGCATTTAAAAAGTATAACAGTATAAATAAGGAAAGTTTACAACTAAGAATGTATTTTGAAATTTTATTGTCATTATTTATAATAAATAAATGCTATAAATAATAATCTATTACAGCCTAAAATAATGTACATGTATTTTTAACTTTAATATAGATTACAGATAAAATATATAAATATGGTGAAGTTCAAAAAATATTTTAATTCTGTATTGATTCTGTAAAAGAAAAAGTTGCAGAGAGCTGTAAACAATATATAATATAATATTAAAGTGTATCATACTAAACACAGAAAACATATAAAAGTTATGATAGTGAAGAATGTATTAGATCTGAAATACAGGTACAGGAACTCCAATCCTGCCGTCAAATACATGTTACTAGTGGTAACCCTTTAACTCCTGAAACATGGACTGCGTTTTATAGAAAGTCCTAAGTGTATCCTAAGTCCTAGGACGTATAACTAACTTTCGGACAAACTTAAGACCCTTTCAATAAATATATATCTTCAGTTAAAGACTGTAGATGATAACGAAATTCATTTTCCCCGAGAAAAGGTAAGAAATACTATGGTATAATGTGCTATAATCTGCAATACAATAATTTCCATCTGCATTGTTATTCAGAAATGGAGTCATAACAGAATACATATATACCGGGTATTAGATCATTTGTGCAGTTAGACCCACCTCTGGATTACTCCATTTTAAAACTTTCATTGTAATATCTTACATAAAAAAGATTTTGGCAGTGTATTTGCCATATGGATGATTTGAAATAAATATTCTGACCAATTCATTTACAATTACAATGTACCATATAATACAATACTATTACAAGTTTACAACAATATCATTTTTTTTAATTAAAAAGGTCTCCACTGACGTTTTTTGGACATGACAGCCAGAAAATAATTTCTTGTAATAAATTTTTCCATTGGCTGAAGGTCTAGACCAATAACTTGCAGGCAAAGTTCAGATCATTTGCTCAAAAGAAACACCACAGAATACTAATTTCAATCTGTTCCAAGTATACTAGTATTTCTTAATTATCTAATTGCATATCTTCCTGTTTCAAGTGCCCCAGCTGATTAATGAAATGTTAATTTTATTTTTTTAGGTAATAATAGTGGACCTCAGTGGAGTTCCTTTTAATTCTTAAATGTGAAATCAATATAATGAGTTTCTATAAGTCTTATATTATGTTTGCTTTACTTATTCATAACTATAATAGGAAGTGGCACAAAAACCTTTTCAAAACTGGGAGAATAATATATATTGGTAAAGTTCTAGATTTTATACTTTTCACACTAAAAGGATAAATATCTAAGGATCTTCTTTGAAGTTATAAAATACAATTAAAGATAAAGTGTATATGATTTATATTGTACATCTCAAAAATCCATTTGTTGTAAAAAAAAAACATATAAAAACATAAAGACTTTAAATGTTGATTCCATTAGTTGTATTACATACAGAGAAAATAGAGTACATGATATATAGAAGCAGAGTTACATGCACATGACACTTATTTTGACATATTGTTTACCAAAAAGACCAATATCTTTATATATACACATGTGCATATAATTATTACTTTAGGAGAAAAAAATGTCATTTCAGACATCAAATTCTGTTTTTATTTCTTATCATTTTAAAATAAAGTATTAAACTTATTTTAAGACCAATTGTAAAACAGAGATTAATTACAGTAATTACTTCTAATATTAAAATTAGACATCTCGACTTCATGATTCAACCAGAAAGACTAAAGTCATTTTGATTTTAAATAATATAACAAGAGCACCATATGCGCTGTTAACACTTGTCTATTATAAAATTAACCAATTATGACAAAGTTGTAGAGGAGACCAACTCCAAAAGTAAGCATTTCAGAATTATGCCCCTTGTCTAACAACTGCACCTTGTCATATTATAAGCAGGTTTGAGATTGATACCTTTTGAAATATTTGAACAATCGGCTACATTTAAGTTATTGCACGATGACAATGTCAACGACACTGACGATTCAGCTCAAACTTTTTTTCTCGAAACATACAAGCTTAAACTGGAATAATTTTTTTTTTTAAAGTTTAAGGTTACTTTTGTATAATTAAAAAAATGTTACCCAAATTAATTAATTGTAGATTACATTCAACAGAAACAAAACGATACTTTTAGTTTGACAGAAACAGAGAAAAAAAAGGAAGAAAAAGAGTCTAACTACTGGAAAACATACAAAACACGTAATGTTGTTGATCTCCTGCGACCAAATACCAAGTGTGGGTTCTTTGAGACATTGCTGTGAAAAAATACACATTCTCAATTCTTTTTGCATGTCGTATAGTAACAATACAGAAATACATATGTTAAAATAAAGTTAGGTGTGTTTAATTAAATATATATGAAAAAAAAAACCCCAGTGATTTTCGCTAAGTAATTAACTAAAATTTCATATGATAAATGATTAATAATTTTTTTTTTTTTTTTCAGTGAGTGATATACAACTGTACAGTGAGTGATATGATTAATATCTTACTGACAAAATCCAGTTTGTCATGTTGTACAAAAAAACGTAATTAATCATGTATCATTTATGAAGCGTAAAACTCTAAGATAATATAATAATGCAGGTGTTGCGTAATGCAATTATCTACTTGATATGTCACAGACTTGGTGCCAAATTGTTGTAACTCAAAACTGACATAATGATAAAAATACAACTATTTTGCACCAATCCAATGATATTATCTACAAAGCTCTGATTAAAGCACAAATTAAAAGACTAATAAATTAAACAATTTAATACAAAGCTGATTATAATCTATACTTTACTAAACATTTTTTTATAAAAATGTTACCTCACATGCAATTACAAGTATGTTTTAATGACATTTATGTACTTAAATGATATTTCACACCAGTTCTCAACAAAATTCATCTTATAATCTTATGTTATTATGTATTTTAATTTCCTTAATGTATCATAATATAACTATGTATTCTATTTTTTTTTCTTGTAAAATACCTATATAATGCAATGAAAATGAAAACTTCAGTCTCAAATTATTTGTATTTATTTTGAAAATTAATCACAAAAATCAATATCATGAAATTTCCCCCAAAAAATATCAAAAGAAGTTAATATCTCTAAAAAAAATATGAAAAATACCTCAGTGCTCCCAATTCGTTAAAGTTTACTCAATCACTCCTTATAAGGTAAGACTACATTCAAAATACTGTACAAAAACCAACTCCAAATAATACTGAAACCCAACCATCAAAAAGTGTAAATTTAACTGAAATATTAGTGAAAATTACTTTTAAAAAAAACACACACACATTTTGTGAAAATTTCTACTACAAGCTCCTCATTAATTTGTGAAAAAATACTCAAAAACTTGTCATAAATACGTGAAAATTACTCAAAAATACACGACAGATATTGATTATAATTTTTCTGTGATGTGAAACACATGAACATGTATGAGAAATACTTACAATGTTGTAACAGAGATGGATGTGAAAGTTCCTGAGGGTAAAGTACTAAGATTGTTCCCCGCCAAGTTCCTACAATGTACAGACATGATCAACACATGGTCAGAGACAAACAAACAAACAAGTTGAACAGACAGACAAAGGGTGTCATAAAAAAATAAAAATGAGTCACGTCACGACAAAAACAACATAGTGCGTTTGCGACCAGCATGGATCCAGACCAGCCTGCACATCAGGATCCATGCTGTTCGCTATCAGTTTCTCTACTTGTAATAGGGTTTGTAAGCAAACAGCATGGTTTCTGATCAAGCTGGTCCGGATCCATGCTGGTCGCAAACGCATTGCGTTGGTATTGTTGTGACGCGGCTCTTTAATAAGGATTGATGGGTAGGAGCAAATACATAGACTGAATTTGACACTAGAATTTAGCAACTTTTAATTTCATTTAATTTCATTAGTATTCATTCTACTTCTATTTCAAGTTTTGGTAATGTAATCTTTTTCACTTATAAAAGGTATTAATCAATATCATGAAGTAAAATTAGAATATATTTGAACTAAGCATTTGAAAACTGCCCTCAAATAATCCTTACAATAAAAACTTTTTATGATGATTAATTCATAATGTTTACACTGATATTACAGGCAATTATTGGATCTTTAAAATTCTGGTGTCAAATGGTTCCAGTCTCAAACCCAACTACCACTTTAACCCTTGTCCCCCTCTGCACACAGTATTATCTAATGCAGATTTTTTATTTGCCAGAAACAAACATGAACTTCAGTGAACAACCACTACAAACATAAGCTCAGCTACTGCTATCAATTCAATCTCGCCTAAATTGGCCTATATTTTTCCCACTACATCTAAAACATGCAAAAATGACAGAATATCATCTACAGAATCATGTGGAAATAAAATAAATAAAGAAAAACAGTATCATAATAATAGGCAATTTGTAATTTATAAACCTATAAATATGTAATAGTGTAATCAGTTATAGTAAGTAAGCAAGTAAGTAACAACTTTATTTAATGACGCTTACACATTTGGTTTCAGATCTTCCATGTGGGCCTCATTTGACTATTCTGCCTTTTTGTTAATTATTCATTTCTCAAAAAAAAGTATATGCATTTAATTATGTGTCAATAAAAATAAAAGAAAAAAACCCCAAAACAACTACAAACAAAACATCAAAATATACGCAAATTATAAAAAAAAACTTTCTAATAAAACAGAATTTAACTACAGAACTCGGCTTTTTATTCCAAGAGTTAAAGATCACTTTTATCCCTTATTACCCTTAAACTGATGCTAAAACATTTAATTATGTTGACAGTATTAGATTGATAATTATCTCATACTAAAATTTATCCGGAATGGTTCTCTACAAAATAAAATAAATAATATTTTTGGTAAGAAAATCCTGTACACCAACCCAAGCATTGCGGCAAAAAGAACAGAGAGCATTACTATCATACCAATCCAAATAAGGTGCCCGCACCAAACAAACAATCACTAAATAAATTACTTACAAAAACTGGAGGTTCGTCAAGTTGGTGAAAGTGTCAAGATCAAAAACAGAAATCTTGTTATTCGATAAATCTCTGAAATTTAAAAAAGGGTAAAATGGTAAATGAAATAAAAACTATTTTTTAGCGTTTTTTATACATAATTCTAACTAAACATTTATTTTACATAATTTATGCAATATGCATAATCTTAGAATTTTGTAAAAGATATTGAATGCTCCATGCAGAGTGAATATATGTCTGTCTTTTTAACTTCTGAGCTTCACGTTTGTTCATTGCTACAAGATTTCGAGATTTACAATTTCAAAACGCAATCTTTGGTTTTCACAGAATCATTTTCTTTAACTTTAAAGTGAAATACTACAATATTAGAACCTTAGCTCATTGTTTTCTGTTGTTTTTTTTTGTCAGTGAAGACTGCGAAATTTCAAACTTAACCAATTTGACATTAAGCACCAATCAACTGTTGACCATGCATTGTGGGGGATATGGTTTGGGAAATGAGTCAAAATTTCATTGCATTATCAGTTCAATTAGATTGCTTTGTTTTAGTGGCAAAACTATTGACTTTAATTATGTGGAAAAATGCAGTGGTATTTATAAAAGTGACGATAGTAGTATTAACAATGTAACTGTCCCTAATTTACAGGCCTTTAAAAAGTGGGAGGAAATAGGGGGTGAAGTAGGGAGGGTGCTGATTGTATCATTTTGATTACATCACTCACTTATTACTATACAATGTCCCAAACATCATTAAATAACAGCTTTTGTGCTAAAGAATTTAAAGACAAAACAAAAAATTGTAATGTAAATATATGTCATTATGATAATCTTATTTGGACACATATTTTCAGTTTTAATACTATTTCCATAAATTTGAAAAAAGTACTTATTTTGTATTTCACCAATTTAATATAAAATTATAATTGAATATATGTTAACAAGTATATAAAACATAGATACTTACAAATCTAATAAGTTGGTAAAATACTGAAATTCATTGTTTGACAGGTTTGAAATTAGGTTGTCTGCAAGATCACTGAAAAAAGAAGAAAGAACAATTATTTTGAACATAATGTAGATTTTATCATGTAAACAGAACAACATACATGTACCAATTTAAAAAAAAGAAGAAGGAAATTTCAAAATTTAAAGCCTGAAAAATGCATGAGATGTGAGATTCATGATTTTTTTTTACAGCAAGGAATTGTCACAAGGTTGACACATCATATCCTTATACAAATGTAGTACTATTGATTACATTAGGGAACAAATGAAAGAAATATTGTATCATTGTCATATAAAAGCATAAAAGGTTGTTTATCAACTACAGCTGAAAATAAGTATCATAATTTTTATCTTTATATATCAAGAGCTGTTGACAAATTTTATAAGTCTCAATTTTCAAGTTAACACAAGAAATTGTGGCAAAAAAGGAAAGGGGGCAAAGAGGGGAATCCTTTTCACAATTTGTGGTCATTTTTTGCCCCCAAAACAGCAAACAAAACAATTGAATCATAAGGAACAGCAACATTATAAATGGCACCAATCCTCAGAATTAAAGCAAACTCCAAATTTAAGAAGGACAACACACTGCAGTACGCAGAAAGATATGGCATTGCCTTATATCAGGTCAAACAAGATACAGACATGAAAATTGATTGGTACTTGGTAACTTACTAAAATTGTCTTTTTACAAGTGAATCAAACTCATTATAAATATAAATACATTAACTTTTGTTATTCTTTTTCTACATTACTTGCATTCTTTTACATTAATATATTTTGATATCATGTCTTCAAATATCTGTTGGTATTATATACATGTATTATCTTTAACTAATAAATCATTCAAGTAATGCCACTAAACTTTAACAAATAAATTACTCAAGTAGATCTAATGACCCTTTTTTTAAAATTGACACAATTTACTAACAGTGTATGATGGAAACATTGTAGATTTTGTAGTTCTGCAAAATTTCATTGATTATTTACGAACTGCACCTTTCTTTGTAACATGTTCTACTTCCTCATAAATTAGACTAGATCTTTAATAATTATGTTTGTCAATGGTTATAATAGTGCTAAATTCATTTATGTTAAAGGATAGAGACGGGCTCTTACTGTCAAAAACTGTGCTTCCAATCTAGGATATGAAAATGAACTGAGAAAGCTACCCTTTTGAAGATGTAGATTAAAGTCCCAAGTCTCTTTTAACAAATGATATTAATAAGACTTCATGAAAGAAATCATGCTCCTAAAATTATTGACTTACAAATTCAATCACGTAAACCGGGCATAATATTAAACCTGGGAAAAACAGCATTAACATTTTGCTGTACAGTTTTAAAGGTGAGCATATAATGATATTATTCATAGCTTTTTACTACACATATTTTTGAATTATAATCACGTGCGAACACGGCTTTAGCCGTGATGTGAATACAGAAGAAATCAATGACGTCATACACTCGATGTCAACAGATTTGAATGTCACACTGACTGCATGTTCTCATTTTCATTGCGCGTTCTAGCATATCATGTCAATTGATCGATGATCAAATCAATATCGGTTTATATTTATGTATTTATTCTCTGATGGTTAACAAGTGATGTATTATATTCTTTTTTAATGAGGCATAAAGTCACCACGGGCTTGAAAATGTGAAATGACGGTTAGGTTGTCAAATATTAATTAAGTTTCAACATCAATTAAGCATATCCATGTTGACTTTGGGTGTACTTGATTTTTATGTAAACATCTCAAGGAGTCAAATAACAGCCCACAATCGAATTTACATACTTCATATTGCTCGACATCAAACATTGAAATTTATTATGGCCGCTTTCCTCGCCACTGAGCTATCATTTCCTTGAACAAGTCAGGCCTACATATCCAACAACAAAATTGTACAAACAATATGACAATTTCGAGTTCAAGCGATTGCCTTGGTCTCCTAAAGTTATTTTCATTTTGCACGTTTTTTTTTCTTTTCACTTTTTTCACTATGATTTAATGATCATTCTTTTTCAGCTTTCTTCAGAGATATTAAGAGTTCCGTTTTGTAGTCAATTTCTAAAAGGCTTTTCAGTTAATGAAAATAATACACTTTCGGCAGTTTTCGATTAGAATGAAAACGGATTATAAAATGTTATATTGACAGATGGCAAATATAACTAGATTGAGAAATAGTCCGTGTGAACAACACACATAAGTTCAACAGTGGGTTACCCTTTAATGTAATATAACAACTAGACTTACAATATTGTAACATATGTATTTATGTATTGTTTGTTCTGCTAAGTTTGACCATATACAAAGTCATAAATGTACAAATTCTCGCACCACCAACGAGGTTCCGTTTATACAGATAAATAGCAAAACAATACCATTCAAAAGGTCATGTTTATTTTCACTCCTGGTCAAAATTGTGAATGAATTCTCATCGATTGCTAGTATGAAGTAAACTTAGACTGTCTTAAAATAGAGTTTGCAAATACTGTTTTACTTGCAAATCAGAAAAGAGAAAAAACATCAAAGGGATAATAACGGAACAGTCTTGCTTTCTTCTTTGTCTTTGCATACTAAAATTAACCAAACATCAAGGCAAGCTGGCTTGTAGGCCACATGTAAGTTAGTATCTTAGTCCTGCCGTCATCACATTTAATCATGATTCCATCTTTTCTATATAAAATGCTCAGACTACGAGAGAGCAGACGAGTTTTGTAGACTATTTAAAATCGAATACGAAGCTTTCATTTGTCATAGTCTACGCCATTTCCTTTATAGAGTCCGCTATATACTGTCAAAAGTTGCATCAATTATATGTATTTACATATATTTGTTCCATATTATACATACATTCGTAATTTGGCAGCTTCTTAGAGTCGACCGATAATTTGAAATAAACCAACTAGACCCCCACCTACCCCCACCAAAGAAGAAACAAATAAAACAACAAACAAACAAACAACACAATATTATGAAAGATTTTGTTCATCTTTATGTATAGATATCTCTGACATAGCTTTGTTATCTGTTGTATGATTACAAGAGACTTTTAGCATTTTATTTTTAAAACTGTCATCATACTCTGACAACGTGTATTCATCATTGTAAATAAAACATTTACTGTTAAAATTTGTATTTCTTTTCTTTTTTAAATTCAAATAAGACGATCTGATTAGCTGATCTGATTCCGTAAATCAAGTAAGAAATTTGTGTCATAGCCCAAATAACAAACAAAAACTTATTATAATTTAATAACGGTATTTTTATGTTTAAATTTTGTATAAGCTCCAACTATATTAAATACTTTATTACACAGAACAAAGACCTATGGCAGTATTTATGATTGTACGTAAGTTTGAATTGTGCTATATTCGTCAAAGTTTTAGATGTTATTGATATATTTGACACATAAATTGTCTACAGACCGCTGTTCTTCACAAAGAAGGAAACAGTCGACCTGCAAATAATGACCGATCTGCGATAGCTTTCAGAGTGACAATTTCCAAAAAAAATTATTCGATTAAGGGGGAAGCCGCGTGAAAAACTTGAACTGACTAACCCACGTAATTACCGCATATTAATGACATTGGGAACTGTCGTACTGCAAATGGTCTATTAAGAGAGCACCTGTTTATTTCAGTTATGAAGAACAAGTTCGTTGATTCTCAATGTCAGAATGTGCCGATATTCTATTATACATTGCATGTGTACAGTAAATAGATTTGTTTTCATTTACATGCACGTATGTTATATATATGTTGTTAAATAGAATAAATCATTTACCAATATCAACTATGCCACTCAAATTGCCTTCTTGAATTATGACAAATATAATTTTGCATAATTTTGCAAATCATACAATTGAAGGACACTGAGTAATTTCAATTCAAATATAATAATTAGAAAATTATATGGTTTGATTTATTATCAACAAAGCACAAGGCTTCATGGTACATAAACTATATATCTTAGTCAAGGATACATCCCTATCTCAACAGTTTTAGGTCAATCGTCCATTACATTAACTTTATTTAATTTCAGATATGTCAATAAGCTTTCTATAGTTAATTGTGTTGCATTATAAACGGAATGTCATGCTTTATCGTTACCATTAACTCAGTTATTCAACTATTCTTATTTCTTTCATTTTTTTATACCTTTTCGTTAAATAGCGGACTACGTTCGATTTAAATATATTGAGGAAAAAAACAAAACTGTGCTATCTGTTTCATATATGACATGTAACATGTTACATTATGGCTATAAACGTTCACATAGAGCGTTATCTCGTTTTTTCACCAAGAGAAATCAGGCCTTAGTCCAACTGTTCAAATAGTTGTTTATTGGTTTGACGAATAGCATTAAACTGTTCACTTAGTTATGTACAATATGTTTAATTATTTATTAAACGCAAATGATATCTTTATTGATTTGATTCAACCTTTCTTGTTTATTTTTTTTTGTCCCGATATCGTTTTCAGAAAGCTTTGGAGTATGATTTGAAATTGTTCCATTCGAACGTTAACACTAAACGTATTGATTTGCCCCCTGAATGTAATTACCGTACGTTGTTGCAAAAGTGGACCAAAAGATGGGACAACAAAACAATCCTTGTCAAATATTGATACTGAATACTTTTTTATACATAAAATATTATCGAGGACAATTTCAGTTTTTGCCTTTGACAAGTGATCTAAAAGTTATGGCTATCGTTTATGAAAGAACGCTGTAAAAAAAATGAACGCGTATTAACAAAGTAATGGAGCGCACAAAAGACGACGCTACAAAAAAAAAGCAACATATTTATTTCTTCCGATTGATGTGAATCTTCCGTACATTCTGATTCCTTTTAACGATTACCTGTTCGATTATCTATCATTCCCGACGACAGATTTCCTACTGAGTTACCGGCCTAGTTAGACATACTTGACCCGAGTATATTTTATGGGATATTTATGTGGCACTATAGGAAACTTTTATTGCCCAATGTTTAAACAGAATTTGGACTATTTTCCCATCTGTTTGTAATTGAATTTGAATTACACATTTTAAAAAGATCAAAACATTATTAATTAATTGTCATTTCGATGTTGTTATTTATATTTTTTGTGGGTAGCAGTTTTAAAATATTTCCTTTTCCTTGTTTCTTCCGCCGGGATCATTATTTTCAATACTTGTTGAAGATTAAGTTGAGCTTAAGCCGGTGCTATGGTGCGTAAGAAATACTGCACCATTAACAGACTCGATGAAACTGAGTCTGTATTTTTATTTCTGTTTGATTGTTTGCGAACCCATAAATAGTTGACATATATTTTGAATGTGAATGTTTGTCAATTGTTAAAAAGAGGAAAGCCACTTGTTCAGCGATAAAAGGTAATTTGTTTGTATTGTAAAAATAAGATGGTGAACAACGTTAAGATAGAATATAGAAGCCAGGTTTCTATTTTCATTTCCATTTCTTGTTCAGGAAGAGCTCAAATACCGCGGAAGTTTTACTTCGACTTTATTTCTCTTTCTTCAATACACAGAACATTTCTTTTTAACATTTCAACTTCGAATTCAAGGAAGAATACATTGAACTTAAAAAGTTACTATGAACAAAAATGGATGATATTTTCTTCAAAATTCGAATTGTGCAATAGAAATAATTTTGATATTCTAGAAATACATTATAGAGATTGAGTTTGATCATGACCATACAAAATTTGTATCCAACGACCGTTTTTGAGATAAGAAATCTTGGTTGCCAGAGAAATGTTTTATAAAGTTCTTTTTGAGTACTTTTAGATGTCGGAAGAATTTTGATGTATTCAAATGGAGAAACATACAGTGTTAAATAAACAGCTACATTTAAGTAAATGATTAGGCATTATCGTGTTTTTGTAAAGGGGGATTTAACTTCAATTTGGTCTCTGTTCCATCGTTAAGCACTTTCTAATCTTTTTTGGTATTATTAGTTAAGCGGATTTGGAAGATCACACAAGTTCCTTATGAACTGGGTTTACTAGAATGTCCTAAGTTTCAATTAAACGAGGTATAATCCTTCTTATGTAGGATCTCTTTTTGATAATTTAAGAAAATAACAAAAATAGGTATCAAATTGATTATTCGCCAAATATTTTGGCAATCCTAAAGCATGTTTTGGATGTTTACCCCCAAAATGCAATGTCTACACTATGGCCCTGTAAAATTTGTATTGTGTTTAAACGTTGCATATAATATACTGTTAAAATGCAATTTATCGACCAGCATGTCAAATGTTTGGAGATATATTTATAAACCTTATTATTGGTATAGTAGGCTAAAAGATCTTTGGGCTAGTTTTGTACCAACGGTCCATAAAATGCTTTAATACACAAGAATGTCTATATACACCATGCACTCATTTACTAATCCGGGTCTGAAATTTTTCGGCCTCTTATCTTATTTTGTATAATGACTGACTGAAAAACAATATTTCACAATGATTTTTTTATGAAATTCAAAACAAGTCATTGTTTATTTTTTTTTTTATAAAATAGTTGTCATATGAATAAATAGAATATAAATAAACATAGGGTAAAAACAAGTTTTGATAATATTTTTATTAGTGTGTAGTCCATAAATTCAGTTTTATGAAACGCTATAATTATTTTCCGAAATAACAAAACCATTTTGTTAAAAAGCCATTTCCTGCTACTTTTGTTTGTAGTATAATGCGTCGGTTGAACTTGATTAAAAATTAACAACGTTGCTTTCCACTGATTATTACATAGAATTTTCTTTCCTTATACATGTAATACATGTATAAAGTAAACAATGTGTTAGCTTTTCTTAAGAATAAAAGGCATTTTGTTCAACTTGAAAGATAAACAGTGCACTGAGAAAAATCGATCACTATGTGACGAATAAATAAAGATGATCGAAAAGTAGTGAAATAATATAAATGTGCACAAAGTATGAGACTGTTGCAAAATAAACAAACGGCCTTTAGTGAAAGACAGTGATTTCAGAAACAGGTAATAAGTTGTAATTAATTTATATTAAATTGTTATCCCTACATGTCATTAAGAGGGTCGGTCCGCTACAGCAACAAATCAGAACATATCAACCAAATGACTCAATCGCAAAAAAAAATCACACAATGAATAAGGTCTTCGTAGGATAAAAGTTGGCCAAATTAATATGTAACGTCTTTCTCAAAAGAAGAGCCTTGTGAATAATTTAAAAAATGAGTGAGTGTTGACAGAAAGAATGAAGGGAAAAGGTAACATAGATCCTTGGTAAATGTAGTGAAAAATAACTTAAATTGAAGAACATGAGTCATGAAATCAAACATAAGAACTTTATCAACAAAAACTCTTGTTATGTGTACACAAGTTGTTTATCACGTTATGAGCGCAGAATATTGTTATTTCACACCATTTAAATTGCAGTGACATAACGGTTATACTAGTGTCTTTGCAAAATAGTTGTCTTTTTTAAATATGACTACGAACAGATTTGAGCCGATTTACGACAAAACCAACATAATGGGTTTTGCGACCAGCATAGATCTAGACCAGCCTGCGCATCCGCGCAATCTGATCAGGATCCATGCAGTTCGGTATCAGTTTCTTTACTTGTTTGGATGCTTTGAACATTTGACCTGTAATACTTACAGCCTAATAACATCGCTGCCTTCTTTGGCGTCTGTTGGCACTGATAGTAGGTTCTGACCCCTACAGGAGATGTTCTGCACTTTGTTGTTTTGGTAAATCCATGTTGAGCTGGTGCAACCGGCAGGCGGTGTAAACACCGCTTCCACATAGTCCGGAGCGAAAAAACATAATAATAATCCGAGCACAAAAAGTGTAAATCTCCAAGAATGTGACACCCCATGATGGTTTCTTGCACTTTGTGAATTGTTCTTCATACTAAGTGGGCAAAACAGAGGACTTTTTCGCGGCATGAGTATCAGTTCGATTTTTTATCCACCGCATAATTCACATTTCGATGTACACATTAATTCCGTGAAGCTGATTTTACGAAACCACGTTTATGTTAGTGACAGTTGAGCTAAATAGGATGTCTGGAAAAGTAAAAGAAAATTCAATTTTTAAGTTTTACACTCTTTACATATCATAAGTATATATGTAATCATAAAACAATAAAATAATACTTATTAAGCATTAAATGTTAAAACATTCAAAGCCATATCAAATATGAAATCAATAAGCATATCTCGACAATATGCTATAATATTATTAATTGATTACAAAATCGCAGTAAGGGGGGGCTTGATTAATTCTTTATCAGAAACATATCCAAGACAATCATATATTTTACAAATTGAATTCATCTTAAAGTAAATCACATCTATTGAAGTTATCCAGGGAATAGATACTAACACAAAATCGTAGAATCTATGTGTAACATTATAGTGAAAATAGTGCCACTTTTTTGATAAAAACCAATACAGAAATTAACATTTTATCGTAAAAAAAGGTTTTGAAGTCGTATCATTCAAAAGGTTTTGTAATAATATCGTACAAAAGTAATCATACGAGTATAATATAAAAAAGTTTGCAATAATATCGTTTCTTATATGATTATATGAAAGGATCTGTAACCAAATTGTTCAAAGTTTTTGTAATCATATTGTACAAAAGTTATCATATAATACAAAAAGTTTTATTATAATATTGTACATAAGGTTTTAGTTATAATATTATATTAACGGTTTTGTAACCATATCGTACAAAATTTTAATGTAAGTATATAATACAAATAGTTATATAATGATATCGTACAAAATGTTTGGTAATAATATTATATAGACGGTTTTGTAATCATATCGTAAAAACCACATATATCATGACATTTTTATGTTATTGTCGTTTAGATGGGTATAATTACAGTAAGTATGTCGCACTACGTCGTACATTTCAAAAGATGTAACAAACCTTTGCAACATGTACTAACTTTTCAAAGAAAAGTTAGTTCAAACCTAAACTTAAGACTTTCAAACAAAACTTTTTAGACACAGGAAAAAAATAACACTCATATCTGAGCAGTTAAGAAGCTATTTTACATACATGATAATAATGACAGTAAAACACCTTAAGAGGGACAGAGAGACGTTTTTAAAAATACATGTATTTCCACGTATTCATTATATTTTTTTGTTGTTGATAGTCACCAGCGTTACTGAGAATATGCTATGTTTAGAAGTTTGTCCCAATCACAATGTCGATTACGGTTCAATTTTAATAAACGAAATAGATATAAATAGATATAATTAAAATTGAGACCATATTCTCGGATTACCGGTTTTATATTCCGGGTTTTACACGTGGATTAAGTGCAAGTATAAAACAAATACACCATCTCAATTTTAGTGTCAAGGTTTAATTTTAAACCTTTATCAAAAAGATTAATTACCCGTGTCTGTAGAGTGTAATAGATATATATTTATTACAATATATTACCTCTTTCTTGCGACCTTTATTAGAATCATGTTTCAATAAGTCATTAAGAAATGCGTTCACTTACAAATATAGCACTCCGACCGAATTGTTTGTTCAAATAGACGGATTTCGGCCAAGAAAGAGAGCAAATAAGTCCCGACCAAAACATAGATTATTAAGAACAATAAAAGTTAACGTTTTTCTTTCAAAAGTGTCCTTTGTTTTATGTATTGTTCTTTTTTTTAAGTATAATTTCACCGTTTATAAAAAAAACTTTGCGTATAATGCGTGTTCTGGATTATCAACAATTTAACATTTTTGTGAACGTTTCACTTATTATTCTTGTGAGATAGGTTGTAAAACCATATGTCGTAGGGCCTAGGGCTAAGATCTTTTATCAGCGGATATTTTTAAAGTTAAAATTCCACCATTTCCATGTCTAAATGTTTAATCTTTCTTAAGACGGTGCTAGGGTGCGTGCAATTATCGTGCAGTCTAAACCAGGCTCCTCTCTGGAGGTAGCTTGTTTGTTGTATTTTTATGTGTTGAAACCCCCTCCCCCCATTAGAAACGGATTCAAAGTAGAGTATGTTCATTACACACACTTGTCTGGTTAAGGGTTAAAGTAGATCTAATAACGGTGAATATAATGATAAAAACATTCCTCGAGACAGTTAGTGAATTTCTTTCTTATTCACCAGAGAAACGGTACGCAACTAAGTTATTCTTAAACAAAGTAATCAGCTATGCGCTCTCTAAAATAATGTGATTACAACACTCGGAATAATTCTATTAAATAATTATCAAATTGTTCAATGCCATATGTATATTTTAAAACACCGATTAGCTACTATTTATGGAAATAAAATTATGAGTAGTTTGTTGGAAATGTGACTAACTTTATGTCAAGGGGAGATGTAAATTTCAGTTATACGTATATTTTCATTTATACATTGAATTTATCGTGTTTCAATGTGTGATATTATTAATACCATTTATAAATTTTTATGGTAATAGTTAAATGAACATTTGTAACTTGCTGTTTGATTTTTTTTTCATTTTTATTTATGAACTATCTTTTCATCTTTACAAAGTTCTGATACTTTTCGAGCGCAGTGGATATTTTATATTATACAGGTCCTTTTATAAGCTATAATTGGCTATATTTCATTGTTTGTGAGAAATTCTCTTATATAACCAGATAACATGCTTTCAATTGTTTGATTATGCTTGTCAATTTTTTTAATACTTCACACTGTAAGTTTAGCAATAAAAAATGAATAATGCCATAAATAATTATTTATTATTAACACAAGATTTTGCTCTCCCACAAATTCACTTTAAAATTGATCCACAGTCTATTACGTAACTATATATATCATTATTTCTTTCATAGTTGTTCATGTCCATGCGCTTCGTATGGATCAAAAATAAATGAAATTCACGTTGTGTCATTGTTCTTCTCATGAATTTATTTCCATGACAATTCATCTTAGTTATGTAAATGATCAATTTATTATTGTTTTTAGTTTTCAAATTTTTTATAAATGTCTGTTAATGAGCGTCATCCAAAAGGTTTCTAAAAGTTCTTAGGTCAATGCCGACAAAATATGTATAAATAACACACAGTATGTTTAAAATAAAATTAAGCAATTTTATTTCATTATTTTTGTATGGAATAATTATTATTTAACATAAATGACCGTTAAGAAAATATTAATTGGTGTAGAAAATATATAATGTACATTGTACAATGCCATGTGTGTGTTTTTTTGGTGTTTTTCTTTTGTCGTCGTTGTTGTTTTGGTTGGTTTTACGGCACACCAACACACTTGAGGTCATATTGCGCCGAAACAGGAAAGATGATTTTGGCTATCCTCGGGTGTTACAAAGGGACACCAGGGGTCAAAACCACCTTACCCGTTGGAGCTAAGAGATGCATAGACTCCAATAATTCGAATTTAATCGCCTCTTACGATCACGCAGGGATAAACGATGGCTGCAATTCTGATGCCGATAACCCCTCAGCCACGAGGGGAAACAATGTTATACCAGTGGCATTGAATATATAATGAAGAAGCCGGTTGAAAATTATTGAAAGCCGGCAAGCTGGACCGACCGTCATGATACCTACAATGTGATGCAAATCGCCTTAATACGTGTGTTGAGAATTAAATGTCAGTATGAAACGTTTATTCATAAGTAAAACAATATATTTAGATGCTTGATTGCAATGTCTTAGCATATCTTGAAAACCATATATATGCATGGTCATTTGTAAATATAGAAGTTGCCTTAAGAGGACTCCATTAAGGTATTTTGACATGACGGGACTGGAAATATTGTCCCGAGATATGTGTACTGTTTGATGTAGGTCTAAAGCAATTACTTGTATGGAAATTTTCAGATAATTTCTTCAGAACAATCATTTTTACTTTGCAAAATGACAAAAGAAAAAAAGCGTTGCGACGCTTTTCACTTAAATCGGGCTAAGAATTGCACAAACTATCTTTTTTTCAATTTGAAATTTAATTTTAAGTATGTCTTTTATTATTACCCTTTGCAGATATTTTCATATTTTACTTGCTCTATGAACAATTTCAAATTTTATGTTTTTAGGCTTTTTGACCTCAGTGGAGCTCCTTAAAGTAGATTTTGTAAATAACAAACGTTTCAAAAGCATGCGTTTTTTCACAGATTTGATCACTGTAGTTTCATATGCTATGTGACAATAAGAATAGCTGTAACACATTATTTCGTTCATTAAAGATCCTGTAAGCTTTGTTGATTGATATTGTTACTGTGTGTATACCACACTTGCATAAAATTATATATGTATATAATTATGCAGATAAAACAATTTTCAAACATCGAAGAATATGTAAAATATGTGCTGCAATATTTGTGCACATAATATCTAATCAATAAATTATATGCATTCATTTCTTATTGGAAAATTTGACTTAGAATTTATAGAAAATAAATTTCTAATTACCTCCATTTATTTAAATGAAAGTTTAAATTCGGTAATATCTTTATAAATAATGCTTTTGGAACGTACAATATTGACATATCATAATTTGAGCATCATATTTATGAAATAAAACCATGAAAAAAATGTGTTACATGATCTTTAAACATGGACGCATTTAAAGTTCGAGTCCGCAAGTTGAAGGCTTTAATAATGAGTTTCACCAGTACTATTTTGCGTATATTTTCGTATAGTTTTATGTTGCACAAACATGGTACAGAACTACAAAATAAAGTACAAACAAAAAAGACTATGGTACAAAACAATGATAATGTTTTCTTTCTTTTTTAGCGTTTATATCAAATTTGTATTTACATTCAATAAATGATGATATGAAATGGTTTTAATATATAACAATAACGTTGTAGTAGGGGAATTAGGGTATTTCATTAATTAAGTAAAACGAAAACCTTAAAGAACGCTCAAAGCTGAAAAAGTTACCGGTTCAATTTTGTTTAACCTGTCCATGACCGACAGCGGTAAGCGCATGCTACCGTCCCTCCCCCAGCGCAGGTTTAGGCAGAACTCAACATTTGTGAAACTTAGAATACAAAAAGCATCTGCAGATGTGTTCAAATGGCGGGGATTTGTTTACATATGCAGCATATGAGTATGCAACAAAACCGTTATATGGTTATACAAGTTAAGTATTTACATATTATAGTAATTTACATGAAAAGATAACACTAACAATTTCATTTACGACTTCATATTTGTACAGTGCAAGCGTATACTATATATTACAACATAAATAGATGTTTTGATTTCCTTAGAGGAAATGTTATGATACATATTTCAAATGGTAGCTGTCCGCGTTCATTGATATAGCTGATATTTCAAGTTTACTAAAGGATCTTCGTGTAATCATAACAAGTATTTCCCTTCGAGAGGGCCGCGTTATCACCTTAAATAAACAAATATTGAATCTTAAAAAAAATATTCAGTTGAATTTGTTAGCATGTAGATATTGCAATTCTAAATAAGTACGCGGTATTTTTTTGCACTTTTATTCCAGAATTAATCAATTTAATTAAGTCAATTATTTAACAATAAAACACATTCATTAACGTACGTTTTAAATATAGATTCGATATTTTACCGTCATTTTATTTACTTCGTGTTTATAACATTTAATAAAATGGGTTAATTTGACAGTAGACATGAAACAATAAATGTATCATTAATTTTATAGATTATAAACCACATCTACGGTATTTACTATGAAAGTAATAAAAATATGGTCACTCTATAAATATAGTTGTCTAGAGTATTTTACGATCATAAACATTGGAATAACATTATTACTGCCCGAGTGCGATATAGTTTAAAGTTTTATGGTATAAATAGTTTTATACACCGGGCAATATATCACATAGAAACATACCCGTACAATATAAGAAATTCCAACACACGTATACTTTATCTGTTTGAATTTTAAAACAAATCCATTAAACTGCTTTAACATCAAGTTTCAATCATGAGTTATATAATTAAACACACGGCTCTGTATTTGGTCGTATTAAGTTTCATGTCGGATCAAGTTAAGTTAAACTATTCAGTGCAGAAATCAATAAATCGACCTATTTTTAATCTACTTTTTACAAAATAAAATGAATACCCACCACAATAGATAAAATCCACGGCAAGTTTAAGTTTATTTAACTCACATATTCCTCTTTAACTTTAATTATAACTCCATCATCAACCGTATTTATTTATCGTAGCATGTTAAATATTAAGTGATCTTTCACGCCGACTTGAATATGTCAGTGTTTAATACAGGTATATACAGATTTAACATGCCCACGACAAACGACACACGTATATTTCAATTTGTCAATAACCGTTCTTTCAATTGAACAAACAGTCACGTGGTATTGGAAGGACTATATAGGAGGTAGCAGTGTACACTCTAATATTAACCCCAGTCTTTCAATGGTAACCAGGAGACTTTATGACGCGAGTTTTAGTCGCTCTATTGTTCAATACATGTGTAAATATACAGAGTCTTATAGATAAGATTTTTTTTAAACTTTCCATAAAGAAAATGTTTACTATAATTTTTCATATCTTACAAACGTGACCGTGTTAAGCGACCTATGTTAAATGTTTTAAAACTTTAAAAAATGATAAAAACGAGTAAAATTTTGTTGTATGTTACAAGTGTTGTATATGAATATATATATATATATGTTGTATGATAACCGCTATATGAACACATCTGCGGATGTTTAAAAATTCAAAATTGTTCCAGTTCATGTTAAATGTTGATTCTGCTTAAACCGGTGCTAGGGGGCGTGGACGGTAGTTTGCACTTGACAGTACCGTCCATGAACAGGCTCAATCAAACCGAGCCTGCAACATTTTCAATTTTGCCGTGTTGGGCTTTCTTTAGGGATTCTTATTTTCTCTATTCTATTGTATATAAACCTGGAAATGTTCCACTATATTTAAATACCTTCCACTTCCGGTCTCATTCTATCACTTGTAAGTCATTATCATTAAGTTTTTAATTTTAGTTAAGTCCAAAAAGTCAATTAAATGCCATTTCAGAACTAAAAATCGAACGTTTTTTTTCTTTAAAAAATATACTTGAATTACTTCATTTGGTTTATATAAGGCCAAGTATTAGCTATTACTCATAAAAATGATAAAAATGATATTACAAAACAAATGTGCACGCATCTTTAAATATTATCTTTTCTGGTATATGCGACAGGTATTTTTCATAATAAGCGTTCAAGTCCCTTGAACGCTCAAAGAGTGAAATTCGTCGAGTTGGTCTTAAAGAAATCTTGTAAAGCATTTTATCTAATTGTGAACTAGACCAAATTTCTAAGGGACGTTTAATCGCAGTGTTTAAAGACGAGCAAAGGGTGAAAGGTATTTATCAAGCTTAATTGTTAAAAGAATTTTATAATGAACCATAGAAATAAGAAGGTCCGGTTTTAAGGACAAATATAATGATTTGGTTAAACTGATTTATTCAAAATAACACGGCGAAGGACTTTTAATAGAAATTTTGTGTGAAATAATAATATTGTCTGTTTGTCTCTATATATATATTCTCCAGTTTTAAATTTAAAATGTAGATCAAACTGATGTAATAGTGTTTTTTTTCTATTTTTGATAAAAGTTGATCGATATAATATAAGAAATTTCTGATACAATCAATTCATTTTGACATGGTCGTTAATTAAACAAGCAAACTATGTATCAATTTGGCATGACAAGGCTGTAATTTCTCTATACATTTGACCTTCAATTTTGACAAATTATATTTTTCCTTATTATAAAGTTAAATAAAAAAAGCTTATTTTATTCAGCTTAACACAAAATACAGACATAATGTCCGGCATTCAGGTCTGAAGAGAGAAAAAAAAACGGCGGACAAAAACAGCTTTTTAAAATAAAGTTTTACTCTGTTCGTAGCAATAATTTTCTAAGTCGCAATAACATAATGCATCAATAAATAAAACAAAATATTAAGTTATGGAAAATTTAAAATTAAACATTAAGCATCGGTTAAATCTCATATTGTGAACGTGATTTACTCTGAGTTTTATTTTTTTTCTTAGTAATCGTTGTAATAGTTGCTCTCCATTATCTCTTATTTTTAGTCTTTTTTGTTTTTGGGTCATTAAAATGACATTTTCATGATATGAACAAAATTTATTTCAGAGTTTGTGGATGATTAACTTAATAGATGGAAACCTTTAACATCCTCAAAATACGGTAAAATTAAAGACTGTTGCAAGCTCGGTTTGGTAGAATCTGTTTTGTTCTGATAAATGCAATAAAATACCCAAGGCCCCCAGCACCGTCTTATATAAATCTAAACATTTAAACATGCGCAAGATATTAAATTAACATTTTAGAACATCCTCAAATGGCAAAAAATAGGTTAAAGAATATGTTCTATAAGTTAGGATAGTCATGCTTTACAGTGATTTTTAGCAATGTCATGATTGCAATTTATATGTAACATCAGATAAAAGTAAAAAGCGGTAGCCGACATAAAAAAGTTATAATCAGTTCATAATCTTTTCTTAGGATATAAATTATGAAGTAAACTTTAAATAAACAATACAAAACCAACAGCAAATGAATAAACACCAACTATTATAACATTGTTATTTTACTTAAGAAAAAACAATTTGGAATAATTATTTCAATGAATTCAATCAGAAACTCCTGTCACTGTAAACTGTAGCAAACGATTATTTTAATATAACGATTTAGAAAAAAAGTTAAAAAAAAGCCCGCTTTGCAAGAGTAAAGCTTTTACCGCTCCAAAAATATTGTACAGATTATCATAATATCTCTCTCATAGCAGCATTCTTTGCGTGTTTAGATATTAGTCATAAAAATATCACCTGCACATTCATTGACTCACTTTATTGTGTTATCTCGATGGTTTTATGTCAATGTGTTATCCTAATATTCTAGGGCAAGGGGCATTTTCCTGTTATTATTTTTGAGGGTGTTGTGCTGTCTAATGCTATAATTTCTAATAAAATAATAATGGACATCGTAAAGATCGTCCAGCACGTCAAAGATGAACATTGTTACTGAGTTTGTCCATGGACGACAGTGTTATAGGAATGCTATCATCAACGCCACACTAACACCGACGTTAGTAGAACTTAATTAGTCTGGATTCCTGTCCATAACTTCTAACACACAGGGTCAGGTACACACCAAACGTGACAGCCTAAAGGTACTGTTTGAGGTTAGGTAAATTTTGTGTTACACCGATCATCTTGAAAACAAATGTTTTATTATTGAATAGCTATATCATTGTCTTCATTACAGATCTTCTTTACACAACAATCAGACCAGTTAATGTATGAAAGGGTGGGATAAATTCGGACGAAAAAGTCATTAGATTTACGTGGCATTTCAATAACCGTTAAGATCGTTTTGCAAGTTTTAAATATAGTACAATTTACATTTCAGAAAGATCATCATTACAGATTTAGAAAGACTGGAAATAAACTTTGGTAGATAGAACCGCTGGTCAAGATCATAACAACATATAACAATTATAATCATATTAGTTAGCTAACATACTTTTATAATACAATTGTAAGTGAACTATATCCTACTGTGTGAATATTTATATATCCACATTATAATTATGATTGTTGCTCTTTGAAAATGAAGTAATGTTTAAGTTGCATAAAATAGAGAGAAATAAAGAATCACTAAAGAAAGCCAAACAAGACAAAATTGAAAATGTTGCAGGCTCGGTTTGATTGAGCCTGTTCATGGACAGTAATGGAATTTCAAGTTACCGTCCACGCCCCCTAGCACCGGCTTAAGCAGAATTCAACATTTAATCATGGCAATGGTGAAATTTTGAATTTAGAAACATCCACAGATGTGTTCATACGGCGGTTATCATGGAACCTTCAATGTGACACTTCCGTGTCATTCCATTAAAAGCGCCGTATGATCCCCAAGTAAAAGAATGTGTGTGCCCTAAACGAGAAAACAATGGGCGGAACTAAATAAAATGGAATTTTGTTTGGGGATCAGAGGTTATGAAGCCTGCATATCACAGATATGACGTCAAATTTAAAAAGGAGGCAACATATCCTAAGGGTGGTTCAACATTATTCAAGTAGGAATATTGGAACCACCCAACTAGAAAAATGCCAAACAGTGAAAACTAAAAGTACCGCAAACACAACAATCATGTCGTGCTGAGCGATCTTTAAGGGTCGAAAATATAACATCCCTGATTGAATGTACGGGGCGACATTTTACAGCCTCCACACGGCACAAACAACGCTGATGTGGCGATAAAAAAGAGAAAAATAAAGAATCCCTAAAGAAAGCCAAACAAGACAAAATTGAAAATGTTGCAGGCTCTATTTAGTTTTCAACAAATGTGCAATACTCGTATGTAAGTAAAAGTGATTACATTACAAGAACTATTACATTTGTAATTTTATTTACACTCAAGGACGACTTTTTTTATTTCTAAGTTAAGACTTTAAATAATTATACATTTTATGATACTTATTACAAGTCATTTGAAATGAAACATTTTACATGAACAAATTTGTTATGTTCTGTAAGTAAGACAAATAATTCTATAAATTTTGGTGTAATAGATCACATTTATTGCTTTTTCGTGCTATTTCATCTTATATTATTTGCCCATAGTTGTTGTAATTTTTTTTAATGACAAATATTTTTCTACAATGTATATTTTTTCAAACAATAAAGTAATAAAGTAATATAAAATATAGTAGTCTATTTTTAAGGTGACTTATAAGCCCATGGGGCCGGGTGTTGACTTACTCTATTTTGTAAAAATATATTCATATTGTAGAAACACATTCCACTTTAACCATTCATCTATCTACTAAAAGGAAAACAATGAAGCATCTGTGTAAAAAACGTTAGTCACATTGAGTGAGATAAAAAATAGCTAGAAATTTTATTGTCACATAAATCTCAATATCAAATACTTTTTAACAAAATGAAAAAACAAAACAACAGAAATTGAAATGTTAACAAGATCCATATACATAGGAACTGTTTTTCATAAACTACATACATGTCAGCAACGATTTTATATAAGCATATGTCAGGTACAGTAAAAACTTATATTAATTAAATGGATGAAAATCATACGGCAATACGTTTCTAAATAAAAAAAAAAACATTTCTGATTCTTGGAGTTACTCCGACTTGATATAATTATTGTTTTAATGACTATTTTAGTCCTATCGTTTCCTCCAGTATTTCTACTTGAAACTGTTTGATCACCCTCAGAATATAAATTACTTACTTTTTTATTTAACTTTTGCCAACTGTCTGTTTTACGA